CTTTCGGACAATACATCATTCCCAAATCCTTTGACCAAATCTCGATGGGATTTTGCGGCTTTTTTGCCCAGTTTGAAGTCGTAAAGTAGGCAGACGCGAACTTGATATTTGAAGTCGGTCATCTAAAGCAAGAAAAAAAGATCCTAAAAATAAGAAATTATCCGTTTAAAAAGATTCCAAATATGCACAAGATAACGTACTTTTAAATACAGAACGACTTTTTTAAAAGCTTCTCTCACAACAATAAGTTTAGCAACGCTTGTTTATATCCGAACAACCTAATACTTTTGAAATCACGTTCACGTTGAAAAGATTTCTTCAGAAAGTTTTAACAAAATATGTTCTTTTGTTTAAATTACAGGGTGTGGCAAAAGTTTGGAGCGTTGCAGAAAATTTAGCTCATGCTTTTTTTTGTGTCTCGTATACTTTTTTTTCTTTTTTCGAGTATAGTTAAGGTGATTTGTTAAAAAAATTTCTTTTCAGGAGACAATTCAAAAGAATGAACGCCAAACAACGACGTGATGTAATTATCGGATTATACCAAGGCGGAAAAAACAGCCCGGAGATCGTAAAAATCACGATAATCCAAAAAGCACCTTCAACAAAGCAATCAAACGCTACAAGGAGCTAAAGAGCAACAAGAATCGCCCTCGAAGTGGTCGACCACCAACTGCCGTAACACCTACGAGTATCCACAAAATTCGTTGTCGAATTCGCTAAAACAAGCTGCGGTCGATGTGAAAGATGGGCAAACAGCTGAAAATTAGCCCTCGAAGCGTTGGAAGGATTGTTAAAGGGAAACTAGGAATCTGTAGCTGCAAATTGGCCAAAGCATACTTCTTGAGCGACAAATCCAAGAAGAAACGAAAGCTTCTAGCAAAGAAGATGGTGCGCTTGGTGGCGAATGGCCGACTTGAGAGGATCCTCTTCACAGATGAAAAGATTTTTTCTATCTAGCCATTGCACAACCGCCAAAATCATGGACAACTTCTCAAAAGAGGTCTGAAGAACACATTTGCGGCAAATTTGATGGTCGGGAAGCATTTTCCAGCTTCGACTATGGTGTGGGGAGGCATTTGTGCTACAGGCAAGACACCTCTTGTTTTTTGGACAGAAATATCAAGATAAATGCTACAAACTACCAAAAACTGGTATTAAAAGATGTCTTGAAACCTTGGGCAACAAATCACTTTGGACAACCTGGTTTTTCTCTTCAACAGGGCTGGGCTCCGGCGCTTTAAAATGCTTTAAAAGCTGCTCTGAAGCGAGCCTGGGATGAAATAACTGTTCAAGAGTGCGCCACCATTGTTCAACTTCCCAAAGCGTTTAAAGAGGTGTATCGAAGCGGATGGTGGAAATTTCGAGCATTTGTTATAAGTTATTTGTTGTTATGATTTGAATAAAGAATTTGTTATTAAATTTTGACTTTTTTTAAGCTATTTTTTAAATCTTCAACTATCTTAAGAAGCGGCTCCAAACTTTTGCCCACCCTGTATTTAGGAGCCATGACCCCCCACGACTCTGATAAGATAAGGATAATGGGCATCAAGAAAGGATTTAACAATCGGAAAAAGACTTGATTTCGGTAAATTAGGATAAAAGTTATCTGGAATAGACTTAGATTCTAGATTATTTTATTCTAGAATATTTATTTTATTTTATTTATTATTATTCTAGATTATTCTTTATTGCACTAGATCAGTATTTGCTACTTAACAGGAAGTTTAAATTGTATTAGCTTGGTAAATATGAAGGTTATTTTTTGATCATTTTTAACATAACAGAAAAGTTTATTTAAACACTTTCAAAATCAAATGTATTCACCAGAAGCATTAATAACTTCTTTCCAACGTTGCCCCAAATCACGAATACCGTCCTCGTAAAATTGAAGATTTTTAGAGGTAAAATAGTTGGCAACCCAATTTTCGATGTCCTGCTTTTGTTTGAACTGCTGTCCAGAAACTGCTTGTTTCATTGACCGAAAGAGATGGTAATCCGATGGGGCTAGATCAGGGCTGTATGGTGGGTGTGGAAAAAGTTTCCAGCTCAACTTATCGATTTGTTCGTGGACGATCTTTGAAATGTGAGGGCTAGCATTGTCGTGAAGAAATCTGACCTTCGATGGATCGATCCTCTTTTTCCTCAATGCTGGACCGACTCGACCCATTTGTTCTGCATAAAGTCTTTCGTCAACAGTGTCTCCTTTATCTAATATTTCAAAATGAGCCAATCCCTTAGCATTCCACCACACACAAAGCATAACTTTTTCGGAGGCTTCGGGATAGGATGAGAGGTCTGCTTCGAACTCAGCCACTGTCCATGGAGTTGAATGTTTTCATACGAAAGCCAAGTCTCATCAGATGTCAAAAAATACTTCCAAAAGTCACGATGGCTAGCTTTACGTAGAAGAACAGGGCTCAAGGTGACTCGTGTGACTTTGTGGGCATCAGTGAGGTCGTGGGGGAGCCATTTCCCGCTTCGATATGATTTCCCAAGAACGTGTAAATGGTAACAGAGTGCATCCGAACTTTTCTGCTAATTTTCTACACTTTTGCGATGGATCCAAGTCGACCTCGTTCAGTAACAGCTGATCGTCCAAAGTAATCGGCGGCTTTCCATGTGGTGCATCTTCCAATGACTCGTTTCCCGTTTTGAAGCGCTCGTACCAAACACAACATTGTTTGTAAGTAAGAGTGGATTCTCCAAAAACAGTACAAATGTTCTGATGGCATTCTGTAGCTTTCTTTTTTAACCTGAATTCAAAGAAGATGGCAGTCCTGATTTTAAATTTTTGGTCATCCATCTTTGTCGAGCCGAAACAATACAAACATTTTTCAAAACAAAAAAGTTTTTGCAAAAAAACATAAGCAGATTTTGACATATTATTGAGAAAAATCCTAGACAGCCAATGCTAATCGTAACGACAGGGCAACATTTTTTGTAAAAAAACCCTTTCATATTTACCAAGCTAATATTAGGATCCCTAGCAAACTTCACACCGTTAATTCTGTTCCTTTGACTTGATATTAAACCCTCGATCTTTTGGTCGAATTCTTAATTCTGATTAGCCTTCTACTCTCTAATACATTCTAGACAGCAGCCATGTATTCCTCTCATCATGATTCTTGTAAAATTAATTTACTGGGGTTTTTAAAAGGTTAGACTGATAATTTGCAAAACCATTTGACAATTTGGCCACATAAGTGCTAACAGTGTCCCATTTGTCTCAATTAGCATCGGTGGCAAAGAAAAAAATGGGGGAAATTGACCCGTAAAAGCGACGGTCGTTTTGTGGGATTACTATCCTCTACAGAACACCGGTTGCTAAGCAATCAGATAATCTCCCGACTTCATCCCTTCACTTGAGTCGTCATCCCTACATCGATGCTGAGTCGAAATTACTCTCTCTTCCCTTCTTTCTCAGCCTCAAAAATACGGGAAAAGGACGGTGACTAAGCATCGAATGTAATGAGAATCAAAAAATAGAGAAATTTCTTTTTCGCAACTTTTAATCTCAAGTGCAGGGATGAAGTCGGGCGATTTACCTGGATGCCTAGCAACAGGTCCGGTTCTATTGTTTGCTATTAGTTGAAGACTCTTTGTTAGTCTAAAAAGTTCGATTAGTGCTACAGTAGTAAAAAACCTTTCGGAGTCCGTTTTCTTAAGGTCATTTTTCATTTTCAAGGACATCATTTTTCACTGGTTCTCCAAAAGTTCAATCTCACGGTTCACTTGTCAAAAGCTTTTGGAGATGATTGTATCAGTGAACAACTCGATCTGGAAGTTTTCAAGATATTTCACCAGAATTTTTTTGAGCTTTGAATTTCATTTATTCATCTTTCGTCGGATTAGTCAAGTGCGTGAGTCAGAAAGGGCCAGAAAGAAGCGGGAAAGGGGAGGAGCGGGATAAAAAGTGCCTCTGGCAATAACGAAGAACCCCGTCTCTAAAACTTCTTTTCTCATTTTATCGACAAAATATTTGAGTATTGTCCTCATCACCGTTTGTATACCAATTTTGGTAAGCTAGCGGCAAAGTACTCCAAAATCTCGTTTAACCTGTCTTAGGATCTGTAGCGAACTTCACACCGTTATTTCTATTCTTCTGACTTGATATTGAACTCTCGATCTTTTGGTCTACTTCTTAATTCTGATTAGCCTTCTCCTCTCGACAAGAGATTTCTTAAAACACTAAAGCCAAAGATTTAGAAGCAACACGAATCATCTGTCGAATCTGGGAACACCTACAATATGTCCTATCAAATCAGCCCTGATGGGGCGGAAAAAAACTCTAACACAAACTCCAACCTCAGTATCCAACAACACTTCACTCTTCGGGATAAAGTCCCCTGTCTTGTTAGTTTCAGTCTTGTTTGAAAATAAGATATCATTGAGTCAATCAAGTTAGAATTTCAGCGTTGTGGCTCTCGTCTGAAAAAACCGGGGACAGCACATCTCTTTGAACACATGATCACTCATGCGTCGACTCGTCAATTTCGATGCTCTAGTTAGTTTGCTTTGCTTCTAGAATTTGCATATTATTTAAATTCACTCGTTGTCTTTTAGAATGTGACACCACGAATCATAAACTCTGCAACTTCAAAAAGCATCGCAAAAAGTGTCGAGGAGCAACGATCGATGCCATGTTTGCTTTTTCAGTCATTTTAATCATCATTCATTTTAGAGACTCAGAAATGATCGAGGAGTGGAGACAGCTGATTAATAAATGCTATCCACAGCATTCCGCAAAAATGCATGATTATCTGCAAAAAAAAATTTTGAAGGTGGGTTTGTTTAAAGCGAGCTTGATGGAAAAACTTCAGAAATCGGCACCAAAGACACCAAAAAACACCAAACCAATGAAAAAACGAGAAGAACAAAGAAAAGGCTCGCTTGAGAAATATGTCGAACAATTTGGTTATACGCAAGACGGATCGTTTCGAATGAGTGATGTGGAGACAAGTGAAAGTACTGCGATCCCGGTTGAAGCTGTGGAGATTTCAATGGTAAGTGAAGCTTGATCGGTTTAGCTACTTTTGAAGGCTCGGGTTATAGATGTCAGTCATTTTAGCCCCAGCTATCACTATTGCGTCAAGATGTCATAAAGGATGAGGATTGGAAGCAGAGAACAGGTAAACACTGATTCAAAGGCAATTTTTTTGCTATTCAAACGATTATTTTGGTTTATTTAATATTGAAGATCTACAGGATACGCCAAAAGTTCTGTTATCTTCTTTCGAAACGAAACGAAAACGAAACAAGTCCTGCTACCACACGCAAAATCAAACTAAATTTACATAAAATCAAACGCCTCAGTATAACTTTTGGTTGGTAACCAAGGAACACAATTCTTAATTGCAACAACTTTATTTTTAAAAACACAACAAATGAAGTGAATTAAATAAATTTTAGCTAAATTTAGCTAAAAACTTTCGGTGCACCCTGTATTTTGCTGACAATCCCTCGATTTTAGAGTCTCTATCAAACGCATCAAGCACCTCAACATCAGAAGAGCAAAACTCGCAGCTCGTTCTCATCATTCAGGTAAATCTAGCAATGAAAAATTCAAATCAGTCAATTTTTGTAAACTTTAGAAGCTCAATGATGAAAATCGGCTCTTACGAGAAGAACGCAAAACTCGGAGCTTGGAAATGGCCAAAATGGAGCGAACGCTGGCTGGGAAATGTATGGAAACGAGTCAGCTGAGGGAAGAAAAGATTGCGGTGAGTGAATGCTTGAAACAAAGATATTAACGATATTAAAGATATTACGATTTAACAAAGCCCACAATTCAATTTTAGTCTGATGCACAGAGAGAGGCACAGTTTAGAGCGCTACAGAATGAGGTGGGTTTGTTGGCAGAAAAAAATACGTGCGACCAAATGTAAACCTCGTCAAGCATACAGCGATTACATTTTTATGAATGCTACATCCCCAATTCATTCGATTTCAGATCTTGATGTTGAAAGCTCAATCAGGAACTAAAGGGATGATTGGAAAGATTCCTTGCGTGCAATTGGATTGATTTGTTATTGGATTTGGATTACATATCACAAAATGAGGCTTATGTTCTTTAAATTTGTTGCATACTTACGTTATTTGAATCTCCAGTGGCTTATCTAACTAGCAATATCTTTGTTTAACTTTGACACTTTGCTTAAGCGGTCATTTCGAGGTGGTAACTGAATGATTAAATATGATTTTGGAATAAAAACATGTAGATTTTTTTCTGAAAGACGCCTTTTTCACACATATTTAGCTTTAAATGATGAAATCAACTGATACTTTTGACTAATTTCCTGATTTCCCGGCTGAAATCGCAAAATTTTTGAGTATTTTGATTAAACTTACCACAATTGTAAATGATTTTAAAATATCCATCGTTAAAAGTCAACCAAAATCTTAATAAATTTGATTACGGTAGCTTTCAGTTGATGGCACGTTTTAGAAAACAAATTTGTGGAGTGTTGATTGAGCGGAAAGTTGAGGGGGCTGAGAGTGGTGGAATACAGGGTGCGGCAAAAGTTCTGACACTTTTTCTAAGAGAAATAAAAGTTGCAAACTTGGGCAATATTAATCAAAAAAACGATAAAAAATTGTTTATTGAAGACAAAACTAACAAAAAATCATAACAAATGTTCAAAATTTCCACCCTTGGCCTCGATGCACTTCTTCAATCGCTTGCGGAAGTTGCCGACGATGGTCGCGCATTGCTGAACAGTGATTTCAGCCCAGGTCCGCTTCAAAGCGGCTTTCAAAGAATCCACGGTGTGAAATCTCTTGCCAGAGACCTTGTCTTCCAAGATCGACCAAACGGAGAAGTCCAGGGGGTTCAAATCGGGGCTATTCGACGGCCAAATGTCCTTACCCCAGTAGCCCGGAAACAGCTGATTGCAGCGAGCGAGAGTCGAGCGAGCTCCATGGGCCGACGCCCAGTCCTGCTGAAGGGTAAATCCAGTTTGTCCGAAATGATTCGCTGCCCAGGGCTCTAAGACATCCTTTAACACCTTTTGCTGGTAGACCGTAGCGTTGATTTTCACATTTCGATCGCTGAACACAAGAGGCGTCTTTCCTGTGGCACAGATGCCGGCCCACACCATAACGGACTTCGGAAAATGTTGGCGGACCATCAATTTGGCTGCAAAAGTGTTTTTCAAACCTCGCTTGAGAAGTTGGCGATTATGGATAGCTTGAAAGGTGAAGATGTGAACACAACCTTGTCCAAACGACCAGCAGCGACCAGGTGCAACATCTTCTTTGCTTTAGCCATCCTCTTTTGCTTCATGGCGTCGTTCAGGAAATGAGCCCGAGCAAATTTGTAGCTGAACATTCCAAGTTTCTTATGAACAATCCTTCGAACGCTTCTTTCGCTGATTACAAGGCTTGTGGCCATCTTTCTCATTGAACGAGTGGGATTTCGACGGATTCGGCATCTGACTTTGTTTGTGTTCGCTGGAGTGACGACTGTGGTTGGTCGGCCGCTTCTTGGACGGTCCTGATCGTTGCCCCGCTCCTTGAATCGTTCAATGGCTCGATAGACAGACTTTTTTGGATATCCGGTGACTCGAACAATCTCCATCGGTATCTTTCCGGCTTTGTGCAACTCAAGTATCACAGTGCGCCTCTTTTTAGCATCCATATTGAAAGCGAACCTAAACAAAAACGTTGTTTCTTTTTAAAAATAAGGAAAAACAGTTTAACAAATGCTAAAAAACAAAAAGTGAGCCAAATACTGTTTTTTGAAATTTTATACAGCCGTTTGAAAAAAAGTGTCACAACTTTTGTATTTAGCAGCTTTATTTAAATAAACCTAGCACAAATACTAATCTAGAAAAATGATAATTAATGATTCAGTGGTTAAATAATAGAAAAAGAAGTGATCAGAAACGATATCTCTACATATGATCTAAACACAGGGAAAAAGCGAGGACGAAAATCAGAGAGGCAAAATGTGATAAATAAATTGTGATATAAAGAGTGAATAAATCACAGAAAGGCACTGACTTTTTTGCACAAAATTACTCAAGAAATCCAATGCCAGAATGACGAGCCAACGAATTCACCGAAATAAGAAAGATTTCGAGCATTCTGACCCCGCTCTCCTTTTTTCTCTTTCCTCAAAACTATTAGGTTGTTGCATATAAAATTTTGCGACTTTACTATGCCTTAACTTTCTCATTTCACCGTGGATTTCTTTTATTCTTTGCAATTATATAATAGTTAAAGAGAGATATTAGCATTAAAATATAAACCCTTTCTGTGGTGAATCGGCTAAGAACGACTAGCTGGAATAGTAACGACATTTTCACGCCCGTAAAATCCGTGTTTCGCCACGAAGATTTTTGTTGTTTACATTATTAGATACCATGTTATTAGCGTTCAATTATATCAAAAATTTAGAGAATTCTATCGTAAAACCTCCGAGAAATTAAAGATTTTTTGGCATTTAAAGATCATTTGCTTTCTGATTGACAATAAAATGGATTTTATGAATACAACAAAACACTTCAAACAACTTACACTTCACTCTAAGAAGTCAGATGAAAGATGAAAATGAAAGTCCACAAAAAATGGATGAACGCACTTTCTTTCAAAGAGATTAAGGATTTTTCACTTCACCTTTTTTAAGGATTTGAGGAGTCTTTCACTTTAAGGATTTGATGAGAAAAAGAGGGGAAATCTTCTGTTCCTTTACGGTCGACTCGATTGCATGAACACCCTTTTGGAGTCTTTTTTGGAGAAGACTTTAGAAACGAGTTTGACAGATTTTCAGTAAATTGACTAGTAAGTAAGTCAGACTTGGATTTCCAATCGGGTTTTTGAATTTTTCATTATTGAGACTCACAAACTTTGTGATTACTTTCATCATTGATTTCCTTATTCATTATCATCTCCTTCCTCTTCCTCCTTCCTTTCTTTACTCTTCACTTTTACCCGAAACCTGAATGAAAGATATCGTAAAGAACTGGAAACCTGTTTCTTGAATAACCTCAAATCAAGAAATGATGAATCGCGTTTGTGTGTCGGAAATTTGCATAAATCTGAAGTTAAATGGTTTCTCCTGGAGAGAGAGGGGGTGGTTTTACCTAATCTTCTCTTCTACTTCTCATAGTTGGACAATTGGTTCAAGTTATCTTATTGCTATGTTTCTTGACTTGTATAATCAAGTTTAATTTAGTTTTTTTACTCAATCTATCTTTGAAAATTTCAAACAAAGAATGTCCATTTGATCGCCATTTGAACACGCCATTTTGTCCAAAAATCTAGATAAAGTCTAGTCCTGAAAAACATAAAACCAAACCTTTATCTTGGTTTAAAACGACCAAGAACTCATTTAGAAAATCCATTTATATCTGCAAACAGTAAATCAAACGTTAATTTTGTTCTCGCATTGTGTTTTTTGTCCAATCTTTCGTTTAATCGTTAACTTCTCTGATCGGTTTCCGGTTTAATGATTTCCTCTTCCCAATTCAAGTTTGACTCTGAATCTAGTATAAAATCTTCTCCTTTTTCCTGCAATCCATCCATACTTTCAGGATTTCCTTTATCCCTTCTCTTTCCTTTTGTAACTCTTTTCCCCTTTTCCCCCTCTTTCCCCCTTTATCCAACCAACTTTGTCCTTTGCATTGAACCCGGAAAACTTTCACTCCTTCAATCTGCATTGATAGCCTCTCTTTCCTCACAACTAGAAAAGTTCGCTTCTTGATAAACTCAAAGTCTCTCATTAATTTGGTTACTGAATAGTTTTTTTACTGTACACTAGTTGTAAGACTACTGTAAAACACTACAGTAGTCTGACTGACTACTGTCTACTGAAGATTACGGTGTACTGGTTTGTGATTCCTTTCTTATTGTCATTTTAGACTTCCAAGACATTGATGCCTCGAAGATGAAGAAGTTTCAATTGTTCTTATTACTTTTCTTAATCTTTTTGAAAGTTGAAGCTGGGCTCAAATTGAGTGGTAAGTTTCACAATGTTCTTTCTTTGGCAATTAATAAGAAAAGACAACAGAATACCTAGGAAAGCTAAGCTATTTTGATCTTTTCAATATCTAATAGTAAGTACTGCAGGAAACAGTTTCCCTTACCGTAAAATTTCTTTCTTTAGCATCAACGAGATGGAGAACGAAACGTGAGTTCCGATTGGACTCCATTGATGGAATCTCTGAGACACAATCGAATGATCAATTGATTCCATCACGTATTTTATTGTATCAAACTATTTCATAATAATTCCTAGCTTGGTCCTCGAAATTTCAACTCTCCAAAGATTCAATGAAAGAAGAAATGCTGAAGAATAAACTCATCATGTCTTTGCCGATGTTTCAAACGCCCAAGTGAGTCATTTTGGGCTATAACTTATTCATGAATCACCTCTATTGGGTTTCAGTGATCTACCAATACTTCCAAAGGGACCAGGGAAAATTGTGCAAATTTCGAAGAAGAAAGCAACGGTTTGAGTCTTTTTTTCCATCCTTCATTTAATTTGTTCTTCAGCTATTTCCGGGTTCTTTGAAAAGACCCAAGTACATTGTTACTGATGATAATTTTGATCGATTGTATCAGAAAATGAACGAATCGGTGTCGATCAACGGAGAAGAAGATCCGGAGATTGAAGTCGAGATTAGGAAATCGGTGAGTGGAAGATCTGTTCAAGTTTAATTCTTCAGTACCAAACTGTTAAAGTTTAGCTTTTGGAATAAAATAGTAAAACCTTAAAGACGATTTTCAAGGGTTTTCGGACCTTTTATCAGCGTCCCGCCCCTTCCCCAATAGTAATCTAACTTTGAGCTCAAATATCTTGGTTTTGGGCTTTCGAATTTAAATAGTTTTTGTACCAATCGTCAGAGAAAGACTTGGCGCATCTAATGATACCAAGAATATTTTAATTCGACAGCCCAGCACCAAGAAATTCGAGCTTAAAGTTAGATTGCCAATGGCAAAAGAGGCGGGGTGCGTATCAAATCTCCCACAATCATTTTCAAGATCCATTTGAATCATTATACATTATACATTTACGTCTTTTTTCAGCCAACCGGGAGAGGATTGGCTGATCAGGAACTACCTGATACAACTAGTACAACTCCTTCATTCACCGAAGATCCCTATGGTGAAAATGGAGTTGTTGAGGTAAATCTTAAAACTTAGATTCTGTGTGATTGTAAAATTAGTATTCCAACGATGAAGATACTCCTTTCGCTGGAGCCGCTTCTTTGGAGACAGTTCTGGAGACTGCTGGTATAATTATTTACTTTGAAAAGATGCCCATTTATATCTAGGAACAACGATGAGCACAACTATAACGACCACAACAACACCCTATTATTCAAACGATCAAGATAATGAAGTTGGGATTGGAATGGGGAATACGGTAGGGCAGACATGGAGTTAAAAAGATAATCTAAATGTTAGGTCGAAGTCACCTCATCGACAGAATCCTTCCCTTATACCTCTCCAACAACTCCACCCACAATTTTACCTCCAGAATACGATATTCCTGGGTTTCTTTGATAAGTTTATCATTCATTATTCGATTCAGAAATGGTAAACCAGTGTCTGACTTTGATTACGATTCGACAACAATCTCTGCCTCGCAAGACGAACTCGAGCCATCTACAACACCCGAACAAAAATTGACATTGAGGTTTAAAAGAGTAGAAACAAAATGATTTGAAGTTTAGTGATAATGATTTGATCAGTGAGTTCAAAGATCCTTACATAAATACGGATGAGATGATGGATAAGGTAGGAGATGCGGTGAAATAGAGTCAAGAATTTTTAGGTCCTTGATCAAGGAGTTGAGAAACTGGGCACATTCTCTGGAGAACAGTATCAAAAGGATTTCTCAGTGGTTCCAGATTTTTCTGGGAAAGGGTAAAAACAATTTACTTCTTTGATTATGGTTGAACAACAATTCCTCTTGCACAAGACACGTTTTAGCTTTATTGTTAGTGGAACAAGTCACTACAAGGATACGAGAGTTGAAGGAACCATTCATGGAGAGAAAAGTTTTGTTTATGAAAGGAGATTGTTAGAATAGCTAAATTTAGTCACGCAGACCCAGTTAGATTTCTCAAATCCTCAAATGCTAGGGCCATACAGCCGAAGGAAATCGAAGAAGGCAAAGAAAGCGTTGGGAGAAAAGGTTGAAAAGCTTTTATGAGACTGCAAGAAAATGAAACTTTTAGACTCAATCCGTCTCGATTCCCCTCTCGAAAACATATCTCAAAATGTTGAACGATGGGGAAATCGATAAGAAGCCTAGCGAGAATTTCAAGAAATCAGAAGACAATTTGAATTTATTCCCAATTATATATTTCTATCGAAATGGGAGCAAAGTGATTGAAGAGAGAAAAGAGATGATCAATGGGAAAGAGGTTCGATGATGAACTTTGATCATTTGATCATTTTGATGAAAGAGATGATGAACTTTTAAATAGCTCGGAAAAATGTAAAATGTAAATGTCATAGGAAATCAAATATTTTATCAACTATTAGAGTGGTAGGAACGAAATCAGCGCTCGCATATCTTTCCAAAAATAAAAAGATTGCAAGCCTAGCCAATAAGTGTTATATACTGCTCGAAAGCCGTGAATCTCCTCTACAAAATAGTGCAAGAAGATTTTAAATTGGATTGATTATTGGGAACTTGGATGACTTTTAATGATCATTTTCTGGGAGGTGTGTTTTGGTCTCTGTTTCTGTAATAGCCATGTCCCGGGTTTTCCATTAGAAAATACTGTCAATTAAAGGTATTTCAAAATAACATAAAAGAAAAGAACTTCTTTGGTTTGTTCATTTCGTCTTCTAGAGCTAAATCTTTCTTTTAGGCCATTTTAGGTCAAACTTGGCTACTTTCAACTTTGGATCTCGTTAGAATCTAAGCTAGTCGTTTGAGCTTTGGTATAAATTTTGAGTAATGTATATCCTGGAATACTGGAATACTGAAATACTGGAATACCTGTATAAAGTGAAAAAATTCCAAGCGAAAAGCACCGTCGAAGCGATAGTTGCGAGCACTCAACCTACGTTTACTTCTTAACAAACTTCTTCTTTCTTCTTCCCCCCAATAATCAATCCAATTCAAAAATTTTTTTTGCACGATTTTGTAGAGGAGATCTACGGCTTTCTAATAGTATACAACATCTATTGGTTGAGGATGGCAATCTTTTGATTTTTGGAAAGATATGTGAGAGCTGGTTTTGTTCCTATTACCCTAAGATTTTCAGGTGAGTGTCAACTTGACGAATCCGAGTCTTTTGGGGCAAGATTTGCTGTTTTCACCCGGAGCCATCATCCATGAGCAAATACGATATTCAAGAAGTAATTTTGCAAACAATAATACAAATTTGATATTTTTTAGTTCTAATGAACTGTAGTAATAAACTGTAAAAAGTTAACATTTAACAATGTCTTCTTGCGAAGTTCTTCTCGTACTAACTTCATGTTCTGTTTTTAAAGTAAAAAAGGCAAAGGTAGTCTAACTTTTAACTGACCTAGCTGGGATTTTAGCTAAAGGTTAACAGATTAAAGATTAATATAAGATTTTTAACCTCTTTATACAATTCCTTCAGATTTCCGCCGACTTCACGGTGCCAAAACTCGTCGCAGTGACTCGAGCGATGCCCCAATTCCGATATCGTGAGTTTTTCTATTAGCAAAACTGCAAAAACCTATCAAAAATTTTAAATATAACTGTATTCTAAATGACTATTTAAAATTATTCCAGAAAAGCCCATTTCGTTGGACTACAAAGCGCTGAAGGAGCCCTCTTTTCATCCTCTGAAGTCCCACTGAAAGTCTTTGACAAGAAAATTGTTCCAAAACACAAAAATTCGTTTAAGAAGATTTAAATTTTGTAAACTTACAAAATTACAAGATCAATTCACACATTTTACATTTGTTTAAACCATGATTTAACCATTACGAGTGCTGGTTTTCTTTTGGCTTTAAACTATTGCTCAATTGCTCATTAATAAAAATAAAAGTCTATTAGCCGTTTTTCACAAAAATACATTTCCCAAGAGAATGAAACTAGTAAAATAACTATTCATATCATTAGAAAAGCGGCTTTTTCCTCTACAATATCTTTTAAGCGATTTCTTCAAAAAGCTTCGACTTTAGGCGTTTTCCGGGAGCAAAGGCAAGTCAAGCAAAGGCAAAAACGTTAAAAATCGCCCATTTTGCAACTTTTTAGTGGGAATTTATATTTTATTTTCTGCGCGAATCAAAGATCGGACCATATTCTTACAAGTGATAGATGTTCAACTGAGCTATTTCGGATTCTATCGACATGTTCACACAAGATTATTGCATTATAAATTAACAGGAAAACTTTTGGCGTAAGGCTTCTTTTCTTTTTATCTTTTATTCTTTTCTTTTCTTCTTTTTTCTTTCTTTTTCTTTTATCTCCTTCAATATTATTACAATTTTATTTACAGTTTTTTTATTACTACGATTGTGTTTATTTCAGCTTTCAGATCATATATTTAGGGTTTAAAAGTGAATGGTTAAGTTGAATAAACACATTATATGAATCCAAAACTAGCGTTTAAGGGAGTTCAAATATCTCTAAAAATTCATTTAAAACTCAAAACTTATCTGTAAAAAGTAGAAAAATAATAATGCAAAAAAAGGCAAAATGGAAAAATAATAACGCAAAATCGAATGCTAAATGCATTGTTAGTCTTTTTTATATTTTTCTAAAGTGTTACCAGTTTGTTTGGATTGCTAAACTACTGAATGTTTTTTGAAAATTTATACGAAGAAAGTTTTCAATAAAGGTTTCATCTGATTGAGTATCAAAAAAAGAAGAAAAATTCGATGTAAATGAATATCCTCGAAAGAATTGACTAGAATAGAAGAACTCAAGAAAATCTCGTTTAAAGATTAACGTTTAACATAGTTTGAATCATGAATTGAATTGAATGGCTAGAACTGAAAGCAAAATCATGAATTGAACTACACACAGAAATGAATTGAACTGAAACTTTGCAGAAGAGAATTACATGAAGATCAGATTCAAATATTAAAAAAATACCGGGAAATGAAAATTTCAAGTAGTTTCGATATGATAGTTGAAAATTTCGATGTGAAAACTTGTGAGTAATAGCCTGAACTAACCAAAGCAATATGTTCAAAAACTAAGAAAGATTATTACGCACTACACGATACAAATAACAGTCTATCTAAACAAAAACCAATTCACTCTAAACACTCGATTCCATCGTCATCATGATTGGGTTTTGTGGCTGAAGTGGTGGAAGCTGAAGTTGAAGGAGTGCATTCCACTTGCGCTTTAGCTTTACACTTTTTCCTTCAGTTGAGCGTTCTATTTCTTGGGTTCGGTGTTCTGAAATCGAGCTTTATATTGGAAAGTTTCAATTTGTGGCCGAAGGGGTTGAATTTGAATCTGGGTTTAAATTTTTTGCCTAATTCAGAAGCTACATAGATTTAAACTGTGGGCAACTCCAAACGTACCTTTTTCCTCAATTTGAACAAAGCAATCATCATATATCCAAGAGTTAACGCTTGCTAAAATTTCAATGTTCTCCCACTTCTTCTTTGCTAATAGGTCGGCAAGAAAGTCTTTGCACGGATTTGAACTGGAATTTCTTAAAAACGAATCCACGAATTCAAGAGCATTTTATTCTATTCTTTACAATTCGACTCCAAGATATTATTCGTAAAAAATGAGTGCAGCTTTCCCGTAAAATTTTAGAGATTTTTGAAAAAGTACTATTTTCCAGCTTAAATTCAGCTCACTTTTTGCATTCCTTATGGGCTAAACGTAACATAAATGAGCATAACACTTTATAATCTCTATTTTTGACCAAAAAATTTTACAGAGAAGCTCTATTTTTTTTTCGTGTCATCTTCTTGGCACTGAGTGTTTGCTAAAATAGGTGATTCTGAAAAGTTAAAGCACTAGATAAAATAGAGAATCACAAATTTTCCCTATTTAAGTAGTTGATTTTTGGTTTTGAATGGGGTCACCTATCCACTAACTCATTAAAAACTTGTCTAAAAGCTGGTCACTTAAAAAGTGACCAAATCACTTCAGCTGAAGAAATCTCTTATTTTTACCTGCAACCCACTCTGATTTTTCATCAAAAACTTTTTGAAATACAGGGTTCGCCATAATTGTCGCAACAAGGCATCACGCGCATTCAAGGACAATAACCCGTTGATTTAAGCTTCATTCCTGTTTTTTTGTGTTTTTATTATATTTGGAATATACCGTAAATCATCTAAATAGCGCCGCGGCGCTTTTTAGAGGATTTGCGGTAATTGAAACTATTCTCATATAAAATGTGTTGCTTTTAGAATGGCTGGAAAATCCCCCACAATCGATCATCGAATTGCACAAGCGAGGAGTCTCGGCGCCGAAGATTCATAAGCATCTTAAAGTCTACAGAAGTGTTCTTTTCCGCACTATTCAACGCTACGAAGCTCCGGGAACAATTGCTGATGCACCAAGAAGCCGTAGACGCTCAATTGTCGTCACAAAGCCAGACATCAAGCGAGTGAGGGACCGAATTCGGAAGAAGCCAAACCAGTCGGCAAGGCAAATGGCAAAGAAGATGATTTCAAGCACCTCATTGCGTCGGAGCCTCAAAAATAAGCTCAAGGGTACAAGAACAAGCTTACAAGAATAAGCTTACAAGAAAAAAAAGGCTCAACTTCTTTTGAATACCGCTAAAAACCAGCGAAAATTAAGAGCAGATCAGTTATTGACCATCACAATATCTTGTTCCCAGATGAAAAGATATTTACCGTTGAAGGCCTTCTTAACAAGCGAAATGGTCGGTTCAAGAAGCCAAAATTGTTCAAAGCCCCACAAAAACTTCGAAGGCTTGAAGAAATCACTGTTTAAAGCATGGGAAGAGCTTGGTCCAGCCTATTTGGTCGCTACCGTTGACACCTTCCCGAAACGCCTGCGAGCCTGCTTAAATGCTATTGGTGGCCGAATTTAATTTGATAGTTCATTTATAATTTTTAATCTACAATAAATGTTATTCAGTTAAAAATTTGTCTTTTTTTTGCTCTTGCCTGCCTTAAAATCAAAACTTTATCTTGTTGCGACAATTATGGCGCACCCTCAATAGTCAATTTTACCAAAAAAATTGGGGAAGAATTTATGGCTTGATTTTTGAGGAATCACAGTGCAAACTTTTTCTACAAACTTTCTTGCGTAATATTTTGCTGAATTTTATCTATTTCACTTACATCTTTGAGCTCTTGCTCTTTTTGTTGCAGAATTGTCGTCGAATTTTGCGCCGTTGGATCCGCCTCTAGTAGTTGCTTCCAAAGTGAGATCATCTCATCGGAATCGGTAAGTTCTTGCTGAAATCTATATTTAATTCTCAACTTGAGATTAAAATGACAATGCTTGAACAAATTTCTTCAATTCTTACCATAACAAAGCTGAGGTTCCGAGTACTCGCTTGAGCCTCCTTAGCCAGTTCTTGTTGAAGAGCAAGATGCGCTTCCCGCGCTCCAGCAAGACGCGCTTCCAGCGCTCTAGCAAGATGTGCTTCCGGCGCTCCAGCAAGATGCGCTTCCGGCGCTCTAGCAAGATGTGCTTCCGGCGCTCCAGCAAGATGCGCTTCCGGCGCTCTAACAAGATGTGCTTCCGGCGCTCCAGCAAGATGTGCTTTCGGCGCTCCAGCAAGATGTGCTTCCGGCGCTTCCGGCGCTTCCAGCGCTTCCAGCGCTCTCCTCTCTTCTTGAATATTCAGATTTTCAGTAGTTGCAGCTTCCAACATCTTCAATTCATCGATCTTCTGCTCTTTGCTAATCGCATTTGGATCCAGCATTAGCAATGGTTTTCTTTCCTTTTTCTTTTCAGCGATTCCTCGATTCTTTGTGTCCAATTCCTCTCGTAGCTTTTGTAGCTCGTCAATTTCTTGCGCAATTTTAGTCTGAAATTGTGAATTTTACATCTAAAATGTTAATCGATTTTATAATCGAAGATGAAAGAAGAAAGAGAAAAATGCAACTAACTACAGATCACTAGATCATGGTGTACTTTCTGCTAGTAAGAGCTAAAACCTAACACACTCTCGCTTTGAGCTACCCTAAATCTTTTCAGAGTTTAAATCATATATTTAGTGCACCAAATGATATGTGTTTCTATTTCTGAGCACAAAATACAAAATAAACCTTGTGACTTACATTATTTTGCTCAGAGGCCGGGCTAGACAGCGCTTGATCGTCATTTGCATTGGAAGCGGGTGAACAACTTTCTGAAACAAATTTGTACGATTCTAAACTGTATTTCTATATTCCTACCTTCCTAATTGGACCCCATGGGGTACTATTTTCCCCCCCCCTCTAGGGTGGGGTACTATTAGAGGGTGGGTTACTATTTTACTCCACTACTCAAGTTACCCCATTCAGTCAAACCGATATCAATCTCCTCCGAGTTCAACTGGCGTCCGGCTCCATTGAGTCTCTTGCGTTTTCCGTGGACTTTCTCAAGCTCGATTTCTTGTTTGATGTAGGAACGCACACATTTTCGATCAATCTTATAGAATGCAGCGGCTGCTGTGATCGAAACATCATTGCCCATCTTTGCAACAGCCAATTTCGTTTTCACATCAATGGCCTTTTTCTTTTTCTTTGTAGGTAGCTCATCCGATTCACTTGAAGATCCTTCAACTTCAGCGTTGACCGAGCTCCCATTGGCATCTTGCTCGGCTCGTTCATCACGCGGTTCTTTGAAGAATTCCCTGTGTTCTTCGTATTCGCAACGAGCCCGATATTCCTCAAATCCATCGAGCGATTTTCCATCTAGATCCATATCTGAAATAAAATTAATAAAGTAAAAAAAAGGGGGGTGGCTACTCTGCGCCAAATTCTTTGCGCAACTCGTCATAGCTTTCTCCTAAGTGGGCCAATCTTTATGATTTTGGTGTTACTTTGCTGCACTTGTTGAGATCTACAATCATAAATATTGGCCCACTTAGAAGAAAGTTATGGCAAGCTGTGCACAAAATTTGGCGTAAAGTAGCCAGCCCAAATTTAAAAACAACAAATTTATGGGATAAAATTAAAAATAAAAGCGTTTTCTGAAAATACATGAAAATTTTCCAGTTTAAAAGCGTTGTTTGTAATTACGCCTTAGGTGGGGTACTATTAGAGGGGTGGGGTCCAATTACAGTATTTACGGTAAGGTATTTTTGATTCAAAACTCACCAGCAATCAACAAACCCTTGACCATTCCCGTTCTCATCTCCACTCTCTCATCTCCATTTTCCTTTTCATCATGTTCACTCATATCAAGCTGATCCATTACCTCATCTTTGATTACTTTCTGGAAACTTGTTGTTCAATCAAAAAGCCCTCTATTCTCATAGTTTATCAACTCACAGTAAATAAATCATCCTGTGCCACTTCCTCATCACGAACACCGCCATGCTCAACCTCTTCGTCTCTTAAAAAACCCTGAAACTGAATATTTTCAATTGTGCTGTAGTTTTCAACTAACCGGTTCATCTTCTTGTAGATATCGTCGATAATTTTTCTCAACAAAGCTTTGAAACGCTTCAGCCCTATTCGGGAAGCAGGCATTCGCCTTTTCGAGCCAAGCTTCCACCATGCTGTTTTCTCTAAACTTGGATCTCAATTTCTAATAATCTTTCTTTTTTAACACTTATTTTCTTATATTGAGGTATCTAACTACAAGATCTAATGATATTTATTTTTCTTCTGTTCTTATATTCTTCTTTCTTATCTAAAGATATTTATCCACTATATTACAGCTTTCTAACTCACATGCAATCTTTGATTGATCCCACATGTCCACAACTCATCTTCTTCGTTTGCGCTCTTTTGGGGCATTCTGAAGTTTTGATATAAGATCGAATTCATTTGAAAACCTTTTTTTTGACAGTAGTATCGCATCCGTGAGTGACTGATCGCGTGCTTGAAGAGACTTTCTGGCGAACTTTTTTTGTAAATCTTCTTGCAGCCCTTATCCTGGCATCGTAAGTTGCCGTTGGGGACATCGTCGTCAACATATGGAATTTGTGCCTAGAGGAGTGTGATTTCAATTTGGGATTGTAATGCACTTACTTGATTCGACGGTTCTCGAACTTTTTCTTGAGCTTGAATCATTTCCGGAAACAATGATTGATAGTTTTCGGCAAAATGCCGAATTTCTCTATTCAGAGTCGGAAAACACCGAACGGCTGTCTCACGCTGATTGTCAAGGCCCTTAGCGTCACTGAAATTCATCTTTAAGCTTAAAACACTATATTAAAATGATTTCCGAAGCTTAAACCTAGCACTTTAGACCAAACTCACAGTAAACTCACAGTAAATTGATGACACTTGAGTCGAAATCGCTTCCCTCGTACTCTGTATCGAGATGCATCTGAAGAAACGGTCTCTCACAACAAATGTAGCCACAAAGGACATGACCAGACAAGAACACAAAAACTTTAGTTACCTTTACCGTATTTTTGTTAGCGTGGGTGGCAGCGTGCTCAAAAGCCGACCGACTATTTTCCCCCACTTCACCCAGAGAGATCTCGTTCATGCACATCTAAAATGTGTCCAATGAGATAAGTTGGACTGCTCAAACTATTGTATAACTTTCAAAAATTCCAAACACTCACTTGACAAACCATTATGACACCCGGTAAAGCTGAAACTGAGATGGTCTTTGTTTCATTGAGCGATGGAAGATTGTCGATGAGTGGAGGAGTGACGTGCTCATAAACGGTTTGAGGCTCTTCTAGGGCAACGGTTTTTCGATTCTCAATTGATATTTGGGCAACAACATCTTCTTGCAGTTCTTGTGACTCTTGTTTATCAAGCTGAAGTATAGGATCCGGTTGAACCAGCACTTTTTCCTGTTCAAAAGCTCCTTGGATCTTTTCTTTGATCACACAAGTAGAAGAAGCTGGCGCAGTAGTTGGCTTTCTTCGTTTTACTGAAGCTGGTGTAACTGCTGGTTCTTTTTGTTTGACAGTTGGCGAATTTGTAGCTGGTCGTTCAACAGGAGTTTGAGGTAGCTGTGACAATTTAAATCGTTTCACGCCTTCTTCCGTTTCTTGTTGTTGCTCTGGAACTGGAGCTTGTTGTTTTTGCTGTTGTCGTGCCAGTTCCCTTTCTCGTCTATGTTGCTCTGCCCCTTCTTGTTGTTGTTGCTTCAATCTTTCTTCTTCTTCTCTTTGCCTTTCCCATCTTTCTACTTCTGCTCTTTGCCTTTTCAATCTTTCTTCTTCTACTCTTTGCCTTTTCAATCTTTCTTCTTCAATTCTTTGCCTTTTCAATCTTTCTTCTTCAACTCTTTGCCTTTTCAATCTTTCTTCTTCTCTTTGCCTTTCCAATCTTTCTTCTTCTCTTTGTTTTTTCAACCTTTCTTCTTCTTCTCTTTGCCTTCGTTTTTTCGCTTCTTTTTCCAGCAACTTTCTCTTTTTGCATTCATTGATAGCTGTTGGGTCCAATCTGGGAAACCAAATCATTGTCTCTTCAGCAACCTCACGATACAAATCCGGTGAACTAAATTTTATAATATTGGGTTGATGTGTATGACTTGGCACGCTTTTTCAAATTAAATCCCAGAGATGTAAACAAAAATGAGGGAGAGTGTTTGTGGAAAATAGGTAAGTGAACATTCACTCGTGCGAAAACAATGGACTTTCACTTTCGAAATATTTGATTTTTGAAATTTTACTTTACTTTGTTCTAACTATTGAAAATCTACCGCCTGAAATCTGTGACACGTTATGTTGTACGAATTGCTACAAGAACACATGGGCCTCTAGTGTTCAGCTAATATTGGAAATTTTTATGTGGAAGGATCAGCTTCACCACGGACATGTGCAAACCGGTTTGTTAAATTCCGTTCTGGGTATGAATCTTCGAAGACAAAGAAAGAGGGTCATCCAACAGTTCAGCTGGATAATGCCAAGTTGCTCGAAATCTTTCAAACCAACAAAAGGCTTTTTTTGCGAATTAGCAGAAGAGTTATTAGTTGATCATACAACAATACTCGAACAATTGAATACACTTGGGTTTAAACTGTATTAGGGACTTGGTTCCCACATGATTTAACGGACACACAGAGATGGCAACGTGTCAGAAATCAGTGCCGCTCATCTTTCTCGATACGAGTGCAAAAGTAGAAAATGACCTTCAGGGAAAAAAATGTGTTTTGGAGAAATGTTTTCATGTTAAATTTGAATTTCTGTTGTAAATTTTTAATGTAAATTTTCGCGCGACGTCGCATTCCCCGACGACGACGACGACGACGCAAAAAATAGCTAACAGATTGGTCAAAACAGAAGATTTTCTACGAGCGAGGCACTCGACTTCTACCCGTAAAATAAATCATTTCCACAATTTGTACAATTTACATAGAAATTGTAATTTCTTGGTAAAATTCTAGGGGTTTATCACACATCTGTACCTCCTTTTCGAGCAACCATCGTACTTTTGCTTCACATGCATCTTGGCGTGTTTCCAACATGAATCGAGGGTGGCTTCGGTATAGTGATAGCATTTCTAAACTTTGAGCTATCAAGTTGAAAATATAAAAGGCAGAAGACCTTGCATTTCCAATCTGTTTTTGGTTCCGGGATGATTGGTGGCTAAATTTTTTATCTATCTTTTGAAAACTTTTCTCAGCTCACTTGGGCTAGTCGATTTGCTTGTTGAAAACTAGGATCTACCTGAATTGCTCCTGGACTTGGATAGTGAACGGAATTTGACCACCTCTGAAAGGAATGTTTGATTAGTTCACTGGTTTTTGAGGTACAATTTCAAGTACACTAGCTAATGCTTAAATGAAATGATTACTTTGATGCTATTCTTTAGCTCTTAAAGGAAAAGATTACTTTAGTACTATTCTTTAGCTCAAAATACTCAACTAATCTTGAATTTGACATCATGTCGTATTGGGAATCAATTTGAATGTGAAATTCGCATTGATTTTGAAAGTTAACTTCCAAAAACCAACCGCTTCTATGTGTTGATGTGGTTGTGGTTGTCCGGAGGTTGATGGAGCTGTAGGCTTTTGGGCATTAAATCGATTATCTCTGTTCTAAACATCTTATATAAAATGATTTCCCAATAAATAGTCATGATCAAATCTGAATTCAAACCTCAACTGGTTGATTTGAGGGTTGAATGCCTGATGTACTCGATTTTGAAACCGGCACAGGAGGACGGACGTTTTGAGTAGGACCATGATTCTGAAAATTGACTATTTTCAGAACAAAGAATAGGAATTTCTGGATAATATTTGACTAAACTGTTTAACAATGATCTGAGCTTCGTCAACTATCAAACTATCAAACTCTTCCAATACTAACCATTTCCATCCGATGATTCGCTGGGACCTCTCCACCATTTGAAGGAATCGATCTTGCATTTTGATTCACAACATTTTGCGGAACATTGCTCTTCTTTTTCTAAACAATATTTGTCTAGAAAGCTTTTCAAATTAAAGTTCACTTCTACTTCTCTTTGAATAACCCTATCCACTTGCACCACATTTGGGTAGTAGACTAGCTTCGAGTCGTCAAATTGAAACTAGAAAGTTATCCATTATCAAACAATGATTTCAGCTTAACTATGCCATTGAAATTTTGGTTTCTACAACATTTTTCCATCAAACTCACTTGTGAATCCATTCTCCAATCCGAATTCCCCGCTTCAATTTGGCCTTTCACCCATTCTCTCACTTGATCATTCAACTCCGGAAATGCCTCTGTTGCGACTTTTTGCATCTCCATGATCACTTTGAACTCACTGAAAGTGTATTCTTTTAAATGAAACTTAAAAAATACAATTTAGATTCTTTTAGTACTCACTTGTTAAAAGCTGGCTTGGTGAAAACTTTGTGCTCACTGGTCTTGTGATTCTGCATCGCTTCTTTGGAGTGGCTCTGAAAAAAATCCGCATTATTTTGAAAAACACACCACTCTGGAGGCCAAAACTTAACAAATTTCCAAGAATGAACTTATCCTTATCCAAATTTAGCAAAATTTTTAAATTTTCATGTTCAAACCTTCATCGAACACGTGCGTATACATCGATAGACTGGTTCTTTCATGTGGATAAAGCAATGCTTCAACCATTCACTCTCCAGAACGGCCGAATCGCATTCAAGCCCCGTTTCCATTCGAAACTGAAAAGTTACATGATTGTTTCCAAATTATCCGGACAACTTTTTGGAAAAGTAGTTGCCGCACACTTAATCTATTTTAAAGTACCAAGTGTTATGTAGAGAATTGTAGCCCTTAATCTTGGCTACATTTACCTACTAAAGACTTGCCAATCAGATTTATGCAACTCATTTAACAAGTCCTTGAATGAGCACGACCCTTATCCAATGTGCTGCCACTTTTGACGATTTTCTACAGAAAAAAATGTTCGAAAATGTTTTTGTCAATATTTATTTTATGCAAAAATCTCATTTAACACTATTAATAATATTAAAGATAACTCTCAAGTGTTTTGGCTAAATTCCTTTAGAATTCCACCATACGCACAATAGGGCCTTCTTTCCATGCAATTCTGGCTTTGGCGTCGGTTTCGGATCTTCTCCCGGCGACAACCACTGGTGCTTCCTCGTTGCATTGTCAAAAGAAATCCACTTCTCGTCCGCAGTAACGATGGAATCAATAAAACCAGAGTTCTTTGTTTGGCCAATGAGAAACCCACAAATTGATACACGAGCAGCTTTATTCGCTTCACTCAATTTGTGGGGAAGCCACTTTCCGCATCGATTAAATTTTCCAATCTCATGGAGATGATTGTCGATTGTTGATTTGGAACAACCAAATAATTCGGCCAACTCACGAGTAGTTTGAGTTGGATCAGACTCAATGGTGTTAAGCAAAGCTTCGTTATCAAAAACGACTGGCCTTCCAGCGCGTTCCTCGTCCTCTAACGACTCGTTTCCGTCCGCAAATCGTTTAAATCAGCGCTGGCACTGGCTGATTGAAATTGAATGCTCTCCAAATGCTGCACAGATAGTTCGATGGCAATCCGCTGCAGTTTTACCTCGTTTGAAATCATACAGCATTGATGCGCGGACAACAAACTTTTTGTCTTTCATCTGCAAAACAACATAACTATTATAAAACAAAGGCAAATGAATAAAATAATATATAAAAATAAACACAAGATGCTGATGATTAAAAAGAGCATATATTTGCTCGAAGCGATTTCGCAACAGTTTCGAAATAAGTAACACGCATTACTTATTGGACAACCTAATAGAAGCGTGCGACAACTACTTTTCCAGAAAGTTGTGCGGATAATTTTGGGACGCCCTGTAGATTTTTAAATTCGCAATCAAATTCTTGCTCAAGGTCAAGTCCAACTCACCTTGCAACTGTGTCGTATCGGCTGATCTATTTCTTGTTGAACCCGATCTTGGAATGTCTGAAATTGCTTCTTACAAGCTATCTCTCGTGTAAAATTACCATTAGCATGTTGTGTGGCTGAACAATGTCCATATCGACAACTTGATTGTTGCTTGACGCTACAGATTCATCAGATTTTATCTAATTCATCAGATTTAGATGCAAATTCTTTTACATACCATTTGGATATTGGCTTGTGAAGTGAAGAAATCATCTTCAGTATATTCATCCTGAAAAGAAAGGTCAACCTCTGGACTTTTTACAGTGTTCTGGAGAAAAATGTATCAACAAGGATTAAGACTTCTGTAGATATAAATAAAATTATCGCTTATTACAATATTCTGGATTAGAAAGGATCAGGGATATTGTTCAGCCACCGAATAGCTGCTGTTTATTGAATGGATTTGAAAGAATCCCAAGTCTACTACGGTGCGATAGATTCAAACTATACAGGATTAGAAAGATTAAAGTTGATTAGTTTGTTCATTGAATGAAATTCTCACCTCTCCATTTCCATTCGAGTCCTCAATTAGATCGGTGAGTGACTTCTGAAAGCCCTTCTTTAGCTCAAAAGTTTCTTTACCCAGTGAAAGCTTTGATTTCTTCGAAAAAGGGACATCTCCTCTTTGCTCTCTTTCATCGGATTTCTTTTTTAGACTTTCAGAGCCAAACATCTAAATCGGAAAAGAATCATTTAAGTAAATTTTCGCTACAAGATGTTGCAAAACATCAGAAACCGAAGTCAATCAAATCTTATCAATGCTTATCAAGAAATTTTCCAACAGGACAAACAAAGACGGTTCGAAAACCCAATTAGCTTTGAAACCTGAAGCTTTATTGATTCCTGACTATGTTTACTTTTTAGTTCCTTCAGCTCATTTGGCTATCTAAGCTATGTTTTAATCTGAAATGTCAGAGGTCCTGAAATTCGAAGTGAGCTACACCGTCACTCTAACCGTAACACCAGATAGTAACATCACTCCCCGAAGAGCTTGGGCAAAGGCTAAATTAACAATGATGGTCCAAGATCAGAAATTATGTTAAGGGTTGAGGGTTGAAGTCTCACGTAAATTTATAATCCTTGTTGTCGTGCCGATCGAAAATCAATTTGTTATCGATAACGATCGATAACGCCAATCGATAACGATAAAGCAGGAGTCTTTTCGGCTAACGCCGCTTTTCCTGCTGGACAGTTGGGGCTGAACGTAGTCGGGGATTCATTTATCCAAAGAACCTTGATTCTGTTCCTTTTTTATTTTGCGCTGAAGTTCATGGATATTAATTGTTATCATAAAAGCAAGAAGCATGAAGCATGAAGCAGATATCATAAAAGAACAAGAAACTTCTTAGCTAGACAAAAAGGGCATAATTAGAGCTAAATTAATTAGAGCTAAATCATAATTAGAGTTTGTGACAACTTATCTTTTAAAAAATATATCACGAGGCACAAAATAGCAAACGTCTTTTTGGCACCGTGCCAGGCTGTGGGTGGTCCAAAACTATTCTTTTTTAAAAAATTTCTATAGAAACTCGCATGTATCATATATCATTTGAAAGCTCTAATTCTCAGCATCATTAATACATTCAGGATTCTCTGGTTAGAGCTTACCTCTGGCCTACGGAATGAGCTCGCAGCGAGCACCTAGCGCAGTCTGCCATTTCTCTTGGCCCTCGAACGAATTCTTACTTCTTAGCCCTCCTCAAGTGAGGTCTTGTCTTATGAATTACCTAAAGAAAATAATAAAGGCAATCTTATTCACTAAAAATTAAGGAAATCTTCAAGGTCAGCTCAAATAAAGCAATGAACTGCACTGCACATAATGAAAAAGTTATAATTCAGATCGACACCTCCCTTCACTTGAGACGTCATCCCTACAGCCATGCTGAGTCGAAATTACTCTCTTCGCTCCTTTATCAGCCTCAAAAATACGAGAAAGGGACGGTGGCTAGGCATCGAATGTACCATAAAATTCCGATAAGAGCGGTACACAAGAGGTTTTCGGTTTTCGCTAAAAAATACTTTTTTCTGAAATTTTGTGACCGATATTAAAAAATACTTTTTTCTGAAATTTTGTGACTTTCTAAGCCTCAAAAATACGGAAAGGGCCGGTGCCTAGCGGCATCGAATGTACCATAAAATTCCATTGATAACAGCGAGAGATAAGAGCAGTTTTTGCTAAAAAATACTTTTTTCTGAATTTTTTTTTATGGATATTAATTTTTCTTTTTTTTGTTTTTTAACCTTACGTTTTATATTTTTTATTGTAGAAATCATGCAACCTCGCAAGTCTTATACAGCGGGTTTCAAGCTTGACGTGGTGAAGCACCAGGATGTGCATGGAAGATTATCGGCAGCTATTCATTTTAATGTGAATGTAGGAATGATTAGAAGATGGGTTGCGGATAGGGATATCCTCGAGAAGATGCCAGCAACGAAAAGAGCCCGGCGTTCCGGAAGGCTAGGCGTGAATGAAATTGAGGTGGAAATTCACAATTGGATTGTTCAAAAGAGAGCCTAAGCCTAAGCCTTAATTTTGATTAGCCCTCTCCTCTCGAATATAGATTTCTTAAAACATTAAAGTCAAAGCTTTAAAAACAACACGAATCATCTATCGGATCTCGGAACAACCATAGTATGTCCTATCAAATCAGCCCTGATAACATGGAAAATTTGGTATTCTTTACATTTTCTCAATTGCACCAATGTTCTGGCTTAGCATAAAGTTTAGGAACTCCAACAGCCAGCTGATATTGATCACAATCACATCCGCCATGAAGCGCTAGAAGCTCGATCTTTCTCTATTGACCATGAAGCTCAAAAGGATAAATGTCTTGTTAGTTTCAGTCTTGTTTGAAAATAAGATATCATTGATATCATTGAGTAAATCAAGTTAGAAAATTTCAGGCGTGTAACACTTGTCGGAAAAATAGGGGGCCAACACATTTCTTTGACCACATCATCATTCATGCGTCGAAGCGCCGATTTCGATGCTCTAGTTAGTTTGCTTCTAGAATTTGCATATTATTTAAATTCACTCGTTGTCTTTTAGAATGTGGCGACACGAAATATAAACCCGCCGCCTTCAAAAAGCATCGCATAAAGTGTGGCGGAGAAACGATCGATGACATGTTTGCTTTTTCAGTCATTTTAATCATCACTCATTTTAGAGACTCAGAAATGATTGAGGAGTGGAGACAGCTGATTAATAAATGCTATCCACAACATTCCGAAGAAATGCATGACTATCTGAATGAAAAATTTGCGAGGGTAGGTTTATTTAAAGCGAGCTTGATGGAAAAACTTCAGATATTGGCACCAAAGACACCAAAAAACACCAAACCAAAGAAAAAGCGAGAAGAACAAAGAGAAGGCTCGCTCCAGAAATGCCTCGAACCATTTGTTTATCCGACAGACGGATCTAATGGAATGAATCATATGGAGACAACTGAAAGTATTGCGATCCCGGCTGAAGCTATGGAAATTTCAATGGTAAGTGAAGTTTAATCGGTTTAGCGACTTTGGAAGGCTCGGTTTATAGATGTAGTCAGCCATTTTAGCCCCAGCTATCACTATTGCGTCAAGATGTCATAAAAGATGAGGATTGGAATCAGGGAACAGGTAAACACTGATTCAAAGGCAATTTTTGTGCTATTCAAACAATGATTTTGGTTTATTGATATTGAAGATCTACAGGATAGGCCAAAAGTTCTGCTAGCTTCTTTCCAAACGCAAAGTTCTGCTACCACACGCAAAATCAAACTAAATTTACGTAAAATGTAACAAGAAAACTAATTCGGAATTTATAACAACAACCTAGATCAAAAAAAGTAGATTAAACGCTCAAAACCTTCTTCTTTTACTTTAATACATTTGCCGAGAAGCATTCGAAATCGGTCGAATTTTCGGTCACCGAAATCTCACTCCAAGCCCGACTCAAAGCGACTTTGAGCTGGCTAACTGATTTGGATCTGGTACGGGAGATACATCTACAGATACATCTGTATATTCAGTGATCTGTGATTATCTCAGAAATTCGCTTCCTTTTTATGCAGCTCGCTGAACGTTTTCTGTTCATTGTCGACCTTCATCCAAACCTTTTGCACGTGTCAATCTTTTCAATTTATTAAAAGTAATACAAAAACATGCCTAAAAAAGCCCATAATCGCAAAATAGAAAACAGCATAAAATGAGTCATGGCGGTAGCAAAACTTTCGGTGCGCTCTGTATTTTGCTGACAATCCCTCGATTTTAGAGTCACCATCAAACGCTTCAAGCACCTCTACATCAGTAGAACAAAACTCGCAGCTCGTTCTCATCCTTCAGGTAAATCTAGCAATGAAAAATTCAAATCAAGCATTTTTTGTAAACTTTAGAAGCGCAATGAGGAAATTCGGCTCTTACGAGAAGAACTCGAAACTTGGAATCGAAAAATGGTCCAAATGGAGCAAATGCTGGCTGGCAAATGTATGGAAACGAGTCAGCTGAGGGAAGAAAAGATCGCGGTGAGTGAATGTTTGAAACAAAGATATTAACGATATTAAAGATATTACGATTTAACAAAGCCCACAATTCAATTTTAGTCTGATGCACAGAGAGAGGCACAGTTTAGAGCGCTACAGAATAAGGTGGGTTTGTTGGCAGAAAAAAATACGTGCGACCAAATGTAGACCTCGTCAAGCATACAGCGATTACATTTTTATGAATGCTACATCCCTAATTCATTCAATTTCAGATCTTGATGCTGAAAGCTCAATTAAGAACTAAAGGGATGAATGGGTGATGGGATCAATTGGATTGATTTGTTATTGGATTTGGATTACATATCACAAAATGAGGCTTATGTTCTTTAAATTTGTTGCGTACTTACGTTATTTGAATCTTATCTAACTAGCAATATCTTGTGTTTAACTTTGACATTTTGCTTAAGCGGTCATTTCGAGGTGCTAACTAAATGATTAAATATGATTTTGGAATAAAAACCTGTAGATTTTTTTCTGAAAGATGCCTTTTTCACACATATTTAGCTTTAAATGATGAAATCAACTGATATTAGGTTGTCCCATAAAAAATTGCGGTTTTTCAAAAATTTCTTTTTTCAACAAAAAATAAAAAGTAACAACGTAGATCATACGATATATTTTCCATGATTATTGTAGACATTTAACCAACGTTTTGGTAACTTTTCAAGTCCTCGCTTGTAAAAATCGGGTTGGCGTGAATGAAAGTAGTCCTCCAATTCGTTCTCGAGGTCACCTTGGTTGTTGAATTGCTTGCCTCGAAGGAAATGCTTTAGCGACAAAAATAAGTAGTAATCAGAAGGAGCAATATCCGGGTTATAAGGGGGATGTGAAAGTACATTCCAGTGCAAATTGTTTTCCATAAAATCCTTCGATTTCCTCGACTTGTGGGGATGGGGCGTTGTCTTCAAGCACAAAAACGGAACCGTTCCATTCATTCTGATAGACCAATCGGAGAATTTTCTGCTCAACTTGTTGCATATGACGTCTATAAACATCACTGTAAAAAGTTTAACCCTTCTGGAACAGCTCCCAAAAAAAGTACGCCAGAGCAACACCTATCGACACACAGAAATCGCTTATTCCCATGAGTATTTCGTTTTTCCACTAATTTTCCCAATCGACCTTTCTTCAACCATTGCCGTTTCAACACTCGACAATCATAGAATATCCACGATTGATCATGAGTCACAATATTGAAAAGAGGAAACCGACCGCATCGATATTCGTTCAGTAGTTGACGGCATGACCGCGCTCTTTGGCCCTTAATCGAATTTTTCAAATGATAGGGAATTTGCCGCTGTTTCAACCACTTTCTTCCGGTTTTTTTTGAGCCAACGCCATACTGTCATTCTTCAGTAATAGCTTTGTGCCAAAATCCGAGTCGTTCCTTCGGGATTTTGCTGAAGTTGGCGCCTCAACGTCTGTCGATTCACTTTTCTGGGACGACCGCTTCCTCGCTTTCGTGTGAGCCGGTTGTCACCTTTTCGGAACTTCTGGAACCACCATCGTGTAGTCCTTTCCTTGACGATTGTTGGCCCATAAAAGAATTGATTTCTCTCGCTGCTTTGGCCGCGGAAATCCTCTTCAAATATCATTGATGGATTATTGATGGATTTCTTTACGAGACAGCGCCATGTGATCGATCACAACTTTTTTTGTTTTTGATTCCTAAAAAAGAGAATTTAGCACATAAAACTAGAATTGTAAAGCAGTATAATAAAAAAACAGAAAGAGAAAGTGTTAATTTGTCGCTGAATACGAATCAAATGGAAAAAACGCAATTTTTTATGAGACAACCTAATACTATTGACTAATTTCCTCATTTCCCGGCTGAAATCACAAAATTTTTGTGTATTTTTTTGATAAAACTTACCACTATTGTAAATGATTTAAAAATATCGATCTCATTAGAAGTCAAGCGAAATTCTAATAAATTTTATTACGGTGGCTTTGAGTCGATGATACGTTTTAGAAAAAAAATTACTCAAGAGATCCGAGGTGCTAGCAAAGCGCCAAAAATTATTAGGTTGGTGCAGATGAAACTTTCGTTGGAACCATAAAGAAAATTTATTATAAAAATCGCAAATTGCCTGTAAAATGGGCAGAAGTCGTCAATAATACTGGAAATTATTTGGAATGAATTTATGGTTTTATGTTAGATAATTTTAGTTCAAAGTTCCGCAATTTTCGATTCACCAACCCAATATTTGGCATGGATCCGATTCGATAGCGTTCTTCAACTCATCGTTGTCGACGATTTGAGGCGGATTCCCGCGCTTTTTGCCTTCTAAGCTTTCATCACCGCCTCGGAAGCGCTGAAACCAAGTCCGGCATGGACGTTCGGACAACACGTCATCGCCGAATGCTTTGCACAGAGCACGATGAGATTCCGCAGCCGTTCTGCCTTGTTTCAAATCATACAACAAGCGAACCCGCACTCGAAATTTTTGGTCAACCATTTTCTAGGAGCTAAAAATAACTTCAAATGAATTTAAAACGCATGAGTCCTGGATATCAAAACGACGCGCAAAGAGACGCTCTTCCAGATAGACAATTATATTCAATAAAAACTTTTAGGCCCAAAATATAAACAAACAAGTGTGACGGAAGTTTCATCTGGACCAACCTAATATGAGGCATTTTGTGCTTTGCTTCAAAAAACTCCAACTTTAGCCCACGCGGGGCAGTGGTTTGTTTCGGATTTTTGATTTGATTTTGATTGTTGTTGTTTGTGTTTGTTATGTTATCTGATTTGGGTGTATGTCTTTATACTCTGCTCATTCGATAAACCATCCGGAGTGTGAAATGTCATTTTGTGTTATGGGCGTAGAAATAGCGTAATGCAATGGAGTTTTTTTAAAGCGAAGCACAAAATGCCCCATATTTTCCCCCGTCGGGCTTTATTGGGGTTTTCTCGGAAACCGCTCGAATTTCTCAAATATTTTGCCGGTAAAAAAGAGAGGCTATGGTTCCTTCTATATTCCCCTTCTTATCTCCCACTCCCCCTTTCCCAATTTCTTTTTGCCCCTTTCTGACCCAGCCACTCGAAGAATCTCGTCTCTTTTCCTTTTCTCCTGTTTTCCTTTTTCCCGAGGCTGTGGGTGGTCTTCTTCATCCCTGATAATGAGAAGTTTTTTTGAGGGGAGTGGGGACTTTAGATGGAAAGAAATAGAAAACCGCTTCTGCAAAATAAATACGAAAATAATTAGAGAAGTGCTCGCTCAAACGGAGAAACAAATTAATGATCCATACTGTCATACTGGCGCTGAGGTGCTAGCAAAAGCGCCGTATTTTTTTTGCGCCAAAATCCTTTGTGTTAATTTCTTTTGCGTCGAGTATCATTTGCGCCAAATTTGATGAAAATCACTATGACAAATACTTTTTCCCAACTTCCAACTAACTTTTTTTCACTTTTCTGCTCCACAATTTTAGTTGTTTTCATTGTTTTCAATCAGAAAACATGTTTAAATACCTATACAGACCCCAAGAACAGTCATTTTTGTGCCTCCGATTAGGCTTTTTATTCTTTATACCAATCTTATGCCATTTTCAGATCTGGCGAGAGCGGCAAAATAGCAGGCATCGTCAACGAGGAAACACTGAAAAAAGTCTAAATGGCCAATAAGAGTTGGTAGGAAAGTGCGTTGAAAAGGGCAAATTTGGCGCAAATCATATGTGGAGCAAATATTAGGTTGGTGCATATCAAACTTCCGTCACACTTGTTTGTTTATATTTTGGACCTAATAAAAGTTTTTATTGAATATATTTGTCTATCTGGAAGAGCGTCTCTTTGCGCCTCTTTTGATATCCAGGGCTCATGCGTTTTAAATTCATTTGAAGTAATTTTTAGCTCCTGAAAATGATTTGAACAAAATTTCGAGTGCGGAGTTCGCTTGTGTGATTTTTAAACTATCGGGTAGTTGAGGACATTGCTAAAAAAAAATGAAGCGAGTCAAATAAAAAAAAACTGGCAATAACAATAAAAATATTTTCATGAACGCTAAAAAAATGATAAATGTGAGAGAGCATCACAGTACCTTTATAAACTAAGCATAGAAGTATTCAGTCAAGAGAAAATGAGACGTCGCAGTTTAGACATTGGCGCTACAAACTACCAACGCTTCTAACTGGCCTCAAATCTGTCGCATTGACATGAACTATACTCAAAAAATAGAGAATCTCAAGTGCTTTCGAATGGACTCAAGTACATCTAAAAATATCAATACTAAAGAAAGTTTTAATGGTTTGTATCCTGGCTAGATCGTTGCAACTACGTGCGAGTACGGTCCGTTTCGACAGGACTAAATTAATGGTAAAATTACGCTTCTAGGGGGTACCCTACCACAAAAATTACCAAAAAAATTCGAAATTAACCGCTATTGGAAGGTTTTTTGTTGATGGGCACATGCGCTTTTATGAGCGAAAAAAACAAAAAAGCGAAAATTTATGTTGGGAAATTAAAAAAATGACCAAAAACTGATAGGGGGCAATTAGGGGCAATTAGGGGCACTCGGAGGGCACTTTGGGGGGCCCAAAGTGCCCTCCGAGTGCCCCCGAGAATTTTACCATTTCTTCTTTGTTTTTTTGGTGAAAGATGAAGAGGTGAAGATGTTTCTGATTTAGATGCCGAAGACACAGTGTAACAACATTGCAAATGCCCGCCTGAGACACATGAGCTAAACTATGAACGCAACATCAGGACCACTTCACGCGGCAAAGTTTTGGTACTAAGGCAGGGGGTACTTAAATTTTATCAAATGTAGTTTTTCTAGCGTAATGCGTAATGCTAGCGATGCTTTTCATAAGTGCTTCTTTATTTACACTGAAAGAGTTTTTATTTTACCTGAAATCAATAATACAAGTAAATCATCAATAACATCATTTGAGGCAAACGGAAATTAAATAAATCAGCAATCATCAGCTTCTTCGCATTCTTCCTCTTCCTCGTGCCCATGTCCATTGGTCGCTTTCAGGAATGTCTCTAGTCGGAGGTTTAAGTCGAAAATCTGAAAATTTAGGATTTAAACTTTATACTAGGCATACTAGTGAAAGATTCAATACTACAATAGTTTACGTTCACAGTATTTTACGTTTTTTTCTCACCTTTTCCTCATATTTCGTTTTGTCTAATTCGCGTTGACCGAGAATTCGAATCAACTAAAAAACTTTGTCTAAAACACAAATTTCAACAAACCTTATCGTTTTCCGACTCGAGTTCGATCAGTTTTTGCTTGCGTTGCTGAAATTGTTTGGGTTTGAGTGGGATTTCATGGCTTTCCCAATAACTCTAATCCAAGTCTCAACCAACCTTCTCTTTTTGATGCATTTCCACAAGTGTTTTCCGAGCTTCAGTCAATTGTCGATCTTTCAACGCCAACAATTGATAGAGTTTCTTGATCTCGAGACTTGGATGACCGGTTGACGGACTTGTTGGGGTTCTTGGCTAAAATTTTTTGGTAAATAGGTACAAATGGGTATAAAAATAGGTAAATAGGTATGAAATTTGCACCTCTTGCACTCGTTGTCTCTTGATTTGTGGTGGTGCGTCTTCGGAAGACGATCTTGAGCCATTCTCCCGATTTGTGACGGCCATTTGCGACAATTCAGATGGAGTTGAACAAGAGGCTTCGGCTTCTGAAATTTGAAAACTTTTTGCTTAAAAACTGAACTGAGATACCTAGATTCTTAACCATTGAGTTCGAATCAAGTCTAAACTTTTCCCACTCACCAAAATCGTGTTCCACCTTGAGGTTTGCATGCATTCTCTCATCGGATTGTTCATGGATTCGTTTCTCGAAGTTTTCCATGGCTGAGATCGTGTTGAGAATGTCATCCAACGATGAAGGGCACTAAATATTTATTTGAGATTTAAATATTATATTTTTTGAAGTTCTAGCTAAACGTTTAAGATAATTTTAGCCAAGTTTAAGCCTTAAGATTCATTTCCCTTCAACTCACCGGCTCAAAGTCGGCCTTCGTCGTTAAACCCATTTTCGGTGTTGTGGGGAGATTTGGAAAGAAAATATTCGTCTCATTTTTGGTTGGAGATCGTGGAATGAATGGAGAAGATCCTTTCATTTGAATTGCTTTCAACCAACAGTTCTTATTCTGTTCGAAATATTCCTCGATTAATGGTTGAACCTCGGGGAAAGCTTGTTTTGCTTTCTCGAACACTTGGAAGAGGTATTTCTCGTCTCTGAAATAAATTGAGGTTTGAAAAAGCTGCAACTATGAAACAAAAATATTTTTTTTATTGAAATTTTAACTTTTTTTGTTCGAAACTCACGAATTGTCCAAAACTCGTCCATTTGGGGCGTCGTGCCTCCGTTTGACGTGGATCGAAGCACAAACATACGTCTTCGCTTCATATCCACACTCTCAAACAATCGTTGATTATTTCTTAGATATAGTACATCAATGAATTGTTCAACTCACCAGAACATTGATAATTCCTTTGATCTAAATGCGTCTTCACATGTTCGATCAATGGCCTCAGTCGGCCGAGTGTTTGCGTGAAATTGCTCTGTTGCACGCGGCGATTGCGAATCACACAAAAGATCCCAAGATTTTGGCTGCTTCTGAAAAAGAATTGTATTTTTGGCAAAGAAAACGGATAAGAAACCCAAGTTTGGCAGTTAATCACCATTTTAAAATTTAAAATTTGCTACGTAGACAAAATTTACAGGATGGCCGAGACGCGAGGTTGGTGAATTTGGCGCGAGGTTTTTGACTCGTATATGGTGCCGGGTTTATGAAAACCTATTGAAATCATATCCATAAATGTAGCTAATTTTCTGTAGCTTCTGAAACATAATTATTTTACAAGAAGTCTCCTAGTTTTTGAATTATGCTATTTTCCCCCCAAAAATGCGTGAAATTGATATAGAGGTTCACCCAAGCATATTGTGTTTCCAATCAAGCTGGCTGCTGAAAGGATGTTTTCAATTATTAGCTAGGTCTTGTTTTAGCTAACTTGAACTGGAATCTGATAGAAAAATGGAAAAGAAAAGTCCTTTTACACACTTTTTCCACCATCATCATCATTTCCACCAGAGGCGCGGAAAAGGGCATAACTCAAAAACTAGGAAGCCTCTTGTAAAATAATTATACGCTTCAGAAACTACAGAAAATTTCCTACATGTTTGCATCTGATTTCGTTATTTTTGATAAACCTGGCATCATCTACAAGTTAAAAACCTCGCGGTAAATTTCGTCGGCCACCCTGTCGGTTCAATAATTATGGGACCAGTAGATTACTAGATTTAGAGCTTATTTTGTAAAATTTTAATGATAAAAAGGAAACACACTTATCAATACGCTCAGCGTTAACAACTTTAAGCTGCTTTTTTCTAAATTATTGCCTTTTGCGCTATTGCTTGCCTAGAAACGCCTGAAACGTCTACTGTGGCACGGAGATCGGATAAATTGAGTTTGTCACAAACTCTCGTTAAGCTTTCTTGGAAAAATCAAACTGAAATGTGATTCTAATATTTTTAATGTCCTTTTGAATGTTTTTTATGTTGATTTAATGTTTTTAATGTTGAAAACCGAGCGCTAAACGACCTAAACTAAACTAAACTGAGCGCTTGAGAACACTAAACGACCTGCCAGTTTGAAAGTCCCCCTAAGTAAATAATAATAAATAATAAATAGTAAACATCCTGTAATACTCAAAGTTTTGGTATTCGAATAGTTGTGAAGCGCTAATATTAAGAAAAGATTTGTTCCAAACTAACCGATAGTCCAATTGGTGTTCCTTTTGTCGGAGCCATCATTTTCTCGAGAGCCTCCTTGCCGAAAGCCATGAATTCCGGATCCTCGAAGAGACCGTCAGAGTCGTTCATTTCTGGAAAAGTTTGAGTTTCGAAGAGATAAAAAAGAAACAAGTTTATCAATAGCTTCAAATAAACTGTTGTTGAAAATTAAATGAAAGAAATTAAATCTTTAAGTTATCTAAATCTCAATTAAATAAGAAAACGCTTAATTCCGTCAAAATTCCTAAATTCAGTTAACCATTTAATTTAAGAGACATTAAACATGGATTTGTGTTTAAAACGAAGTTGATTCAGTTTAAAATTCAACAACTGGAACAAGTCAATTTGCATTTAAAGAGCTAAACTTGTGTGAGAAAATTTTAAACTACGAAAACACTTTCGTAAGCGAAACGCGCAAATTAAAGCAGGAGAAAAAGAGGCAATCGATATTTTGCGTGAAGAAATTGGGGGTCGTCGGGCTTGCGATTAAATTTGCTTTTTAATCTCTTTTTGTGTCTCTCCCAACGATCAAACAAGAGCCAGCCTTTCCCCTCCAATAAACAACACATGCTGGGGAAAAGTCGAGAGAAATTATAGAAAATTTGAGATTAAAGCTGTATTCGGAGAGTGGAAAAGGGCAATTCGAGATTTGTAGTCGGAGGAATTGGGAAATTAAATTTTAGGAAGCAGATGGCAGATAAGTTTACTAATTTTGTGAAATTATATTTGTTCTGGAATTGTGGAAATTTTACTTTGTGAATTAAACTGAATTTGAAATAGTTTTGATATAAAGTTCTATTTCAAATCCAGTCATTTGAAAGGATTCATGGAAAGTTTTAAAGTAAAAGAACACTTTTGAAGCAGAACTGATCAAGCAAAAGTTTTAGTCAAAGGTTTTCTATATGAAAATTTGAAGCATAAACTATTATTTAGCATAAATTATTTTTAATAAACTATTATTCTCTTTAAAAATTATACAAATTATCTAGTAGAACCAGTTTTGGTTCTAAAGTTGTACTAAAAGATTTGACGGGAAAAGTTCAAATCCAAAACCAGTCAAATAATTAAGGTTAAGACTTGTAACAGGTAACAACTTCAGGCTTGTAGCAGTCTAACAACTAAAATCTCGACTAGTTTTTGCAAAACAACTTTTCTAATCCAAAAGACATCAAAAATGCGACTGTTCTCAAAAGAAATGATAGCTACAAAAGCTAGAAATTTTTCACAAACCCGAAATCCCCAAAGAAAAATCGATTAAACCCATAAACTAGGGAAGCAAATTTGAAAGCGCGCTCTCTTTTGCAAGCGCGGCAGCTATGGAGGGAAAGGGGACGATCGATTCGCTTAGGGACTTAGGGAATGGTGGAGAGTGAGAGAGGGAAAAGGGTAGGAGAACCCCTATAGAGAATCCCCTATAGAGAACCCCTATAGGAAGGGGAACCCTCTTATAGCTGACCAGTCCAGTCCCTTCCTCTTTTAGCGCACACAGAACACACCGCAGACACAAACACGCATATGCGGGTGGGGGGTGGATGGGTTCGGAAGGGATTGGGTAGGGATTGGGATAGTGGTATGTAGTAGATTGAGGTTTTTGTCTACCCTACCAATGAAAGATCTAAAGAAGATCCTCTTTACCAGTTTAAGAAATCATTTTTACCCTTTCCTTGACTTGATCTTAGGCTTGGGTTAGGTTAGACTTATCTAAAAGTCATTGTACAGTCTTACAGTCTAGCCAAGCTAATAGTACGCCATGATCCGTAGCATTAGTTGTAAAAGCGAAAAAAGTGACAACGGTACATGTTTAATTATTGACTAAATGACTTATTGGCAAAATGACACAGCAAACCTATTGAAACAAGAAGAGAATAATAGTAGAGACTGAAGAATAAATTAATTCTATTCAAATTCAAATTGACTCTAGCATCTAGCATTCAATCTAGCAAAATTTAAATTTAAATTCAAACTTGTTAAATGAATGAACGATGAATCTGCCCTCATTTAAGCAGCCTTCAAATCAATTTAGATGAATTCTTAAGAAATAATAATGTTATAAGAAAATAAGAGAAAATAAAATGCCTAGAGACGAAAGGAGGTCAAACTAACCGACTAAATTCAGGATTTTTGCGTAGATAGCTGATAACTCTGACAAATGTAGCCGGTTTTTATGACCTTGAAAAGTATAATAAGAGTTGGATCCACAGATATGCTTTGGCAACAAATTCCAAATTCTAGAAACTCTATTGGGGAAGAAATGGAATGAAGAATCAGTCGAGGACCTGGTGGGAAGAAGTCTAAATTTGGGACCATGCCTGGCGAGCCTTTTTGGTAAAATTAGAACTGATTTAAGCTTAGGATGGGAAATAGGGAAATTCAAAATATGATAGGTAAAGCAGAGATCGTTAAGAAGTCTACAAGTCAAGATTTAAGAGAAAAAAGATGAAGGTACCGTAAAGTACTTTAAAAACGATATTATTTGGTTAAACAGTAACAGAAAGTAGCAAAAAATGATTATATATAATAGCAGAGTAAAACTACAATTAACAGCCATTAATTGATCAACTTTCCATATCAAAGCCGTTCTAAAAGGTCAAAGGCCAGAAAGAAGGTCAACTTCAAGGTTCAGAGGCTATCTTGCTTTGGAACATGGAAATTGGACTTTGGTATTAGAACATTCCTGAACAGCATAGAAGCAGCACCTTTTTTAAACAGAACCAATCTTGGCCTAATCAACCCTGATATGAGCGAGGGTGGAGATCGGAAGGAGTAGGGGTGGAATAGCCTCCTTGCCCCTTCTCTGTCCCTCTCTTGTCCATTCTCAAAAGAACACTCTCTTTCCTCCATTTCCCTCTTACCCCTCGCGGGAAATAAGCAATTATACTCGGAGATTGTATTTAGGTCAAAACCCTCCTCTGTTGCCCCTTGTCTCCTTCCATTTTATACTCTCTCTGCGCCTCGTTCAGCTATAAACAGACCACTTTAGTATCGATTGGTTTAGCGGAGGGGAAAAGGGGACCTTTGCCAAGAGAATGTTAAAAATAAGACTTGGTGGGATCGCTGAACAAACTGCACATTTGGTTTTGTGGAAGTTGTTAGAATTAAAAATTACATAAAATACTCAAATGAATCTTTGACAAAATTATTGTTGAACTGAAATCAGAGAAGCTTTTGAAATTGCGACTTTATAAACAAAATTACAACTATTCACGAGAATTGCGCTCGACGCACGACAATTTTTTTGAAAGATATCTATAAGTTGAGTAGAGGTAGAGAATCGTTCTCAAAATTTGGAGGAACGCTTGGCGATTCTTGTTTTCCTCTCCGGAAAGACAGCTTTTACACTTTCATTCATATTTGATGCACAACTCGTTCAATATTTCGCTTTGTTTTTTCTTTAGCTTCTGATTGACCGAGCCAATTCTACTCGGGAATGCACACCTGGCCAGCTCATAGAAATCTGTCCATTCTTTTTCCGTTCTGAAGAACTATCTATTATGGCCGATATGTCTTTAGGCACTTTTTTCTACTAGCGTTCGTAAATGACAAATTCACCAATTGATCTACAATTGTGTCCATTAGAAAAGCCTACTATTTTTCTACAAAATGACGTTCGATTCTTATGAAAATGTCTTGTTTATGGTTTTTTATGGGGGCGCGAAGTCGGGTAGTCAAAAAAAGGCGACAATCCGTAGACGCAATTTAGGCGCTTTCGTCTATAGAAACCTATTTTGCTGTCTATTGTTGCCTAAGATAAAAGATAGAGCGCAAAAAGTTAGGTATATAGCCGAATTTGCAGGATAATCTGTTCGGTCAATTTTTTTTATCGAATTTTACAAAAAACGAGTTTTTGCATTCGAATTTGCTTAGAAAAGAATCTAAATTGTCTTAAAAAGATCGAAAAATGAATGATAAACATTTTACATAAAGATAATAATACAAAAAAAGACTTATCGGACCTAATATTTCAGTTTTAGTATGTAGGGTGTTCAATATTTATGGGGACCAGTAGATTACTAGATTTAGAGCTCATTTTGTACAATTTCCATGATAAAAAGAAAACATACTTATCAATACGCCCAGCGTTAACAACTTTAAGCGACTTTTTTCAAAGTTATTGCTTTTTGCGCTTGCTTGCCTAGAAACGCCTGAAACGTCTACTGTGGCACGGAGATCGGATAAATTGAGTTTGTCACAAACTCTCGTTAAACCTTCTAGGAAAAACCAAACTGAAATGTGATTCTAACATTTTTAATGTCCTTTTGAATGTTTTTAATGTTGAAAACTGTTACATAGTGAAGACTTTCTCATCGTTAAACAAGAACAACTGGGGGCTGACTTCTTTTATATATGTTGTGTCCGATTTAGATTTCCGTCCGATTTAGATTACAGTCTATATCGGACGTCCGATTTAGATTGAATCTAAATCGGACGTCTTATATAGATTGAACAATAATATAAACATGTTTAATATATGTTCTTAAGCGTTTTTGCAATTTTCTGCGCTTTTCAAGGAAATTTTATTGTCTTTTTCTGAAAAGAAAACCCAACTATGAAACAATTTATTAGCGTTAACAGAATAGATGCAAAATTACAACATATAACAACAAAAAACTAACAACAACAACGAACGAGTTAAAAATTTCTATTTATTTTTGCAGCTTAGGCTATTGTGACATCTTGAATTGCAGAGTTGTGACATTGTGACATCTTGAATTCTTTGTGGCATCTTGAACATGCTATTGTGACATCTTGAATTCTTTGAAAAGCGCAGAAAATTGCAAAAAAACGCTTAAGAACATATATTAAGCACGTTTATTATTGTTCGATCTGTATCGGACGTCCGATATAGACTGTAATCAATAAAAGACCTTTGAAAAATGCAGAAAACTACAGAAAACGCTTAAGAACATATATTAAGCATGTTTATATTATTGTTCAATCTATACAAGACGTATTATTGTTCAATCTATATAAGATTTAGATTGAATCTAAATCGGACGTCCGATATAGACTGTAATCTAAATCGGACGTCCGCGATAAGTTCAATCTAAATCGGACGTCCGATTTAGATTGAATCTAAATCGGACGGAAATCTAAATCGGACACAACATATATATAGGTACTTTATTCAGGACCTGAGATAAAGTGCGCTGGATTTAAGATTAAAACACATGAATTCATAAACATAACACGAAAAGGGCCGATAAAAAGAAACACGGTATAATATATGTAAAATGTGGGTAGCACAGATAACGTCAAGGATCCACTAGAGCTTCAAGATCAAGATCATCTACAGATAATTTAAAGGTTTCAAGACTATTGGACTCTCTCAAAACTCTGAGGAGTCGATTCCAAATTCTGGCAGTTCTTATTGGAAAAGAGTTATAAACAAACTTATTGGAGGTAACTGGAATTTCTAAAACGAAAGAACCTCTCCTTGAACTAACCGTGGGATTAACTTTGAATAAATCTCGAAAAAGAGGGATAGGTTGCCTGCCCTTTACAATTTTGAAAAATTCAATTAAATCCGTGACCAAGCGGCGGTGTCTAAGAGATTTAAGATCAAAAATTTTGAGTCTATCTGTGTAACTAAAGTATGCAAATTTGTAAAAATCTACTTTCCATAGAGCTATCTTAGTATACCTCTGCTGGATCTTTTCTAGGCGAGAGATATCAACTTGTGTATGTGGAGACCAAACTATAGATGCATACTCTAGAATGGGTCTAACGTAAGTGATGAAACACTTTCTGTAAGTGTCAATTTTCGGATAACAAATTGCTTTTAGGATACGACTAGAGACTTTTGGTGAAATTTGGTGATCGAGTCCTGATAAATCATTTTTTGAATATCAATGATAAGCATATAATTTTGTTAAAAATGAGAATCATAAATGAAAATAGAGATCGTGAAGAAAGACAGCAAATAATGCTTTAGAAAAGAGACTGAGCTGCTCAATAATGCTTTTACACATCTAGTAGCACTTCTTGAAAAGAAAAAATACAAATTCACTTCAGCTTTGGGCTCATTTAATCCAATTTGGTAATCCCTTCATCGTTTTTTGATGATTTTCTGTAGATTTCAAGCTCTTGTTCGAGTCTCTGCGTCTAAAATTGAAATATTACAATAAGTTAAAATAGGCTACCATAGGATTGCTTTGTTTACATGTAGTTTGTGCTCACAAATGAGAACACACCCTTTCCGGCATACTCAACTTTAGTTCTTTTCAATGGGAAAATGAATTCAGTTTCCAACTGTGTATTTCTAAAACTTTGAGCACAAAATACAAGCCGAATCACAATTCTTCGCATTCAATATTCCCAAAGCTCGCAACCAACCTCTCTTTGATAAAAATGCTTCCTTATTTGACAAAATCCCAACAACATGACCAGCTAAAGATTTTACTGTAAAGTTACCATTTTTCCCAAACCTTTTTATAATCATCTTTTGATTTTTCCGTTTCGAAGTTACTTGTTTTGAGTTGAGCCTCGAGAGAACGAACTTTCTCGCGCAAAGCCTTCTTTTCTGAGTCGTCACCTTTTTTGGTTGGCAAGCAAAACATCTAAAGCAACCTATTGAGCTTCTGACTTTTGTAGGACTTTAGATTCTTTCTTTGAACTTTAGCCTTTAGATTAGATACAAAATTTTCCATCAGTTTTGAAACAAATCACTTACTTTGATATCTTGTTCACTTATCTCAACGGTGAAGCTTTGAGCAGGAGTGGAAGGAGCCTGTTTAGACTAAACATATCATTGAAGTGCATATTTTTAAAAAAGATAGCTGATTTTGGTACTTGTACTAGGGCTTATTAGTTAATAAGCTCTAGTGCTAATAAGCTTGGTGCTTATGAGCACTAGAGCTTGATGCTTATTAGCTTTACAACCTACTTGATGATGTGACGAAGTCGAAGAAGTACTCAAAGTATTTTGCACTGGAGCCGGTGATACATTTGGTTGATCTGATAGTTGAAATCATGCTAATATTATTCTAAAGTTTTACCTTCAACTTCGTTCTTGTGAATTGTTGCAGAATTATTGCCAATGACGAGTGTTGGGCAATCTTGAAGAAGCGCTGAAGCGACGCTGTCTTGCGAAAAGTCCATAGTCGAGTTGAGAACGTTGTCGGTTGGTGTTGAGGCTATCTGAAAGCAAAGTGAATTTTCAAAAGCTATAGCTTACAAAGATTCCGTAGAATCCTATATTCAATTGAATTATTCAATCCAATAGACCCAATTTACCCACCTGGTCTCTATTGACTGCAGGAGTCGGTGAACGACGAGCAACCAGATGAATCTGCTCAATCTTGTTCATATCGTTAAGCGGCTCTTGAGAATTGACAGAATCGTGCATCAAACTCATCTCTCCTTGTTCGCCACTCTTCCTTCTCTTCAGTTTTTCTTTCAGCTCAGTCTCGTTGAGCAGATCAATCACATCCGGGAATGCTTTTCTGCCCATGATGAAGAGATCTGTCCATTCTTGCTCGGTTCTAGAAGTCTAACATTGCTGAAACTTACTAGCCATCATTGTTTATTTAACACCAAGTTCCGAAGTGGAATCCAGCCCATTTTGTAGCAAATTTTTCGCTGATTCCGAATATCTAGGTCGTTTGTGCGCATAAAGCCAACAGGGTTACCCTCGCAGGATTTCTCCTCCGCCAAACGAAAAACTCAGGTTTTTGGGATTCTATTTTAACGTCTGACGAAAAATGGATCTACTACGATAACCCCAATCGAAAAAGACAGTGATTAGATTTTGGAGCTACTCCAATTCCGACTCCTAAACAAGACGTTTATGGGAAGAAGCTATGTATTGGGTTGGTGCATAGAAAAGTGGGGGCTATTTCGCGGGACTCGCAGATAAAGAAAACAACAGCATAGAGCCAGATGAAAGGGGGGTTTGCTTACTTTAAAATTTCGTCTAGTTATTGCAAAAAAATTATGCTTCTAGGTTTTTATTTTTCTTCACTTCTATTTCACTCGACAATGTGCCACCGGGACATATTCGCCATGTGATGCTTCATGAGCTCCTACAAGAGCACAGTGCAGACTTGGCAGCTGCTAATATTAAAAAGATATATCGGGAGGGCTCACCGTTCGAAAGAACATGCCCAGCATGGTTTTGCCAAGTTTCGTTCTGGGGACAAATCTTTGAAAGATGCAGAGGGCCGTGGAGCGGCACCCCAACTGGATGATTTCAAATTACTCAAAATCATTACCAACGACCATCGGGTGTCATCGCGTGAATTGGGAGAAGAGTTAGGGGTTGATAATGCTACAGTGCTAAGGCACCTTCATACCCTTGGATTTAAATCGAAACTTGGGGCTTAGGTGCCCCATGGCCTGACTGACCCCCAGAAGTAGCGGCACGCCATCTCTCACAATACGGAAAGAAATCTTTTCTTACTCGAGTTGTGACAGGAGATGAGAAATGGGTTCTATCTGTGAACTTTCGGAGGAAGCGGCAATGGGTGGGGCCAGGAGAGTAACCCGAAAATGACCCCAAGCCCGATTTGCACCAGAAGAATTCATGTTCTGCGTTTTCTAGGTTATGGAGGAGTGGTGTACTGGGAGTTGCTGGATAGCAAGACGACCGTTAATGCAATCAAATACAGTGAACAGTTGGAAAAGGTGAATGAATCCCTAAAGAAGAATTTATTCCGGACCATGAGTAATGAGCTACAGTACACTTCGATTCGGAGTACACTTCGATTCGGAAGAAGCGGTCAAAAATTGCCTCCAAAAGCTTTTCAATTCAGAACCAAAATCCTACTACGAAAGAGAAATCCTCAAATTGCCTGTAAAATGGGCAGAAGTCGTCAATAGTACTGGAAATTATTTGGAACGAATTTATGGTTTTATGTTGGATAAATTTTAGTTCAAAGTCCCGCAGTTTTCAATGCCCCAACCCAATATTTGGTGGAATTCGCGGGGATTGGCGTATTTTGAGGTTCTGGATTTCGGCCAATCTGTGACTTCTGGACTTTATATTCCACCACTCGGCTCGGTGAGTCAAACTGTCCAACACCAAGGCATGAACCTGTTGACTGTGAGATACTTCCAAGACAACGCTCGTCGGCACAAGGAAAAGATCACTCAAGAAAAATTGGAAGAGTTAGGCTGGAACTCTCTCCCTCATCGGCCACATAGCCCGGTTTTCGTTTCTGATTTCCATTTGTTTCGATTAATGCAGCACTCCTTAGCGGGAAAGAAGCTCAAAGATTCAGACGAGATTCGAATTTAGGTGTCAAAGTTTTGTGAAGATCAACCAGTGTTTTAAGGGAAAAATCGCGGTTTTATGGTTGCCAACCTAATATTGGCGCATCGCCGGTTTGCAAGATTTCACATTCATAACTTTAACAAGAATTTTTTTACAAAAGCAGGGTTTTACCTAGCCTAGCGCACTTACCACTTGGCCACGATGACATGTCTTCGAAAAACGCAAGCTCGCATGATAGTCGCGCGATCAGATAATTAGCGCAACACTTAAAAACTGCTTTTTACACACAAACTTCAAAAGGATTTAGATCGAAAATTTGAACCCATCACACGCAAACGACCTAGATATTCGAAATCAGCGAAACATTTGCTACAAAATGAGCTGAATTCCACTTCGGAACTCAGTGCTAAATAAACAACGATCCCTAGTTAGGGCTTATTCTAGGATTGCTAAAATGTAGGGTAATTTTCTAAAAATTGGCACGCTTTTCGAAACTAATTAGTCCACTTTTCACCTGTTATTCACACATTTAGCACAACCATCGTGCTTCCTGTTGATGTGTGTAGTGACTTGCTGATAATGTTTCTTCGCGTATCCACATGCTGAAAATTTTCAATAAACCTTTTCAGAACGATTCCTTAGCGCTAATACAATGTAAAAGCTACCGTTACAAGAGAAACAAAGTGCATCCATGTGTGCTTCCAAGTGATAGAGAAGCGGTCGAATTCGAGTCGGTCCTGTGCCGGCCCACGATGTGATCAACCGTTCGCATAACTAAAATTGAACTTGGATATGCAATATGCAAAAAAAAACCTCAAACTTGTCTTCTAGACTTGGACATTGTTTGGGCTAACAACTTTATCCCATACTTTTTATAAAATTGTAACTCACCAAGCATTGATAAGTGGCCTTCTTAGAGGTATTGGAATTTCTTCTTGACATTTTTGAGGTATTGGAATTTATCTGAAATTAAACAAATTTTAAAACCCCTAGAATAATCAGAAAAAGTTGCAAAAAACTTTCGAAAAGGGCAAATGCTGTAGTAAGTCTAGAAAGCAAGTCAAGAAAGTCAAGATCGATGCGTCCCGCCTACAAAACGACTGACTCAAGGGGGTGTCGGGTTCGATTCCCGTCCGCTTCCAACTCTTTTGCTTTAAATGTTTACAGGCATGGAGTTGAAGCATGCAAATTTTGCTCGACATGGCGACGTTAGTCGCGCCGAACACACCCAGTATAGATATCGTTATTGCTGCAGGCGTATCAGGGTTGGTCTCAATATTGCTTTGAAAGATTAAGAGATAGATCCCAGTATTGTTGCAGGACCGCGAGGCGTGGCGTTAGTCGCGTCGAGCGCCCTTTAACTCGAGAGATCAAGCTACACGTCGGTCCTAAAACATATAGCTAGAAAAACTCAGTTAGGCGCGTTTTTTTGGCTGGTAAACAAATAAATAGCGACCCAGGAACAGGGAAATGTCTTTAACAAATGAAAATTTGTGTCAGAATGGGTAAAACTTTCTAAATTAAATAAAAATTGATGTTTTTGAGTAAGATAGAAACAATATTTTGAATGCTTTTGTTTTAGATGATTAAAAGGGCAAAGGGGAATGTCTGGCGGCAATTATCCGGCAATTATCGTTAGTTCGGATTGCGCAAAATACATGGAGGTCTAGAAATAGGATAAGAGTTCCCCCGCCATTTGTACAAATTGATTGATTAAGAAAATTCGAAATAATTTGCGCTTTGGCGAAATAAAGTTTTTAAATTCCCAAAAGCTTAAAGAAAACTCCAAATTTTCTCTTCTTAGTCAGAAAGTACTAAATTATGGGGAAGGACCTCACACAGCGTTCATAAATAGTAAAATAAGCGCCCGAAAAGAACTGCCGTGAGGACAATATCGATTTAATCGGTCTTTTTGAGGGGAAAGAGGAAAAAGGCTCAAAAGAATTCTCTCATTTACATTTGTCCTTTTTCTTGTTGTTAATTCAACTCAAAAATTGTTACCAAGGGAAAATTTCACAAAGCATTTGCATTGGTTTGTTTATTGCAATCTTATTTTTTTCCTTTTTCGCTTTTTTTAGCCAATCTGTTTGATCGCAGTGAAAATAAGAAAAGAACATGGGGAAAAGTGGAAGTGCAGAGTTGTTTACGAGGAAAAATAGCCCTAGCCACGCCTCACGAAAGGGGAAAAGCGTCAAAATAACAGGCAAAAAGAAGATATTGGACGGCTATTTTTAATAGAAGTTGAACAAAAACTTTATTTTCTGAAGATGAATCGAAAGAAGAGAGTTGTGAAGGTGCTGAACGGGCAAATCAAGGCACAAAATGGGATTAGTAAGGTATGTTTAACAAGTAGACTTTTAGATCCTAGATTAGGTCAAAATTTTAAGGTTATATTCTTCCACTAAACTTGAATTACATGTAAAAGAGTCAGATTATAGCTGCTTTTATCAAAAATTTTTAATTTAGAATCACAAAAGAACCACCAAGAAACTGAGCTCAAATGGACACATTGGCAATGATAAAACTTGTGATTTACCCGTGTTTGAGTGTTGTCCAATCAAGGTAAGGTTTGTATAGAAAAGTTAAGCAAGCTAATAGGAAAGACATCTTGAAATTGATAAGTCTTGAAAATTTCCTCGTGTTCGAGAATTCTAGTGAAATCATGTATTTTAGGGTACTTGAAAAGCTCCAAGAAACCTAGAAGCTTTGAAAGTTTCAATCCAATCAATCCAATCAATTAATTCAATCCAGTCAATTAATTCAATCCAATCAATTAATTCAATCCAATCCTTTTCAAAAAAATACATCCTTTCAGAGCCAAGCTGTCCGAGTGTTGTCTTCAGAGCAGGGAGCCCCCTATTCAGTCCTTCTTCAGCACATCGACTCAGCTCACAATCATCACAAATTCTATGCAATGCAAGCTCTGAAAATCGATGATGCACATTTTGCGTGAGTTATTGAACTTGATTCGAAAGGTTAACAAAGTGAAAGGCTAGCAAGGTCGAAAACCAGTAATTCCTAGTCAAAAACCAGGAATTCAGTTGCCTTTTCTGGTGGGGACGGATTGGATCATCGGGGAGAAAGACGCTTGTCAAATCGAGCAAAAAAGAAACCACTATTAATGTAGGTTTTGATATTTTGAAGTTCTAGAGTCTACAGAATTGACTTAAAAGCCAATAGTACATTTCAGTCATTTTGCCGGCGATTCTCCTCAAAAACCGGACTGAATTGGGAACAGCGAAATCAACCTGGGAAAGCTGGACAATATCATGTTGTTGAAGTAATGACTCTTCGAATTCAAAAACAGTAACAATTTTCAGCTCTCTACTCCGCAAGAAATCAAACCGCCAAAATCTGAAGACAACTTTCAGATAGCAGGGCCGAAAATTGTACTTGAGATTAACAGATAATAAACTGCTTGAGTCTTAGATTCCGAAGAGCCGTCTTCCCCTTGAGGCGCAACATTTGTTCAGCTCGATCACTGATCGGGCCACGGTTGCCAAGGAGATTCTCAAAGTTGAGCCTCACTACCAGAATACGCTGGATAGGCCATTGGGTACGATTTTTAAATAAAACTACAAGTAACAAGAGAACTTTTTGATCAATGTTTTTAGGAAGACTTACTCCTGCACAATTGAAAGGTGGATATGCATGTTTGAGAGAGATCGAGGAGCTCATGGCACAAAGCAAGGTTTGATTGTTTTGTAATTTTTGATTGTTACGTGACTTTTGATTGTTACGTAATGTAATTGTTACTTTTAGCCAAACAAAAAAAAGCTATCCGATGCAAGCGACATCTTTTATTCGATGATTCCACACGAATTTGGGTAAAGACTTTAAACTATTTCAGTTTGCATTCGAAGCTGTTTTCAAGGCTAAAACAAACGAGCTTCAACTTTGGTTATTCAGGATAAGGGAAGTCCCGCCTGTGATCTCGACATCGGATTTGGTCAAGGAGAAAGCCGGGCTGTTGAACACACTTGCTGAGGCACAAATTGCTATTCGACGCTTAGAGGAAGCTGAAGCTGTTGAGGTGAGGAAATAGGTTTTTAAAATTAGCTAGATAGGCATTCTTAACTCTAAATTTAAAGTTAAAATACTGTTTTAAAAAAGCTATTCAGGCTAATGGCAAAACGAATCACCTCGACGCTTTGCACAACTTGATCGCTTTCAAATTAGAGCTCCTGCAACCAAACACTGATGTCTTCAATGTAAACCATTTCTGATATTCTATTACAATCATATTTCTAGTTGATTCAAGAATACTTGTTTCTCAATCATGCCCCGGCTCACAACTTTGATCTTAAGGTAAGAATTGGAAAGAATTTTCAGCTAGCAAGCTTTTTCAGTTGAAAGCGATCTTTGAAGTGAAGGAGCGAAAAGAAAAGTTTCGCTTCAAAGATCTGGGTAACAAGTGAGTAAAAATATTGTGACATTGATTTTACAACTATACAAAGTTGCTTTTAGAGTTCTGCTTTGGCATGGATGTCGATTACCGACAGTTGTGGGCATTCTCTCCCATGGTCTTCAGATTTCTCCTCCCGAGACACCAAGTGATCGTTGGTTTTCATAAGAAACCATTGAAAACTAGCTGACTTTCTTTTTAAGCTGAAATTTTTAAGTGATTAAAAGCTACTTTAGGTTTCATGTTCGGTAGAGGACTTTACTTTGCTGATTCATCATCAGAATCAGCTAAATATTGCCATGCAGGAAATGGTGAAGAAGCTGTGCTGGTTCTTGCTGAAGTTAGCTTTTAAATATCAAACTCTTAAGAGCTGTATGTTCACAGATATTTAAGAGATTCTCTCAACTTCTTAGTATTAGGTTTCACTCGGTGATGCGAACACCAAAGCTGCACCTGATTTCAATGCTCGAAATCTGCCAAGAGGAAAAAATTCAGTGTTTGGGAAAGGAAGAAAAGCACCGGATTGTTCAGAGAACAAACATCCAACATTGTATGTAAACGGATCTTTAAAATCTAAATTTGATTTAGATTCGATGATGTGAAAGTCCCGGTGGGAGCCATTAAAAAAGTGTTCGGTCGAAAAGGAGACTTGCCACTGAATGAGTACACGATTTACGATGAGACACAGGTAATGGAAAAGAGAAAAAAAGCAAGCAAGCACAGTTTTGCATAAATTTGATATCTAACTCTACTCAATTTGAGCTCCATAGAAATATTATTCACTATAGACTTGAATACCACTTTACCATTAGATATCAGTTGAGTATAAGGCTTCACAAGCCCAACATATGTTAGTTCGCTTTCGGTTTTCCGATCTTTCACATCTATCGGTTTGCTTTTGCAATGAATTGGAGTCAACAACTTCCTGCAATGAATCCTAAGGCTTGCTGACTCCGATCTGTTGCACAAGCAAGCCTCTAGATGTGAAAGATCCGAAAGCGGACCAACATATTTTGTGCTAGATGTGACTGGATCGATCCGGAAGCAAATCAGTCCGCTAACATGCTTGAAAAGCTAATTTTAAGCTTTTGTGAGTCAGCAGTCTTTAGGCTCGTCTCCGCTTCCTCGTTCATGTGCAACTATCAGCGAAAAGCAACGATTAACCTTTCTTATTGTTTTTTTTTGTTCAATTCGTTCTGTATTTTTGTTCTGTATTTTTGTTGTATTTGTTCTGTATTCCATCGTGTACAAAGTTTAATTTTATCTTCAAATAAAATATTCTCAAAATCAATATCTAACCATTTTTATTATGACAAGAAAGCCATCAGAGGACAACCCGTGCAACAAAGTAAAATAAAACGACCCGGAAAGCAATAAAGGCTTTGGAAACTAATATAGATTAGGAAAAAGATATGCAAATCTAACATAAGCACTGCAAAATGGCACATCACAACAAATCAAAATGCAAAGGATTTGGCAGAAAGGAATTAGAGAATTTTGACTTAGGTTAAAGCTGTACTGGCTTATTTTGGTAATGATACTTTTGGTACTGGTTCAATGTGAAAGACTACTTGTTTACTGGTTCTTAATCACTCTTGAATTATTGGATCAAATCTTCCTCTTATACGGGGCGCTGATCACTACACTTTTGATCACATCTTGTAGATCCATTTCTTTCAAAACGTGTGGAATCCGATGCTCGAAGAATTGCAACTGCTCCTCCGCATCACCGATCTCGTACGGCAAACAAACAAGTACCACGTTGAACTGGAAGTCGTTTTATGCGAATTTTATTGATCTTTTACTATCGGTAGATCTATTTGGCCAAACACATTCTTTAAATTTACCTCAGCACTCACGTGAAGAGCCGCACAGGTTGGAAAATGGCTGGCGAATTGACGAGCCACCTAAAAAGTCATTTGAATTCTGAAAAAGCCTCTGAACAAACTCTTCCAATGTTCTGCTCATTTGAATGCAGATCCAAAATGTTGACGAGAACAATTCCTGAAAGAATGGCTGATAAAATAGTAGCTTTTGAGGAAATAACATAAGTTTTTTTCAAAGATATTGATGGTATTGATATTGGTGAATAAAGTATCAATTTGAATGCTTACAATTAGTCAAAGTTTTACTTACCATGTGAATTGACAATCTTTGCCAGGTTAGCGATGAAAACGTCATTGAGAAAGTCGGCCGCAGGACAAGGCATATCTGAGCTCGTATCACACGCATCCAACAAGATCATGTCCCAATTCAAACCTAAGTAGATCAAGTGACAGATAATATTGGACAATGAGCAATAAAACAATAAGCTATTTATTGTAGTTGTAGCTTTATTAATTCATAAAGTTATAAAGATTTATCAGCCCACCTTTCATCGCCGCTTTCTCAACAAATCGCACTCCATCATCAGTGACAACTTTCATCAAGTTGTCTGTTTTTAAACCAAACCATCTGAATCAAATTCTGTACCTTTTCCACAGATCAAACCATACTTTTCCGCTAATGTCACCACTTGTCCATCCAATTCAATCGAAGTGATGTTGATATTTGGACGATGGAGACGAATGAATGAATCGAACAGCCCTCCACCCAAACCTATCTCCAACAAGGACTTCTTCTCGTTCCTGAAAGAAAATTGAGCTAAGGACATTCAGAACCGGCATTGATAGAGCTTTGTCTAAACTGTATGATAATCTAAACTGACTTGTTTGTGAGATCAAATGCGCCAAAGACGAAAGGAGATATCGCCATCGCGGCAACATACTCAGCGGTGATCCTCCGGTGATCAATTGTCCATAAACGAGTGTCCGAGCTCTCGAATTTTTCACCTATACATTGGTACCTAAGTGCGGATGCAAGTCCAATACCTGCTGGTGGAATGAGACGCACGGAAGAGTCACTCTCATCGTCAAAGCCCACGACGAAGAGACACCGCTCGACAAAGGTTTCGGTGCCTCGTCTGGAATTGGTTAATGTGGTAAGAAATTGTGTTCAGAACTTACTTCTCGACTAGTCGGTCAATGACAGAATAACATCGTTTCGTTGACGGAGAACAGACTTCTTCAATTGTTACTTGATGATGACCGACCTAAATCGAGACAGGTTAAAGCGTTTGTTTCAACAAATGCAAGCGTTAGCCCTTACCCTAAACCAAGTCTGGCAAAAGAATCAAGTCAAAAGAGTTTCCAGGCTAAGCCAAGCCAAGGTAAAGGTTTATAGCCAAATCCAATGATAAAGTTGACCATTGCTTGGCTTTTAGATAACCCTAGCAAATTTATAAACCCACCAATTGATCCACCGATTCTTGTGGCGCGATCTTTTCCACATAACTATCCACAATCACTCCCTCAGTCAAGTACCAATACACCTAAAGAATGTTTCTTTTAAAAATTCAAGACCTTTCATTTTCCACCCAAACAGAAACCCAAACAATAAAACTAAGGCGTTTTTGTGTTTTGTGATGAGGTATTTATTCATTTTATGGGGACACCCGGTTCAAAAATTGCTTAACCTTTCCGAGATGATCTCGCCAAATACAAAATAGATGCTAGAATCGAGAGGTTTATGAAAATTTGGAAAAATAGATAAATTACTGACCAGTAAGTATCCAAGAAGACAACAGCCGATTAAGATGATGAAGAGACGGTTGAACCATTGCTGGAAGTAAAGATTTGAGACCATTCATCCCCAACCAGTTTTCTAATTTTATCTATGGATGAAAGCCTGTTTCAAGAGTTAAAAGGTAGTGCCCGTGACTTGGGAGAACTAATTCTATTATTAAACTACCCCCGTCTATCGACAATTTCTCCCCCGCCCACAATTTACCTTATTTGGCCTTTTCACCGTTCTCATTCCCGTTCGAATTGTTCTCGAGCCGAACACCGGTAGACCAGAAACCATTAAACAGACAATTTCTGAATCCAATTATTTGGCTTGTTTTCGAAAGTTCAGGAAAAAGGCTTACTATTAAATTGCTATGAAAATGGAAAACCATAAAGTAAACGGAGGAAAGCAATAGGGAAACTATTGATTTTGATTAGAAAAGATAATCAAAATCAATAGTTTGTAAGTGTTGAACCTGACTAGTGCTTCATTTTCAAAACTAATCAATGTATTTATTCAAATCAAAATCTAATGTGTAAAATTTCCATAGAAGTGAATCAGTTGGTCACAAATGTAGTTTGTAAAAAGCGAAAATAGTTGGGAAAATTGAGAGACGAAAAGAAAACGGAAATGAGAAAGCGGAAAATAATGTTTAACGTTTAAACGTCTAACATTTGAGATATAAATGTACATTGCTTGAGCACAAAATAGAAAATTTAAAAAAAGATTGTCCATTATCCACTTAAAAAGATCCCGACGTAGATGAAAGAGGTCGACTGCGGGTAATAGGTACAGTCGAACTTGTTGACGATCTGAAAAAGAAATTTAAAACAAATAAAGACAAGATTAGTGTAGGTTTTGAAAATTTATACGTTTTAGAAAGAGCTTTAGCGATTGGAAATATCATTTGAATACTTTCTTTACCCACCTTTTTTGCTTCCTCGAGATTCTCGAACTCAAGTTTTGCTGCTTTTCCCCTGAAGGCAGCGACACCGGCTTGCAACATCTCAACTCTAAATACATTAATAGTTACCTTACAATCAGCTATTTTAGTTTTTATCACTATTAGAACATTCTTAAGCTCACTTTGGAACTCCATTCTCATCGTGAAGAATCTTGGAGACTGGATGGAAGACGCTGATCAGATCTGTAAGTGTTACGGTGGCTGGGAGGCCCTCGACCAACACTTTGACTCCGTACTGAAAAAGTAAAGAATGAGATTTTATACTGTATATATTTGTATTTGTTTTACTCTACCTTCTCATTGGGTATTGCAGTAGAAGTCGATGAAATGGATAATGATGAAGCGGATGGGCTGGGTGTTGGGGAAATCGTTTTTGGAAGTGAAGCGTGTTTCCTGAAAAAGCAATCCATATTTCATTTGCTCATAAAACTAACACCAAAATCAATCTAAATCAATCAATCAATCAATCAGAATTTTCTTAACATTTTAAGTATCAAAACGCACCACCAAAGTTCGCAGAACATTTGCCGATAGGTGGCGGGGAATTTCTTGCCGTTGAACTCCTTGATTGCCTAAAGGATATAACTTTGATGTAAATTTGTCTAAATCTATTGAACTCACCAAATTTGCTGCATCTGCAGTGGTGAAAGTGATCTTGCAACAACCATTGTGCCTCATTGCTGTTGAGGGGTCGACTTTAAAAAAGCAAATGCTAAATTTCATTCAAACCAGATCAAAATCTTTCATTTACAAATCCTTTTGCCCATTTTCATTCGATTCGATCATAATCAGCTTCCCGTCAATGGATTTTCTGTGAAAAAGTGAGATGATGTCGACTTTGGTGACAGTGTAAGGGAGGTTCTTGACGATGATTGAGGTAGTTTCCTAGAAAAGATACTTTGCTAATAAGGCTTAAAAATAGATTAGTATTTTAAAAATGATCTTGTGTTCACTTTAAGCTTGACTTCGCATTGAGTTGGATCGTTGTTCGAATCTCCTTTCTTTGAGCTGCCTTGCCGTCTGGATTTGTCCGGCTTTGAATTATTTCTCTTTGATCCAACTTTGGAGTCGGCTTTCTTTTCGTTTTCTTTTGAGTCGTTCTTCGTTGGGTTCTCTTTTGAAATGCCTTTCTTTAGATTTGCTTTTGCTGCCTGGAGAAAGATTGAGTTAAATATTGAGAAATTGGATGGTTGAACTCGATATAATGGCAGGATTGAAATTTAGAGTATCATCATGTTGTTGGCATTATAATAGCTAAATTTTGCTATAAATTCTCCACTTTTTTAGTTCATTTCATCATTTCATCCACTGTTTTTTCAGTCTTGGATCCTCTTTCTCCTGTACTTGTACTTTTGAAATGGCCTTTCTTGCAAACTTTCCATTTGCGTTAAGCCTAAGATGACTTCTCCAAATCGCACAAGAGCATAAATGTTTAATTTATCAATTACCTTATTTTCTTCACGGTTGTTATGGTTGTGTTTTGCTCCTTTGAATCGACCATTCTGCTTGTTCGATAATTCTGCAGCTTGTTGCCTGGGTTTTGGTTGATCTGAAGATTTAATTATTACTTTAACATCTATAAACTTTACCTCTTGGTATGTAGTATTCAACTCTGAGCACTTTAGAAGTACCTGGGTACTCTTTTTCATTCCAATCATCGATGAGCTAAACGAATGATCAATTAAAAGATCAATTGAAGTTCAATTGGACCTTCTTTGTTTCAATTTCATCTGTAAATTGAGCATTGCAGATTTGATCGTTTCCAGAAGTCAAAAGTTTAATGCTAAAAAACAAAGTATTCTTTCAAGTTTTTCTTTTGAAAGTTTAAACCTCCTCTCGATGAGTTTCTCATTGTTTCTGAAGATCCACTTCTTCAACTCATTCACACCGATTGATTGCGGAAGACCACAAATGAAGATCTTTGTCTTGTCAACCTGAACATCATCAATAAATTCAGTTATCAGTTTTCAAACCTTTGGCAAAGCATTGTTCCTCTTCATCTTATCTCTCAAATAGTCTACTTGGAGCACGTTCTCCGTTCCTGGATAGGCTTGTTCGTTCCATTCCTCGATCACCTAAAGCTTTAGATCAGATACTATTCAAAAAGAGTTTGCAACAGAAAAAAAATAGCTCTAATTTTGAATCCTATCAGGTTCAAAGTATTTTTCGTTCAAACTGACCTTTGCGACGTCATTCGTATTGTTATAGGTGACGATACAATTCTGCTTCTCACCAGCCATTTTCAATCCAATTCCATCACTGAATAGATGCTAAAACCGTTATTTCCCTCATTGCTTACCATCCACCAATAATATTTCCATTGCTTTTGAAAATCCATTTGAAAATATCATTCTTTGAGACGGTTTTTGGCAATCCGCGAACAAACACTGTGTCTCTAATTGCAACCTGGAACCGAATTTCCTCCTTAAGACATGAAAACTTACCCCGAATTTCAAGAATTGCTTGCTATGACTTTCTTCTTTTGACCTAAAATTTAATTTACCTTTTAAGCATAACTTTAATCTACTTCAATAGCGCGATCTGCGTCTGGAGCTCCTCGATTTTCTCTTTTGTGTTCTCGAATTGTCGTTGATTGAGCATTTGAGCAATTTGAGCCTCCAATTCGACAATCTACAATGACAATCTTGGTTTTATAATAAAGGAAACAGGCTTTGACTAATCTATGGCCTTTTATTTACCCGTTTCTGCTCCTGATTCTCGCGAAGTGAGTGCTGTTTAGCCAACTGCAGCTGCAACTCCTCAAGGCGTTTCGTGTTCTCCTCGTTTTGGGTTCTCTAGAACCCAAATCAAGTTTCACATTTAAATTCAAACTTTTATATTAGAACCATATTGAGAAACTATTAGGTTGTCCAGTTATGAATGCACGCCTGCTCTTGAACAGCATACCCTAGGGCTATACAATTTTATCAAACCCTATTCTCTATATGCTGTTCAAGATTTCTTATTTATTACAAATTTTCGTGTTTTTACGTTAAACTAATTTAGAGTAAGCCCTCAAACAATTTCCGCCCTCAAACAATTTCCGAGCATTTACATCAATCGGGGAAAACAAGCCGACAAGGGAAACGGGTTCCTCATCTTCTCAGCAATGCCAATAAAGTATTTGGCGAAGATGCTATTCATACAATCACGGGTGAAACGTAGGCACAACAACTGGAACGAGTGAACCATGTATTGCTACAAAAAGGCCTTGATCCTTCAAATAAAGTTCATTCAAGATAACGCCCGTCCACACGTTGCAAAGATTGTTCAGGAAAAACTCGAAGAGTTGGGCTGGGAAACTCTCCCGCATCCGCCATATTCTCCGGATATTTCTCCCTCGGATTACCATTTATTTCGCTCAATGCGAAACCATTTGGCTGGAAACAGGTTCAAAGATGTCCAAGAGGTCGACAAATGGTTAGCCGACTTCTTTGCCTTAAAACAAGCCAATTTTTACGCCGAGGGAATTCATTCTTTGCATGGAAGATGGAAACAAACATTGTTAACAAATGGTGAATATATTGTTGATTGAGTTGTTAAACTGCTGGTTTTAAAATAAAGAGTTGTTATCTTAAAAACGCGCATTTATAACTGGACAACCCAATATATTGATATTTTTATGCTCCTAATAGCACAAGTACTTTTTTTCCAACTCTTCTTCCGACTAACCTGTGTCTCAGCCTTGACTCTCAACTCGATCAACTCCAAGCGCTCCCGGGAAAATTGCTCAATAGCGCCTAAAAGCAGAAAATAAAGAATTTTCACACCACCAACCTAACAACGAATAAGCGATGGTTGATCCGGTCACATGAGCACGACATTTTGGGCAGTAGTTTCTAAAAATTGAAGTTAAGTACCAAACTGCTTGTTTGTTGAACACCAGGCTATTGACATAGCTGATAAACAGGCTAGAGCTTCTACGTAAGGCGCTAATTGTTAAACTCACACATTCGGGACGCATTCCTCACAAATCGTGTGCGCACATGGGTTCACCGTTTTCGGTTTCTTGTTGACATGATTAACTAAATGCCAAAATTTTATTGCCTCTTTCCAAAAAAACAGCTCAAACTCACATTCGTCGAAGCAAATCGGGCACTCGAAGTCGGTGATCTGATCCATTCGATGTGCTTCGAGCCCTTGAACTCTTTTTTTTTATGCCCTAAATAAAAAAGATAAACAGAAAATAAAAACACAAGTCCTGCAAAAACAAGAAATGTCTTCTGAAGTTTGCCTGCTTGTATAACACAGCAGATTTTATGTAAATGACTCTGCGATTAAATTTTCTGTCATGCCTATGGCAATCGTAGGATTGCCGTAGGAATGTTTAAAAAGAGAGCACTGAAAAAGTTTTTCTTTTGAGAAACAAGGTGGTAAAAATTGACCAATATTCGGTTGTCTTTGGCTCTTTTACCCTTTAGACGCAAAGTAACGTGTTACGGTTCCAAACATCTAAATTCTGGGTCGAAATCTTACCCAAGCTGCTAAATCTTTTAACCAAGAAACACTAATTCTAAATGATTTGCCAAAACGAGAGAAATAACAAAACGATTCGCGGCTGGGTTGAATTGGCGTTTATAGAGAAAAGATATTTAGATTTTTAATAACTTTATCGGTGATATAAAAGACACGGGACTGAAGACCAATAAAATGGAAAGCAGCGAGAAAAGTACAAAAACTCTAAAACTTTAACAAATTTTACAAGAAACAGGGAACGAGGGCTGAAAACATTAAGAGTAGAGGAGGAAATTTTAACAAAAAACAGAAAACAGAATAAGGGAATAGAGAAAGGGGAATATACACGCGCAAAAGACACGGCGAAACGCAGGACCGGGCAACGATTCCTTAAAAGAATGAGTTTCAAAGGAATGGGACATTTTTTATAGGGAGAAAGAGAGACCCCGTCTCGACTACGGTAACTTACCGTAAATACTGTAATAGTACCCCACCCCCATAATGATGGTGCGGAGTGTTGCGTAGTCTAGCTTTGGATGCGTTTTTCTCGACACTGGTTTATGCTTAGGTATCAAAAAATAGCTGAAATTCAGGGCTATTTTTTGATATCAAACACGCATTTTTTGAAAGTACGGGTGCTTTGCAAAAAATTAAATACTAAAAACTTTTGCGACCATCCGACTTTACGAGGGGGGTGGGGGTGGGGTACTATTACAGTATTTACGATAGGTGTATTTTATAAATTAGGGTTGGAAAGTGGTCAACCTGTACTCGAACTGCGGGAATTGCAGTTTTACTACACTTAAATCTAGCTGCAAACTGAGGAATTCATCAGATTTTGTCATGCAAATCACGGGTGAAAGAAAGGCTCTGAGGAGAAAGAAGGGGGTTGGATGGGTTGGAAGGACAAATCAATACGAAAAAGGGTAAGATTAGAGCCGACCCCAATTATGCCAAATGGACCTTTGCACAAACAAGTATAGATCCTGGCTCTAATGAACTATCAAACTTCTAAGCTTATAACATAATAAACATTAAACTATAAGTTCTTTGAAATAAGATAAGCTGAACAGATAGACTCAGAAGCAAAAAGCAATAACACTACAAGTACTCTAACGGCACAAAATCGATAGCTCTGTATGTTTATCGAGTACTAAAATCTAGTTAAATGAGTTAAATTCATCATGTGCAGAAAAGTAGCTCTTTTCTGTGAAATCTTATTTGATGTTTTGATTTTGAATATCTCTGATTCTCTTGTCCTTCCTCTAAAGATCGTTTGTGTGATAAAAAGGAACGGAGCCCACTTTGTATTGCTTTTCTTTGGCTTAGAAATACTGAACCAACGATTGATTATATTTTATTGTATTTTCTCGCTAGATTATTTATGGTGCTATATGCGGAATAAATATCTAATAATCATTGCCTCATCGGTACCCTCTCACGCACTGCACACATCAGATTTTCAAGAAACCGAACAAAAAAGCTTCTAAGTCTAGTGGGTCATTCAAATTTACAAGCATTTTGTATTTACCTCAAAAAAGACTGCTTATGCTATGAAATTCATGGTGACAAACCACGAAAAAGCTAAAGAATTTTGATAAGACTGGTGACCACAAAGTGAGAAGTATTTTTGTAGATAAGGTGCAAAATACAAGACATTTTTGCTTATCTTTTTCGAGATTTGCTTATAAGTAACGCTTCGAGTGCTTGAAAAATTGCTTTTTTTGTGATTTTCAAGAAGTTTTCTGTTGGCTTTAATCAAGATGCTTGTGTGCTTTTGTTTTATACAATCTGTTTAAACATTTTATTTCAACGATTTTTGTGAAATGAAATAAATTGTTTGTCAATCTTTGATCCTAAATTGATACAGACAAAAGCTGCTTTTGTTAGAAAGTCGATCCATTTTCCCATTCGATTCATATTGATTGAAAGAAAGCTCGACAAAGAAGCTCGGATTGAAAGGATGTCTGAAATTAGATCTGTTTTCTTCACACCTATTCAGATTCCTTTCAGTGAGCCTTGTTGTGACCCCGACAAAGACCAAACAGAGACTCTTGTTGAGAAAGGGAAAAAGAGAACAAGAACTTCTTCTGTAAATCGAACATTTGTCTTAAATCGAGCTCTTTCCCAAATCAAATGATTCAAAGAAGCCTTCTTGACTTTAACACTTGCAATATTTTGTGTTTCTACATATTTTTCGTACTTGGAAGTGTTTATGGAGATGATTGTGGTGGCAATGATGGAGGGTAAGAGAATTTTTTTGATTAAACCTAGGATTTTCTAGTCTTTCTGGATTTTTTAGAACTATGATTTAGCTTTTAGATTAAATATTGTGGGCAATTACTGTAGCTAAACAGTCATTTAGCCCACCAATAAGCCTCAAATGTCTCATCCAAAAGATCCACGATCGAGCCAATCCAATCTCTCCATCATCTTCATCCACTTATCCATCGTTCACTTCAACTCTTGATTCTCCATCTAATTCATGGGGAATTATCAAAAGTGATATGGATACATTGGAAGAATTTCCTTCGACGATAAGGCCTATTTTCGAAAATAAAGAGCTTGAGAATAGAAAAACGATAAGAAACAAACCAGATCGAAAAACGAATAAAGGGAATTCGATGTTCAAGACTTCTTCAGGTTGAAAATTTCTAACAATTCAGAATTACCAAAAATTCAGAATCCCGTTTGGTTGGCGAAAGCTGTCGACGGAATACAGATTGTGTGGTAATTTTGTAAAGCTTTCTCACGATTACTTTTCATTAGTCTGGAGCCTATTGTGAGACCGGTCGGTGTCGTTGTTTGGGTAACTATGTGGAAATGAAAGATCACTGTTGGAGAAGTGGTAAATCTACAGTAAAGTTTCAAATATATTTTAGGAGTAAATCCGGAGGAATCCGGTTGCACGTACGATGTACAATGTGATGCCATTTGGCCTGGATCTTTCTGTCAATACTCGATTTGCAAGTAAGTGTGGGAATTGATTCAAGAAGTGAAAGTGGGATTTGTGAGTAGGACTTGAAGCACTTGAATTAGTATTTAATGAGCACAAAAGTTCTTTGGCATCTGGTTCTTTTGGGTACAAAAACTGGTGCTAACGGTGCTAATTACCAGATCCAGACCCAGATCAAATTCAAATCTACAGGGCCGTCCAAAAAAAAGTGACCCACTTTGCATACCTAAAAATTTTTTGCGCTGAATTTTGATGGCACATCGTGGCGTCAAAATTGGTTTTGCCTCAGGGGTTACACATTGGCACGAAGTTGGTTTTTTTGAAAATTTCATCTATAGGGGTCATGCATTGAGTGGAGACCAAAATTCATGTATTATGTGGATTCGAACTTTTAATTTTCACTATTTCACCATAAAACTTTTTAATTTTTGTTTTCTTTACTTTGTTTAGTCTATTTAATACTTTCATTATATTTTCAGAGGGCATTGTTGGGAAGTGAGAACACTCAAAAATAGTTGGGTTTTGTGGGCAAAATGTTGTGCTCAAAATTTGACTATTTGACTCTTTGTGAATTAAATCACGAGGATCCTGATTTAAATTTGAGTAAAGAAAGCAAAAATTAAGCCAAAATAGTTTTCCTGGTTTTTGGATTTTTTTGGTAAATGGTTTTTGGAGTCGAAATAGTTGTCGACCACTTTTTTGATTTGAGCATGATCATCGAACTTTTCTCACATGATAAACTGTTTTAAGGATCGAAGCAAAAAGTAATCTGACGGAGCTAAGTCAGGAAAGTAAGGCGCATGAGGCAGGATTTTAGCAAGCAGCGAGTCGTGAGTGTTGGGTTGAAGTCAATTTTAATCCCCCAGTCAATTTTAATCCCAAATTCAAAACGTGCATTTTTTCTTCTTCAACCTAATAGTAACTGTTGATATTGGTAGTGGACAGATTTAAAACTTTCAATAGTTTCAAATCTACTGTAAGCCAACCACCTTCATAGGTTAAACGTTAAAAACCTTCCAGATGTCCATTGGGTAAAATGGTTGCTGCAACGAGAGAAGGAGCTGTCTGTCATTCACCTGGTAATCATTATAAAACTCTTGCTTTTGGACCAACTCTTTGAGGTGAATGCCCAACTGGGAGTGTCTCCTCAGCTCTCCTCAATCGCAACTCGCTATCGCTGGCAAATTGCTATTTCTTTGATGGAGAGGATCGACGAGCTGGGAAATTTATTGGATGTGATGATTACCCTGAAGTTGTCAGCTGTTTAAAATCTTATTCAAGAATTTTAGGTTCATGAATGCATTGAGGGACTTTGCTGCCCAACTAGAGGTACTTGGCTTTTGTGTCGTTCTGATATGTTTTACAGCTCTCACTTGCATTCAACCGGCCGATCCGGGCGATGGAGGAAATGAGACATCAATTGTAACACCGAGATGGTATTATGATTCGGTAAATTGTCTCAAAGTCTTGAAAATTTTTTCTTTAAGATCACTGGCAGTTGCCAGCAGTTCAATTATTCGGGACAAGGCGGAAATTCCAACAATTTTCTTACCAAGCAACAATGTGAGAGCTATTGTGAAGCAAGTAAGCAAAAGCAAGATAATGTTTGCTACAAAGCTTTTTAAAATATGCAGGATGTGCCCGAGGACAACCACAACTCGATTTTACTGTTCAAGACTCGGATCCCTTGGCTTCGTTGACACTTTTATGTCAAAGAGATTCGGATTGTGATGAGGATAGGTTAATAAAATTGATAAAACGAAAATTAGAGCTACAATTACTTCATTTTTAGGTTCTCTTGTCAAACGAGAAGTTCCACTAGCAGCTGTTGTCCAAAAGCCGGTTTAACTCTTGCACCTCGATTCACAAAGTTGAAACTTCTAGAGTTCATTTGCTCTGAACATGGTGGTCTTCTCGGAGAACAGGTTGATCTCACTTCATCCGTTTCCACAACAATTCCATTCTCTGCGGGGGAGTAGCCGAAACGGAGTACAGCCAGCGACAAGGTTATTGGCGAGAATTTCGATTAAAGTGCTTTTAGATGGTACTGGGATGACAATGAACGGCGCTGTAGAACGTTCCAATATCTCGGACAGGGTGGAAACTTTAACAATTTCCTCTCGGAACAACATTGCCTGGGTTACTGTACAAAAGGTAGATCTATGAGATTGTTTTAGCTTGTAAAAGTTCTTTAGCTTTGTGTCCATATGGGACTCCTCTCCGAATTTCATCGGGTTCTCTCATTGAATGCTCGGTTTCTTCACAATGCCCGAGAAGTCATCAATGTGTTTCCGGGGCTTGTTGTCCTACATCTGGTAAGGGTAACTTAACGCAAGCTCTGATCGTCCAAATCTTCAGCCACAATCTGTAATCAGCCATTATCTGAAGGAGTCAACTGTCTATCCGAAGAAGTACCGAGATTCTGGTTTCATTAACAAAGTTATATCTAGTAAACTTGAAATTTCAGGTTTGACTCATCGACTGGCTCCTGTCAACAGTTTTCTTATCGTGGCTGTCAAGGAAATGCAAACAATTTCCACACCCATCGTGAATGTCAAACATTTTGCAGTCAAATTGAAGGTGGAACCCACAAGGGAAAAGCAATAGTAGGATGTGGCCAAATGAGATAAGCCATAACCCATTCGACGTAGAATTTCACGCTGATTCCAAATCTGTTTCCCGTTTTTGTGACTTTCTATAAAAAAGTTATACGTGTTTTAAGTTTTAGGATAAAAATGCGAAAATTTGGAGCCTATAGAGATGTCTTTATAAGGGGTCTCTCACGGATCCCAAACGTGGCTAGATGGTATAGTGGATAAAACGGTTGCAAAATATGCGCTCCATATTTTGCTCGAGTTCGATTCCTTTTGGCAAACCTAAATTTTTATAGAAAGTCATTTTGCAGTTGAAGTTTTAAGGTGTCTTTTAGAGGAGCCAAAGTGCGTGGTTGGAGAAGCGTTGCGTTTGGAGAGTGGTCGATTCTGGAAATGCGGAGTGAGAGGGGTGACTTGCCCGAATCAGTACGAGTGTCTCTTTGATGGAAATCAACACGGATGCTGTCCGACACAAGCATATACATGCAGTCAAATGCCGGACGAGGGACGCTCATGTTCGCCTGGGATCTCGATTCGATGGTGAGTCTTGTAAATAAGATGGAGAACGATAATTCTATTAGGTTGGCAAGAGTCCGCTTTAACCTTATCATTTTGTTTGAGAATAGCCAAATAGCACAAAAGGTTAAAAGGGTTTCCCCAAAACGCTCACAACATCTAGCAACATCCAACTCGTGATGCGATTACACAACGGATTGACACTTCGTCGGTGGCAACACAAATACACTCTGTCAAAAATTATAGACGCACCCTGTTTTTTGCTAGTTTAGAGCCGGATATAAGTGCTAGTTTACAGTAGATAATGTAATTTTAGTTTATTAGTACGAAAGAAAACAACACTCCATGCAAAATTTCAAGTCATTTCACTCATCCAAAGTACTTTATTGTACAAAAAACGTTTTATCAGCTGTCAAAAAATTATAGACGCACTTCTATTTTATCAAGAAAAAGTTCACAGAAATAAAAATAACAACACAAACTAAATAAATAGTAAAGTACTTTTTGAACGGCAACTTAAAGACGACCGGCGTTGAAGAGACAAGGTCGTAGAGCTGTTGGTTGCAGCCGATTCCATGCTACTTGCATGGTTTGCTTGTTTGCTTTCACGCTCAAAAGCTAACGCATGTATTCCTTCAAGATCATTCCCATTTAAGAATTCCCCACGAGTGTGCCATTTTTAAGCAAAGTCGGGTCGTTGCCAAGCGACAGTGCGGATTTGTGCGCTGTCAGTCAAGAATCTCTTGTGGAGCAACTTGCATGAATACTTGCGTTATCGTGCATAAAAGTAAAGTTATTGCCCGGATTGTTGTTCCGGAAGATGAAACTGCTACGATGTTTCTTGCCAACCTTTGATAGTCTTGTTACAAGATTTACAATCTTGTAAACAAGATTGAGTACTTTATTGTAATATTAGGTGAACAAGATTTAGTATTTTAGATTTCCGCTTAACCCAACACTTATTCAGGTTCTACGACAACAAACACGCTCAATGCCGGTCATTTTCTTACCGAGGATGTGACGGAAATTCGAACAACTTTGCTTCACAAAAAGATTGTGAAGATTATTGTGTCCAAAGTGAATCTCGGCAATAATCTCTAAACTGACCTTTTAGAGCTGAAATGCCCTCCACCCTACACAAATCCCTTCGAAGCTCCACAGTTTTGCAGCCCACAATACAAATCGTGTCAAGGTTTCAAGACGAGCAAAACATTTTTTTACCAAACAAATCTTATAGAAGAGCACGAATGTGTTTCGGTTACTTCATCAAATCATGTCTGTTGTGCTCCACAAGTTCGACCGTCACTACGAATATTGATCACAAAGTTGTGTGGAGATCACTGGAAACCGTGAGAGAATTTTTGTGAGAAGTGCAGAATTGATACTATTGATTTCAAATGACAATACAGTTAGCTGGCACAAAAAAAGGAAATTTTACAATATTCAGACCTTTAGTTAGAATCCTATTTACGTGCGGTTTAAAGGGACTGGCGCAAAAGCGGCGCGCCGCGCTATCTAAAGGGTGGATACGCTACCGTGCCCCTCACAAAAATTCTTTTGTTATTCTTTTTATTTTTCGGCATTCCATGATGGAACTGTGAATGTTGTCCGTCTTTTATGCCGAGTCCCCCTAAGTTTTATTCCCCTTTCGTAAAGTCCATTATGTTCTTGTAGCGCGTTTTTAAAGTACTGCCTACTTCTCCTCGCCCCTAGTTCGTTCCCTCCTTTCTATATTGTTCCTCCCATGTTTCCTGTTTAAATTTCTAAAATGGTTTTGTTTTGTTTCTCTTGGCCCCTTTCTACTCCATTGTCTTCGAATCTTTCTGTGCGTGCCGTATAAACTTAGCTTAACCAATTCTCTTTCAACTAAAACAAAATCTATCAAATCAAATCGGCCCGATTTCTTGGGGTTTTTCTTCTTGGGTTTAGTGTCTAATTATTTTAGAAAAAGGATTGGTGAGTAAAAGGTATTGGATAAGGTTAAATGGTTACTAACTCTTCGACTGTTCCAGGGTAATGGCCTCAAGTGGTGAACCGCGTCGCTGTGATTCAAAATTGCCATGTGATCGAGGATCAATGTGCCGATTCTCTGGTAACTTTTGCTTTGATTATGTATTTGTCCTAAGATCAAAGTAATAGTAGGTATTGGCATTGTAAAACTCTGGAAAGTGTAAGACTTTTAGAAGTTCTCTGGCTTGATATCTGTTGCCGACCGAGCGAAGAAAGGATCGTCAGTGGTAAAGCTCTATAAAGTCACTAAAATGCCGAAAGTTTAGAAGAAAATTCTGAAGAATCGATGAGCGCTCGAAGAGCATCGAATCCATTTGAAGAGCTTGATCCACAAATCGAATTTCAAAGCGATCAGGAAAGCCGGAGACAAGAAAGACCGAAACTGGCTTTGTTTGGTTTTTATGAAAATGCTCATTCCAATTGTTTTTACAGAAAGGGTTCAACGAACAGAAGAGGAAATAAGCAGCCAACAAAATGCAAATTGAGCTATTCAAATGGGGAAACGATATCGGATGAATGCAAGAAAGGTGAGGCGAGAGATTAGCAAGAAAAAGTTGAACTTGAGCTTGCTAGACTGGTCTAATTGAAAACTAATTGTAAGCAAGTTGTCAAAAAGTTGATATGGCTAGAATAGAAAAAAGTCGAATTTGTAAAAATTAAGTACATAGCGTTTTCAGTTGTATTCCCCGGTGAAGACGGATGTGATGATGGTCACCCTTGTACAGGACAATCTCGATGTGTTCAAGGGAAATGCTTCTGTCATCCACGAGCCGTTCTTTTCAACAAAATGTGTTGTGGGTTTTGATTTGGAATCTATTGTAATAACCAGCCGGAAAAAGCCACCTAACAGCAGGTTTTTTTTGGCCTAAATATGGCTGAGAAAAACCCAGACAGGCACTGCTCTTTTATATTAGGGTTGTCCATAAGTTCTTGTGGTTCTTAAATTTGTGATTTCTTAAAAAGCAGTCAACAGTTTCATCTGAAATTTCTACTTAATAATCTACAAGTATATGCTAACTAGTAGACAAAATTTGATGACGATTGCTTGGTTCAATCGAGAGAATGAGATCAACCAAGTCAGCATGTATTTCACCTTATTTTGAGGGCTAATGTGAGAGAAAAATTCCATACTTCTACTAAAAAGAGATAAACCAAAAGGGCTAATTTAAGTTTAATTGTATCCGGATGTTAGGTCGACCAATCCTCCTAAAAATGTTCTGGATCCTGTTTTTCATCAGTGTTTCATAGAGCCGAGCGAGCCTACAAAGAGTGAAACACACAAATCAACGTTAGAAGCCTCTCGATTGAACCAAGCAATCGTTATCAGATTTTGGCATATACTTAGTTAGCATATACTTATAGATTTCAAATGAAACTGTTGGCTGTTTTTGAGGAAATTACCAATTTATGAACCGCAAGAACTTATGGATAATTCTAGTATACAGTATCTAGCCAATTGTATAATTCAATTGTACCTTGGAGTCAATTGTATAATTCAATTTCAGATTGGAAATGCCCACTTTCTTATCGAAATGCTTCAGGAATCTGTGTTTGAAATATTTAAAGAGAATTGAAATAAATCTTAGTTCTAAACTTTATTCAATTTGTCAAAAATAGGCAACATTTCTTTTTGCTTTTCCTAATTGCATTCACATTTCGATCTTCCATTTGATTTCTCCACTTCTGTGCATTTTCCACTTTTGAGCTGCGGTATGGTGCATGGGCGATCTGGAAAAGAATATGAATTCAGAAATTTGATTCAAACCGTCAGCTATCGCAGTAATCAGTAAAATCAGTTTGGCTAAGTTTTCTCATCACAAAATTCTCACCAAAAGTCGCGCCCCGCACGACTCGGTGGCTCAATGGGGATCGACGGTCTCTCCTGAACAAATCAATAAACTTCAGGAACTTTCAGATCAAATGAAGACAAAAGTAATCAATTTCACTAATATGTAGTTTTTTCAGCCTTTTTTACCTGGACATTGCCTCCGATGTTGACAGTAGGAGACAGATGAGGAAAATTGCACAAAACAGCTTCATCCCTCAAATCTATAAAGTTTTTTTAAAACAAAAATCTATCAAATTTTAGATAAAGAGGTAAAAAAAGAGAATTCGTTTTTCGCTAAATCTTTTATGGCACCCGTTCTGTTTTGCTGGCTCACTTTTTCAATTTTTCAATTTTTTTTAGTGAACGGCCTTGCTGAGATAGCTCCCAAGAGTAAAGAAAATTTGTTGGATCTGTCAATTTCTACTTCCCGATTGAAAATTTGATGTTAGACCAAAAAAGAAATCTAGATCTAATTGTAAACTGATTGTAAATAAGCCAATGAATTAGTTGGTTTCAAAGAATTTCTAGAAAGGAAAGAATTTCTAGGAGTTCTTTTGAAGTTCCGTGATGGATTCTTGTATCTGTAGATAAATGGGTATTGCCAAGATGAACTTTGCTTTTGTTACTGCATGAATCAAAAGTTTTATTGTATATCTTTCATTTATTCGCATTCGCATTGCGTTGTGCCATCAGAGTTATCGTTTTCAGTGCACTTTCCGCTGTTGAACTGCTCCTGTGTGCATTTACCATCTGGAATTTGTAAAAATCTTCTGAAAGAATGGTAAAAAGAGAATTCATTTTCAAGAATATGGATACATTATGGTATTTTTCTAAAGTAACTTTTCAAAATCGCGAAAAATTCTTACCGGTAAGCCCCCTTCGCACACGATTTCCGTTGATTCGTCGCATCCTGAACAATTAGATCATTTATTGTTGTAACGATAAATTAGCTAATTTTCCATTGATTTAAGTAGAGTACTATACAAGGTTTAGATCAATTTAGATTCAAGTCGAATTCTTTTTCGAATCATACGTTGCTGTGCCCATTGCAAACAGGAGACAGAGAAGGAAGATCACTCGGAACAGCTGCATTATAAATTCCTGTCGAATATCTTAAACTAAATCGACTTTCAAAATTGAAATCGTAAACAGAGAATAACCTTGAAATATGTGAAAGATTCCATTTTGCTGACTCTTTTATAGACTGGCGTTTTGTCGTGGTTCCGTGCAAGTGATCGGGCAACACGCGGCGGTATTTCAAATCTGGTGATTTTAGCCCCATCTTTCATTTTGCTAGAGCCAAAAATGGAAGATGGGACTATTGTTTGATTGTTGTTGTTGCTTGATTGTTGTTGCTTGATTAACTTTATGTTAATTGTGTTCGACCCGGATGTTGTAATTCGCACTTGCGATATAAATATAAATTATTTATTAAAAAGCTAAATGTAAAAATAGCATTAATTGTTCTCAAATGCTGCACATCGATCAGAAGGAATAAGGCTACACAATAATTCCAGTGCTCTAGACTCTACAGGAATCCACTCAAAAGTTACTTGACACGCTACCTTCAACAATTTGTGGCCTAGACAACTTTCTTTAACACAACAAGTGCAACTTGGTTGCGTTACATCTGAACATGAACATTGAGTTACGGTATTAATTAAAAAAAAGGTATCGTTAATCTGTGACGATGACCATCGATACGCATTGCCGTCTTTGTAGACAAACTTTGAACTAAAACTAACATTTTCTGACTTCAGCTTGATCTATTTCACGTTTCAAAAGATGTAGGCCGATCGGTCTGAAAATTAGTTTGATAAGATCTTAATGTGCTGTGCAGGAAGTGCCTGAGAATTTCCTAATTTTCAGATGAAAGTATATTGAGCTGAAAACTTGGAAAGTTGAGCCGAGATTAAGATTGCTCAAAACACAAAGTGCAAACACAAATAAGAATCCAGCTTTCAAACCCAGTGCACTAACACTAAAGAAATAATTTGTCTAAGAAAAAATTCTATTGACTTTAATTATTTTTTCAAAATTAAACCGTAAAACGGCACAATTTTCTGTACGATATTTTGAGAGTAATTTCAACATTTGATGGGTATCTATACCGAAATTGGATTGAAAATTTGGACCGAAATTGATCCGAAAGTAGAATCTTCAGTTTTCCTCTATCCAGTGGCTTCCATCCGTTGATGAATCGAGAGAAGAGAAGAGATGTGTGGATCCAGTTGTCCCGGACAGAAGTGTCTATTAGTGATCCAATCCAATTCCAGGTAAGAATCAATACAAAAGACAAAAGCGTTAGCTTTTTTTCTATTAGGTTGATGCATAAGTCTTTTTGTTCCTTTTCGTCTGCCGTTTCAAGCCAACAAATGCACCAATTAAACTACGGTTGATTTCATTAGAAAAACCAATTATTTTTCTGCAAAATAACATTAAAACGGGTTTAAAAATATTTTATGCCTGGATTTTCTTGAGAGTATGAAGTCGGGTAGTCAAAAACGGCTAACTCGATGATGCGGTTTAGACACCTTAGCTAAAGAAAACCTATCTTCGTGTCAATAGATAAAAGATAGAGAAAAAAAGTTTGATATTTCGCCAAAATTTCAGAGAAATTCATTCAGCCAATTTTTCCGTAGAGTTTTTTATAGATTTTTACGAAAAAGGCGTTTTTCACTCTCGAATTTGCTTGAAAGTGAACCGAAATTCATTTAAAAAGATGCAAATTGAACAAAAAAACACTTTTTTTATAGAGCAAACTATAGATTAATTGGTGAATTTGTTACTTTTTAACAGAAGTACGAAAAAAACGAAAAGACTTTTGCATCAACCTAATACCTTTTTCATTCATTCTCTTCGTTCGTTGCCGTGAAACCTTGTGAAAATGTCTCAAATGCTCTTTGCTTTTTAACTTTCCTTTGAATTTGTATTCGTACTAATAAATTGCTAATAAATTGCTCTACTTATTTTCTTGCATTCAAGATCTTTTATGTCTCCAAACAAATTGTAAAGAGTACAGCTGCAAAACAAGGTGTAATTGCTGAAAACTTTAAAATCAAGTTCTAATTATCAGAACAGCCATTTCTAAACTTATTTTTTGCATTTGTTGCTCCGGAAGCATAGCTATTTCGCAAGCAAAACTTCAGTATTTAAGAACAAAAGTACGTCCCACTCCTTTCAACACTCCCAAATTGTGGCTTCCTCATCCAAAAGACTGAACATTTTTCAGACAGACAAGGAAGAAACCATAGACAAATTGAATTCAACAAGAAATGCAACAATTTATCAACTAAATTCATCAGTTTGTGGATGGGATTGATCGGTGGAGTCGGGATCATCGATGGCTCCATCTACACAGGGACAAGCCTGGTCGGAGATCCTTTGCTGTCCCGTGTGTAATCAGGTGAGAGATTTTAAAATGTTTAGCTAAAGATCTTAGTTTTACAAAACGCTATCAAACTAAAGTAAATGAATCTATCTATACTTTACTAGTTAAAATATTTTACTGCATAGCTTTTGAAACCAAACAGTTTCAAGTTTCAGCCTAAACTTAAACAAAGGCTAAAAAGGCTTAAACAAAGAGCTTTATGGTTTCGTCTAAAGATTTTGTCTAAAAGATAGCAAAGAGGATTTCTTGCTGAATTAAAATTCTTTACGCTTACAAAGCTAAATTCAAGCTTGTATCCAAATTTAATTTAATTTTTCAGCTTTTCTCCGAAACCCGTGAACCAATTTCCACCTCTTGCGGTCATGTTTTCTGTCGAGTTTGTGCCCTTGCAATCTCTGGATCAAATTGCCCAATTGATGAGGTATTTTGTTGAGATTTACACAAATTACTTCACTAAACCTATCTATTTAATTATCTAGAAATTTTAATTTAGGCAGAAAACGGGTATCCAATCCGCGAGCTTCCCACCAATTCTGCAATCCTCTCAGTCGTCGGCGTTCAAAAAGAAGCCTCACAACAGATCAAAAATCTGTTGAAGAAATATGGTAAGATAAATATTTGATCAATGTTTAACTTAAAAAGAGTTGATTGAATATTTTTAGGCAAAGAACTTCCATCAACAGCAATCTCGAGTTGTGAGAAACATCTTTTGGGCCTCGCTTCTTACATGAGAAGGGCGAATTCGGAGAGAGGGGGCAGTGTGTGGAGTGAGGTAAAGAAAATCTACAGCAGAAGGGACGTCTGTCTGTCCGTCTGTCTGTCACAGGCACTCTCCTCGCTCAGATCGAATTTAGAGATGCAGTTTTTTTGTTCGATAGGAAATTTTATGCTGATTTCGCCCGCAAAAAATCAAGAAAATTCATCGCACCGATTTTTTTAAAAAGTCAAAAAAATGCAAAACTAGCCGAGCCCTATGTTGCCTAACTTCTCTGCGCGCAGATGGCCGAGTGGTTAGAGCGCGCATCTCTCAAGCGAGACTGGGAAAGAGGGATCGTGGGTTCGGTCCACCTCCGAGAAAATTTGTTTTGTTTTTCTTTTCAAAATAGATTTTAATTGTTGGAAAGTCAATTTCGGGATCTGGATCAGGGGAGAGAGTGTTCCTAAACCTCCGCGCGATTTTCCCTGGCGATTCCCATATTTGGGATGAGCTAACTATAGGAATGGGTTTAAAACAACTTGAATAAATGAGATAAATGGATCCCCGACTACGTTCAGCCTCAACTGTCCAGCAAGATTCCTGCTTATAAAGACAATGTGATTATCGATTGAGACAACAACAAGGTTCATAAATTTACGTGAGACCTCAACCCGCAGCAGTTTTCAGCTGTGTTAGCAGCTGAAAACTGCTGGTAATCAATATAAATAATCAATACTCAAAAATATAAACTCAATAGTCAATATATCAAATAATCAACATAAAATTCAGCTACTCAGCCGAACGATTCAACGAAAATTGGTCTCTGTGTTATGTGCTCAGATTGTTGAATCGAATTGTAGACTAAAGGTGGGGATTGGTTCTTGAAGGTTCCATTACTTATCAAAAGCTGCCGGATTGGCAAATCTGCAAAATTTGAAAACTTAAAAGCCTTATTTGCTTAAACGTATACTCTATTTTAGCTGATGAGAACCCTCCGTGCTTTGGCTGAGAGAATAATCTCCGAGCAACTCCTTCAGCAACAAGCCTCTCACAGTCTCTCCACTCAACTCTGGACAACCGTCCGATCTCGAGGATGCCAATTTTTAGGGCCAGGTTTAAAACACACTCCGCATTTGAATTTCCTTTTCAGCTATGCAAGAGGATGTACTCAAATTGATCCTTCTCACTCTCAGCAAGGGTGCTCTCATTGCGAGGAAGACTCTTGTCATGTACATAGTGCAAACTTTAAGCGAAGATTATCCACAGGTTTCGTCCAGCTTTTCGACTATATCTATACTATTTTAGGTATCAAAAACGTGTGTCGGACATGTTGTTCAACTACTTTATCGAGCTTCTTGTTTCAATGTGATAAAGAGGGAAGGGGAGAGCTCGTTGATGCAGTTGAAAGAGGAGTTTCGGTGAGTGGCTGTATGAGGCATTTTTATGGTAAACAAGTCAAGTCATCGTTGAGTAGAGTTTAATTTCGTTTGAAACGACTTCTAACTTTCAGAACTTACGAGGCTCTTCGACGAGAACACGATACGCAAATCGTGGGAATGGCGGTGGATGCGGGTCTTCGAATATCGCCTGATCAATGGAGTGCACTCCTATATGGAGATCAACATCATCGATCGCATATGCAATCGATTATTGGTAAAGGCTTACTACAAAATACTAATCATTATAAGTTCTAGATAAACTCCAAAGCCCGCAATCATTTGCTCAAGGAATCGAAGAATTGAAAACAAGCTCAAGAGGAATTTCTGATGAACACAAAGAGCCTTTCATTGCAGCTTTGCAAATCTTTGAGAAAATTTCAGGTTAGCTGATTTAATTGGAATTTAAAATTTCAATTTCGATTTCAGAAGATGACTCTTGGGAACGTTTGAGTGTACTATTGGAACAAATGAATCGATTGATTGAGATTCATGTAGAGATCATGATTCAGCGGTAATAAACAAAGCATAGATTCTGATTGATTGAGCTTAGACGAGAGTTGAAATCGACTGATTACTCGAGGAGATCAACGGGAAGTCAGAGTACGAACAATAATAGGAGGATGCCCACAAACAACAATCATTTCAAGACGAAAATGTGCAGGTAAAATTTTGATTGGCTTTCGAGGAGGCGTTCTGACAAAGGAAAGGCACCGAGTCTAGCTGGCCTTTTGACTCGAGACCAAGTCCATCTTATAGAGTCGACCATGGGGATCTCGAAACCGTTTTTAGTTTTTGCAGAACGCTTCGCAAACTCAGAGACATTTGGCATAGACTGTTTACGCTAAAGTTTTTACGCAAACCTATCGCTAATATCTAAATTTCGGACTCGTTAAGAAGCTGTCACACGCTCCCTGAACAACTGCTTCGGTGGTCTAGTAGATAGTCTGCTAGATTACCGAACATGGAGCATATTTTCCCCTCAAGTTCGAGTCCCACTCTTGCCAAACATTTTTAAAAAACTGTTTCCTTACGTATTTGATTGAATTATTGGCACGACTTTTATACACCGCGTTCCGTAACTTCGACAAATAATTAACAAGAGCTGAAACCTTCCAAAGTATCAGAATCAGTAGATAAGTCTAAAAAATTTAACATTTGTTGCCAGGTAAGTATTGAAAAATTTAATATTTGTTGCAACATTTCTGAAGGCTTCAAGTGCGCAAAATTCAACTCTCTTATTCATTGCAATTACGTAGGAAGACAGTTTTTAGAAAAGCGAAAAAGTTTGGCGAAAGTGGGGCTCGAAATTGAGGGCAAAAAATATAATAGTTTCGGTAGTCTAGCAGTCTATTCATTAGACCACCGAAGCAGTCGTTACGGGGCGTGTGACAGCTTCTTAAGGAGTCCGAAATGTAGCTATCAGCGGTAGGTTTGCGTACACAGTCTATGCCAAATGCCTTGCGTTTGTGAAGCGTTCTGCAAAAACTAAAAACGGAATTGAGATCTCCATGGCCGACCCTGTAAGATGGACTTGGTCTCGAGTCAAAAGGCCAGCTTGACTCGTACTTTCCTTGTGAGAAATATTTGAGCAAGCCTTTTCCAGAAATATTTGAGAAATATAACAATTGTGCCAAATTTTAGAGAAACAGCCTCTGGGGAAGTTTGTGGAAGAGGAGATTCTTGTGGCTTTGCCCATTCACCCCACGAATTGAGAAGAGATGGCCCGCCACCACTCATTGCGAGGGGAATGAATGGTCCACCACCTTCACTGCAAAATATACCGATGAACGGATTTCCATATCAAAATCAACAACATCATCTCATTACGGTAGGAAAAGCTTCACCACAAAGCAAGTTTGCTCTAGGAAATGCAAGGCATGACAATGAATCCGATGCTTCCGGCAGCTCCATTTGTTCAAATTCCCACTCAACCACCACCAATGTCTCAGCAAGGTATTTACAACTTTACCTAAGATAAAACAAATAAAATCATTATCACTTTTCCTCAAAATTGACACAATTCAAGCGAAAAAAACCTAAATTCATCATTTTAGAACCCCCAATGATGTCAATGATAATGCAAATGGGTGCTCCTGGTGTACCAATTCCGATCGACAGAACCATCCCACTTGGCCCGGCAATTCCACCACCAATTGTCCTGGTAAAATGGCTAAAGATTTATTGATTGATCTCAAGTTTTAAGATGCAACCACCACCCCTTTGGAACGGACGAGTCCCTCCATCACAACCACCACCACCGCCCGGCACTCATCTCATCCTCCCGCAAATAACACAACAAATACCGTGGATACAGCAGTAAGTTGCTAAATAAGTCACTTGTCATCATAATTATACTTTCAAAGTGTCCCCTAAGCTCTAGTCGAATATCTTTTAATTTTGTGGAAAAATTCAAACAAACGGGGCAGCTACGAAAGCTACGAAGTCCCGCCGATTTTCCTAAAAGATTTTTCCTCGCTGCCCCCTTTTGTTTGAAATTCCCCACGAAACTAGAAGATATTCAGCTGAGTGGGCAAGGGGACACTTTGAAAGTCTAAACATAATCTTGTTCTTTTTATCCAATCGTTTTTTTAGAGTACCGATGGCTGAATACCCGCCCAATGCTCCGACTCCGGGTCTTTACTGGTCAGGCCCTTCACAAATCCAAGTCCTCTCCCCACAACCGATAAACTTTGTTCAAACAATCCCGATGATGGTTTGATTTTCCTAAACTCTCCAATTTGCTTTTTTCAGATCCCTCCACCAATGGATCACTCGTTTGAAAAGACTTCAGGCGATGAAACAGAATTGCTGCATTTGAAAAGGATTGAGATTTTGAAGTGAGTTGATTGATCGTATTGATGATACCGTAAATATTCTAATAGAAGCCCCCTATAGGAGCGTCGCATAGTCTAATAAGGGAAGGGCAAGTGGACAAGGTGGTCAAATGGCATGTGCTATATACCATTCGACGCAGGATTTCACGCTGATTCCGAATATGGTTTCAGTTTTAGCTATGCGCTACCCTATCAAAAGTTATATGAGTTTAAAGTTTTACAAAGCATTTTCGAACTCAAGGTCAAATTATGATAACTTAGTTTCGCAAAGGCCTTTCAAAAGTGGTAGTGGCCGAGGGCCCGAGTGGTAGTGGGTTAGCCTGGGAAGCGAACATTCTCCCGTTCGACTCCACCTTCATCTTTTCTTTTTTTGCTTTTTTTTCTTTGACCAACTTGGGTGTTCTTTGTTCGCGCGCACAATTGCAAGTCATCTGGCACGCCATAAATAGTCATATGGAGTCATATGTTTTTTAATGTTTATTATATGTAAAAATTATCTAGTTTCTTGTGAAACGTAGATAGAATAAGGCTAATTTTGAAATGGAGAACACCCAAGTTTTGTAAAAGCAAAACAAGCCGATTTTTTATCAAATTTCATCATTTTTCAATCATTTTTTCTAAGCGCTGATTAAAGTTAAAAATACGTGTTATATCTCAAAAAGCCACCCATCGTCTCTACTTTAATTTGATACCTGAGCGCGCAGAAACAAACGTACTGGAATCGAGATATGAGCGTTTGTTTGAGGGTAAACTTAAACTACGCGACGCTCCTATGGGATGGGTTTCTATTAGAGTACTGACGGAGAAATCCGTTTTTAGCCGACTTGCCCCATTGTCATCGTTGGATGAAGAAGGGGAAGAGGGTGATGGAAGAGGGCACGTCTCTTACACTGTAGCCAGCAGTGTTCTTGATGATTCTCATCGACATCCGTCATTCATCGGAATCATTCCTATGTAAGTGAGAAACTAGATAACAAATAAATCTTAGAATATCGCCGGATAGAAGCTGAAATAATTTTCGATTTTTCAGAAACAATGGAAATGTCTCGTTGGATCTCCCATCTGTCCCCTGCAATGTTTTCTCGTGTAACACTGAGGGGAGATTTGCCAAACTTCATACCAACTGTAAGTCCCGTGACTAGCTACTATGATGCAAAATTTTTAAACAATCAGAATATTCAGCTGAGAATCCCACCGGGAGGTTCCCCAATCATGGCCACTGTGCAAGCGGATTGCTCAAGTATGACAGTGAAAGACGCGATTCGACAACCGATCACTGCTAGCATGATTACGCCTCATGGTATAGTATTTTATCAAAATTGAACTTCTAGATTTGTAAAATAGCTTCTAGTACAACACTTTAGTTACTATTACTTCTCCATTACCACCCTCAGCCAATCCAATCCAACAACTGCCAACTCGTATCATTCGGCCGATCGAAATCCCGATGATTGCTGGAGGTGCACAGCATTTCGTTTCGCAGACTCTCGATAAAATTGTCGATGTCAAGGTTATTAAAACTAAAGAAGGGCTATAAAACTTCCTTCAGGAGCGATTAATTGAAGTTAGTGGACCGTCGTCATCAGTGGAAAGCGAGCAGTTGAGAGTGGAATTGTTGATAGCTGATCGACAAATGGAGGCTCTCGATCCGCACACACAACAAACGTGTCTTTTGATTGAGTTGGAGGAGGTAAACGGCTAAATAGCTAAATAAAATTGGCAAGCCATACGAGATCTGTAAAATCCAAGACTTGTAGAGAAAGTTCTTAGGCTGAAACGAATGCCTAGTTTGCTCACGAACATTCTTTTATTCTTCATTTCACTTAACATGCTAAAATAAAGACAATTATAAAAGTAAAGATAAAGCAAAAACGGATGCAGATCCAAAACTGTTTTATTTTAGGTTGAGAGAAAGATCGGGGAGCTTGGAGGGAATCATCCACCACCATTCACACCAGCGAATGTGATTTTCAAGAACGAAAGATGGTAAACAAAAAAAGATTTACAATAATTAACTCTATAAAAATAGACTAAATTACCTTTTTCTCTAATAAAAAACATTTACAGTATTGAGCCAAAAGCTACAGCAAAGGCGATCACAAAACCTCACCATTAAAATAGCCCAGTTCAAAGATTTGTTGCTTTATTTATTTGCACGCTTTTATGCTACTTATTTATTCATTTTTAATTTTAATTTCTTCAATCAAAATGATTTATATTATTTATCTGTTCTAGTTGGGTGCATCTGTGAAGAGAAATTGTGATTTTTGTCTGCGATTCGATCACGTTTTTTTGTCATATTGATTAAACAGTTTTAAAGTTTTACTTACAAAGGATATCAATCGGGTGTGGTGGCCAAATGACATAAGCCATTTACGATTCGACGCAGAATTTCACGCTGAATCCGAATCTGCTTTACGTTTTTGCTAAATAGCACTGCTAAATAGTCAAAAGTTATAAGCATTCAAAGTTTTGTATGAAATTTTAAAAATCATCTCTCGAGTTTACAAACAGATTTCCCAGAGGCTTTGGAAAGCAGTGGTGGCCGAGTGGTAATCGGCTAGAATGCAAGGCAATCCCCCTCGGGTTCGAGTCCAAAGTCCAGTCCCTTATTTGATCAAATAAGAGTGAAATCGAAGAGAAATTGAGAGGAAAAAGAACGAAAAGGTCACCACAAAAAAACTCATAATGTCATAAAGTTATCTTGCGATCTTGCGGAAGTCAGAAGATTTATGGAGAATCTCGACCTAGATCTAAATCTGCTCTGTAATATTATGGCCTAGGAAATGAAATCTTCATTTTATGATCAAGGGCTTTTGTGAATTTGACGTGAATTTGACTGACAGACATTTCCTGAGTAGAGGATGCCAGAAATGGTCACGATTGTTATAGCAATTGTAGCAAATTTTTAAACATTTTGGTACTAGATTAATTAGTACTAGGCTTAGTACTGCTACTAATTAGACTAATACTAAACCAGTGGCTATCATTGCTTTTTAATCACATACGGTTTTGAACTCCGTCTGACTGAAATGAATGGTCGCAGAACGTTTCAAAATTCTTTTTGTCCAAAATGGACATTCTGGCAGATGAGGATTTATGATGTATTGATGAAATTTTATCACTGAACATTTAATAAAAGTCTCCGTTGAGTCCCCGTGACCTTTCGGAACGAGACCTAGATCATCTTGTAGAGAATTTCATTATTCCGATGGTGTACAGTCGACTCTCTCGATAACGGAACTCTATATAAAGTTCTATATAACAGAATGGAATTTTGGTCCCGACCGACGCTAAGCTATATATAACGGTACTCTATATAATGGAAAGCTCTATATAACGGAAATTTTTTTTTTCTCTTCCATTCCGTTATAAAGAGAGTCGACTGTATTTAGTTTTTGCGGAATGACTCTGTAACGCATTATTTGACTCTTATTTGACAAAAACATTTTTGGCATGTCAATTTGAGGCTTGCGCGCACTTGCCTAGCAGATGGTCTGGTGATGTCAAATATGGAAATGATAAAATACGCTTGATTCTCATTTGATTACTTGGAAAATCATCCGAATTCATTTCTGACACCGCTGTTATACTATTTTGAAAGGAGTGTTCCTTCAAGAGATTCCTGTGGTAATAATTGCCTCGAACGTGCATTTATTCGTTGTCCCTTCTGCGAAAATTGTGACTCTTTTTGTTGTTTTATCGGCTTATGCCATCAATTTGTTATAAATTATTGTTATAATACTTTTAATGCCCTGTTGAGTTTCGTACCCAAGTTGTTTTACAAATCTATTAATACCTTTATAACTTGAACCTAACGAAAGGACTTGTCTTTACACAAAAGTATAGTAAGAGAAAAGCAAAATTTAGCTAAAGTGGGGGATTGAACCCACTTCTGAATGGGTCAAAAAGTTTCTGTAGACAAGCGCATGCACTACACCACCAGAACATCTGCAAGTGTGCGCAAGCCTTAAATGGACACCCCAGGAAACGTTTTTTTCAAATAACTCCACATCAAATAAGTGTCAAATAACAGAGTCATTTCACAAAACTAAATACACCATCGGAATCCCGTGGAATACATCTACTAGGATGATTTGGATCTCGTTCCAAAAGGCCATGGAGACTCAACGCCATTCAGTCAATCTGTCTTAATCAACTTTTCGACATATTTTCTTCAGTAATTCCTTTGTTGGAAGCGGTGTGGCTCGAGAGAGATTGAACATTCTGAGTGGGGAATCATTTTCGATCGATCTTGTTTCCGCCGTGATGCCCAATTGAAATAGATGACAACCGATCTAAAGACTTTGAGGGAATTAATTGAGAAAAATAAATTTGGGACTAATCATTACAGTGGAATTAAATTTGATGAATAAAAAAATAGAAGAAGCACTTTTTGCAATGCTCACCCAAGTATTGTGTGAAAGCAAAATGGACCCAAATCAGAGCCTAGGAAATAAAATATCGGCAACACATCAACCATGACATTGTTCACAAGATAAGTCCAAACATGGAAACAGATTGTGATAAAGTGAGTGATCACTAACTAAATTCACCTTGAGTCTATCAATATTATCCCAACTCTACCATAATCGAAAGTCGAACGTCCGCTCTTTCTTTGACTCCGGAAATTTTTACCCAAAGATTTATTGTTAAAGAAAGCATCAATGATTTACAAGTGTTCGAATCTTCCATAAAGTCAAGAAATCAAGCAACACTGTTATTGCCAGTACTCCATACATAAAATAATCAAAATAAGTGTTCAGGATGTCGAAAATCGGACCCCGATTGAAGATGGCCACATAGAAGAATTCCAAGGGTGAGAAAAAGAAACCACAAAAACAACGGAAGCCTGTTTTCTCGTCAACTACTAAATTTCACAGCTACAACAGGTAAATTATAAAAATTTTATCGTATTGCAACACTTACAATATCCGGTTTGTAACAAAAAGAAGAGTATCGGGAAAAACCAAAGCAGAAACGCGTGCGGATAAGCCCATCTTTCGATTTGGCGATAATGTCGACCGTGAAAGAACACGGCGAAGACTCTAGATAAGTTTTATCTAGATTAGACATTTGATTTGATTTTGATTTAGATTAGACACATTACTAATCTCATCTTCTGTAAAAATCCACCTGTTAAAGCACAATCCATGTGAGAGCATTTGCATCGAGTAACTCATCCCATAAGTGAACGAGGTGATAATTGAATTGAAAAAAATCCCCGCAAATGGATAGGGATCTTTTTGAACGCATTGCCATCTAAATTAGCAGTTTTATTAAACAAAAGCTGTAGATCAACTTGAGTAAACAGTGAGGCTTTATAGAACTCGATCCATGACTCGTTCAAACGGCAATATGTGTCCACCAAGAGATAGCATTTGACTGCTTTAGATATATTAAGGTTACGGCAGATGCTTAGTGCACAAATAATGTTTAGCGCTGCTCCAAGACAGCCTGACTAAATGGGCTTAGATTTGATTGATTGAAAACTTAGGGTTAAACCTGTCTTACTGATTGAAAATTTTTGGGTAAACTGTCCAAAGCTGTGCTCTTGAGCAAGTTTACAATTGTATTTACGATCAAAACCAAATTCAAATACTAACACTAAGCATCGAGCTGATAACAGTCCACAGAATATCATGATTGATCGTCGATGGAATCGGTAAACCATCAAATCCATAGTAGACCTGATTTCTGAAGATAGCATTCACTCCAACACCCGTCACACAATCCCAAGTTGTGTTTGGATAAGTCTGATTGTCATCATAAGCCTCGATATAATAATAGTCAGTTGAGGAGGAATTGGTAGAATTTGATATAACGACTGATTGACCCCATGCTGATATCAACGTATCTGTAGTATTAGACATTCAAAAGAGGAGAAATGAGCGCAGGTGACTTTACGGAGTCTTGGAATTGAACCTCATTTTTGACTAAATTAACGGGTGTCGGTAATTCGATTCGTTTTTGCGTGGACTTGATTCGGCAGTCGTTTTTGAAAATCTTTGTTCTTTCTTGGAAAAACGAAACTTAAAGGGAAAGTCAAACATTTGTTTTGTTTACTAGTACGTATAAACAGTACTGCGCTTTATGCATTTCAAAGTGAATACTGTTTTTACTCTATTACTGCGCTTCTAATAGTTCTGCATCCTCTTTTAGGATTGAGGGCCGGGGGTAGATCGAAAAAAATAGTAATGTAGTAGCCCACTTCTTTGCTAATGAAGTAAATGTGTTCCAGCTTGTTGGCTGAATTGTGCAATTGTGCAATTGTGCAAAATTGTGCAATTAAGACGGCTTTGATCAGAAGGTGCTCTCAATCACTATTTCAAGAAAGATGATTCACTTCCAGAAAGAGCAAAACAAGCTTCTAAACAAACGAACAAGTTAGCAAGGCCGAAGCCCTGACTTGAACAAGCCGTCAATGGAATAAATGATCAACACGAGGCATTTTTTTTAATGATTTGATTTCAGTCTTTGATCTACTAGGTTGTTTAAAAAGTTCGCGGTCACTTGCAAAAAAGTTCAAATTATCTAATTATTTTGACAATGAATTGGTATGGTTTTTGGCTCATTTGAAAGCTTGTTTTCTTGAGAGCATTTTGTTATATAACTTACTTTACTCATTCCACAGATGGATAAAAGTGAACTTCGTGTTTTGCTTCGTTGAAGTTGAAGAAGCGTGTAAAGAGTTCTTTAATTCAAAGGAGCCGGCTTGGTCCTTCGAGCAGATCCGAAATCTTGCTGATCGATTGGAGAAGGTCATAGAGAATGACGGACTATACTTCAAGGAGTGAGCGTTCTTGTTTTTGTTGATTATTTGCGAATAAAAATTGAATTTTTCTGCAAGTGCGAACTGCGAACTGCGCGAACTTTTTTAACGACCTAATACATCAAGGAGTTTTCTAGTTTCGTAAGATCATCAAATTGGTAATATATCATCAAAGAAACCGAATAGGAAACGAATGGGAACCGTTCAGCCCATAGATGTTCAATAGGGTTTAAATCAGCACTCTGGTTCGGCCATTTCATAAGACTATGGCCATTCCTTTCTTCTGAAACCAGTACTTTACAAGCCACAAAGTATGTTTCGGATCATTGTCCTGCTGAAAAAGAAAGTTGAAAGGCATCAGCTGGAGGGCCTTTGGAAGCATATGGGTCGATAAAATGTCCAAGCAAACATGTTGGTCTATAATTCGATCAATGCGTTTTAACGGGATCATTCCCGTAAGCTGAAAAGCTATCACCCATACAAGAACACTATCACCGCCGTTTTAAAGTCGGAATTACGTCTCCTTTACTGATTTTTTTGTTGATAGGACAACGAAAATATCGAATTCGAACTTACAGGGTGTCTCAAAATTATAGAGCGGAAATTCGACCATTGATCTTTTGTTAATTTTCAAGAAATTTTTATAGATACCTTAAAAATCATTTAACAATCATTGAATATAACAAAAATATAACATTATTCTTCAAAGTGGCCTTTACATTTTCGTAATTGTTTCGTAAAGTCATCCATGGCTTTTTTGATGACCTGCACGCCAATGTCGTCCCAAGCTTTCTCCAAATCCTTCTACAAAGACTGAATTGATGTGTGAGGCTTGCAACAAGCCTTGAACTGCAAGATCGACCAAATGCTGTAATCCAAAACATTCAAATCCGGGTTGGATGGCCATTGGGATTTTGCGCGCTTATGTCAACTGTGATCCAATCAGGAAAATTCATTGTGATCTAATCTTGCGTTTCTCGAGCTGTATGCCATGGAGCTCCGTCCTGAAATACCCAGGGCTTATTACCGAAGTACTGCTGACTCCAAGGCAAAATTTCTGTTTTCAACATGTGCAGATATTCATCCTAGTTGGAACAGGATCCGCTCCATAATTTTGTGACACCCTGCAATTGTTACTTTTTATGTTTCCTGTTATCTTAATAAAATTAAAACAATATGCCTATTCTCCAGAATTTTTGGAAGAAATATCATTCCTTTGCGTTTGAAGTTTTTACATGAAGTTTGATTGATTTAGTAAGTACCTATTTGCTTTGTTTGAACTAAAAAATAGTGCTGCGCCTCTAATAGTACTGCGCAGTACTCATAGAGTAAATACGGTAACTCAAAATAACATAATTTTGAGATGAAACCAGCTTCTATTCTCACTACATTGTAGAAATCAACGAAAATTTTGTTATTAGGAGTAACAATCGTTTTCAAATTGACATTCAAAGGGTCGTTAATCATCAACTGAACATCAATCTCGCTTATGGCAAACACCCAAAAGATTTTATCACAAAGATCAATCTTGCCAAAGAAAACCCAAGCACACATGATCAACTACCTCATTTTGACTCATTTGACCCATGAAAGATGACCTATTTTTATCACTTTTTATACATTTTCATAAGTTAAGCACGTGTGGCTGACTGGTTAAGTGTCTTTTATCTTAATCGGAAGGTCGAGGGTTCGAACCCCACATGCGACATGGTCACCCCCTTCGGATTTCCTTTCCCTTCGGGTTGAGAGGTTTTCTGGAGGGCAGTCTGGTGGTTGTGGCCCCAGTTCTTTAAAGTGACAAGCCACTCCTTCATCGTCATCTTCCCTTCACCACCAAAAAAGCTATTTAGTTCCCCATTGAGCTTAGGGTTAGGGAGCCGTCTGTCATGACGTGGGTTAAGTTAAGATATAGCCTAGTATTGTGTGTGTCGTTGTATTGTGATTGATATATTTCGTGTATGCGATAAATTCACCACTGGTAGCCCCAGTCGGTATTTTAACCCTTGAGATGCACAATCACAAGTTATAATTCTTGACTTCTTGAGTTTTTCTATTTCAAATATAAATTCAATTCAATTCTTGGCTTATTTCTATTTCAAATATGAACTCCATTAGAATAACAACACTAGTCTTCTTCCTTGAAAAATCAATTTAAAAATTCTGTCTAAGGCCTTGAACTGTAGCTTAACAATGAACACAAAAACTCATTATCAGATGAGTCATAGTTGTTCCAAAATATTCTCGCATTTTGATGGAATCCTTCTCATTTTTTCCCAACTCGTGAATGGACAGGTTTTGATCTCTCAAAAAGAAATCTCTCAATGATTTATAACTTTTCTCTTTATTGAAAGATAAACGTCATGAACTTTTATCAAAATAAATATTGGAAAATTTTTCCGAGTTTAAACAGATCTGAAAATGCTTCCTTATTCAATTTTCTTGCTTCTTGGAATCGGTGCGAAAGCGATGTTCTTCAGAGGAACGATGTGTAAATCATCGGTAAACTTTTGGACTTACATACAATTCATTAAGTTACCAACAATTCTGAATTCAAAACAAGATTGAGATTCACTTCAATTCAAAACATTCAGTTTATATTGGTTCCATTGAGATTTGAATATTAATCACTTTCCATTTGAACTTACCCATTTTCAGATTGCGAGCTGCGATGAAGTGCCCGGTTTCAAGAATCTTGGTGGATCTTGTTATGCAGTGGGTTTAGTTTAAAATAATATATTGTCCTGACGATTTTAAGCTTAGTCATGTTTTCTAGGCCATTGAAGTGAAAGACACATATGAAAACGCTCGTGAAGCCTGTAAACGACTCCATCCAAAAGCCGATTTGGCATCGATTCGATGCGAAAAGGAAAATGCTTTAGTTGCTAGTTAGTTTACATCATAGAAAACCCAAGATAAGATTAAAAGCTATTACAGAATAAATAGCTATCCAAATCACTTAAAAAATGTTTAGATTTTGGCAAGCTCCATCTCGAAAAACATTGTAACGGATATGGATACAAGACTCAACATTTCACGTTTCTTGATGTAATTTTTAATAGACATCAGATACATAGTGCGTGCTTTATAATAAAATACGTAATGTGCATGACTTTGTTAAAAACAGTAATGTATTTAGGGACGCATGGATAGGTTTCAATCGTACAGATCCGAATCAAATGGAGAATGGCTGAACGGAGTCAGCTCGAGTTACAGGTAAAGAAAAACCAAATAATAACTAGAATTTGATCAGTTTTATCTTAAAAAAGTCACAAGTAGGATAAGTTGAAACTTTAAAGCAATAGTTTTTGAATTCAACATCAAAGTTTCAGAAAGTGGAACTATGGCGAGCCAAATAATGGTCTTGGAGCTCGTCCCGAAGCGGCTACCGCTGTGGTTTTTCAAGATTAGCTTTGCAAATTTTTCGCCAAAACAGTTAAACGAAAACAGCTTTTGAGCTCTTGAGCATACAAAAAGAATTCTAGATGCAAATCAAGGGCTCATGGTCATTGAGTTATTGGAATGACATGCATATTGATGACAAGATGTGTGGAGCGATTTGTGAAGTGATTGTGGTTCGTGGATTTTTGCATAAAAACAGCTAAAGAATGCTAGAATTGTTAAAATTCCTCTAAGGGAATCATTATTTTAGAAAACAAGTGGTGGCAGTTGTGAAGCTACAACGCTTGTGCGGAGCCCTTAACCGTTCCTGCTGTGTTGTTTTTACTAAAACAAAAGGGAATTGAATACTTTTTGAATAGAATGCTTACTTTTCTCTTAATAAAATAAATTATATTCACAAGCATATGAATGTCAAGAGAAGGGCTACTTCAACTTTGGATCGTTTCTCGGATCAACATCTATTAGCTTAGACCAAATGAAATTTCGACGACTTTACCATGACCCCATTCCTTCAATTAACCATAGATTTTTCTCATTTTTTAAAAGTAAATACTAGAGACATTTTCTGTATTAATCTTGGAAATAAGGAGCAGATTCTATGGTGAATTCATCAAGAACGGTCAGCTTGAAAAATCTAACTTTTATATGCCTGTAAAACCATGTTTCGCCATGAAAATATCAGTTTCTTGATATTAGTAGCAACATTACTAGAGTTAGTCTATGTCAAAATTTGAGAGAACTCTATGGCGAAACAAGCAAAAAAAATCAAAGGTTTAAAATGACGTTAAGCTTTGAATAACTGAACCGAAGCGCTGAATCAACACCTAGTTGACTGAAGATGACGTTCTAAACAATTCTACAGGGATAACTGTCATTGAAGCTTGTTCTTCAACAAGTAAACACTAAAATAGATAAATTTTATAAAACTTTTTTTTGGATAAGCTCCCAATTATCTTCTTCTAATTGCATGTTTTACTTGGTATTCAAAGAAAACACTTTTCTTCATTTCTTTTACTTATAGAGTTTATTTTTTCATTTCATGCTCTCTATCAAATCAAAGACATTTTATTAAATCAATTCTTTATATCATTGCAAGTGCAGGTTTTCTACAGCTAATCAATTTTCTTCACTGTTTCGTAAATAAAAGTGGAATCGAGAGCAACCAGCTTTTTCAAAATAATGACCGAAATTCGGTGATCGCATCAACAGCTATTGTGAGTCAATTTAGGCGTAAACCCATTATTAGATTCATCAAAAAGTAAGACAGTTGTTCTCATGAGCTTTGGAAAGCTTCATCAAATTTTAGACTCAGGAAAAGAAATTGACAAAGGAAACAAGAGTTTGGGTTGTTTCCACTGCCACCATTTCCATCCGATTCCGCTTCAAAATCTGTAACTTCAACTTTCAGATCTATTTTGTCTCCACTCCAATCAACTTAGTGGGTACATCTGTAATTATTCGGAATCCCCGCCTTGCTCTCCCAATCAAGCCTTGTTGGCCGCTGATTCGCTAGCTACCGCTATTCTCTCTTTCATCATTTTTCTGCAACTTTTAGTTGTCAACTTAAGTGTTTTCAACTAGCAACAAATGACAGAATCTAGCTGTGATAAAATGCCGAATCCAGTCGCCCTTCGGCCTTTTTTCCCCTGTCAGATCACTTTCTATGATATTCCGTATATGTATGGATCTTTCCTTGCTCAAACTCAGTTATACACTAGATTTTGTGAGCGATAAAAACTAGAATATTCAGCAAAGCTTGATTTCAGTGCTTTCAATGAGTAGATTCTTTGCCATTTCATTTGATGGCATTTATTTCAAAAAGACTCTAAAATATCCATTTGTTCAAGTGGGCCTCGCTGGATTGGTGATTCCATTAATTGATTCTTATTTGGTGAGTGTTTTGGAAAGTTATTGAACTTTAACCAAGCAAGTCAAATGACTAAAAAGCAATTTTAAAAGAGCTTTCGTTGACTCAAGCTTCAAAATGTGTCAAAATATGTCAGGTTGCTGCATATCTTGATCGTCCACCGAAAGGAGCTCACTGGATTGCACCTGAGAAGTTAACCACTTTCTTCGGCTCAGCAATGCTAGCAATTGATGTCCTTGTCTTTATTAATATGAGAAAAAGACAAGTATGCAAATTTAGCAATAAGTTAAGAACAAATTCCAGCAAACTGAAAACTCGAACAAGAATCGAGCCGAACAGAAGTTGGCGATTCAGGTGAAATTGTGAATTCAAAGCTCATTCAGCTTTTCAGATGGTTGGAAATAGTAGTATGTTTCTGGGTGAGAATTTATGTCAATTCTTCGGATTATTATCTATTTATTTTCAACATTCCGATATTTATATCTTTATTTGGTGCATTTCTACAGTACTCAGGGCTGTTTCATTTATGTTTTCAGGGTGAGTTTGAGTCGAAATCGAGCCAGGGGACAAGTAAATTGAAATCGAAAAGACATTAGCAAATAAAAGCGGATACCGAACTAATTTATTTGATCCAGGTACCGCACCTACTGTTAGTTAAAATGGTTTTTCTCGAATCGTGGTGTTTCAAAGTTTAAAAGACCACGAAACTTTCAAAAGACCACGATTCAGGGAAAGAGCCGTTAAAGCTAGTTCCAAAGAAACTGGCACAAAGATTGATACTTTGTATTGATGTTCTGTATAATCAGCGGACTCATGAAAACTTTCAGTATCCTCACTGTAGTTTTCATTCGGCCCGCATCAACGGAGAAAATGGTTGAAATCACTCATGTGAGCTCAACTGATTCATCAAAAAGCTCTACAAGTGTTGCTTCAAATGTCGGACAAGTGGGAAAAAGGAAATAAAGAAAGAACAGCTTATTTATTGTCAAATGCCTTTTCTTGTTGTTCTTCTTCTTTTGCGGGAGAAATCATTTTGGGCTGCATAAAATGTTATTCATCCAAGAACAACTAAATGAATGCTTTTATCAAAAATCACCAGAAGGAAACAGATTTGGGAATCGCCAGAAAGAAACAGTTTAAAGAATTGGATTGCATTTGAATATATTAATTGCCAAAGCTCTTTTTATACAAATAATTCTTATCAGTTACAATTTAATAATTCTCACCAGTTCATTAAAACCCAAATTTAAACTCGAATTTTACTTCTCAACCACTAGATTCATTAAACAATACACTTTAACCAAACCTTCATTTGAAACAATTCAAAGAATGAGTGATTTCCAAGCACAAAAACTGATTTTTCAACTTTCGCAAACTGCAAAAATCAATTTTGAGGGAAATTTTGGTTGAACCCCGTTAATTTTCATCTTTTTTTTGCGCTCTTCCTTTTGGCCAAATCCTATTTCATTTCTTGAAAGAAAGAAGAAAAGGTCATTTTTCTGACAGATTTTATTTGGAAATACTCACTTTGTAACATTTTAAATGCAATTTTTCATGATTCTGATAATTAGGTAGCAAAACATGTTAAAAAGGTTTTTAGAACCAATACACAATTGCTATTTCTCCTTGAGTCTACTTTGTTTTCACAAGGCAACTTTCCTTATTGTCTTGATGATGAAATCTGGTTAAACTATGATGTCTTGACAGCCAGAAGCAGTTGAACGTCAGGCGAATTCTTATTTCGCTGAGCTTGATAAAAAGTCAGAACTTTAGCCTTGGGAAAAGGTTAGCGAAATGTTTGCTGTTGTTGATTCGGGAAAACAAAAACAAAACTTTAAATGAGCTTTCTAGTAGTATAATTTACAGCCAAATCTAAGATTTATCTATGCTTTAAGGCCACAATCGACCACCAGGCGTACAATGATCAGGAGACAAATGACTTTGTTGATGAAAGCAACGAATCGAATGTAGGAAAATCCCGATTGCTCAGATAAATATAATTTGAATAAAATTAGTATTTCTTAAAATAAATTTCAGAACTCGGGTATTTTACTGAGCAATGAGCTCATTTTCTGAATCCTGACTCTTAAAATGGTCGCTCACAAAAATTCAAAAAAAAGAGAACTTATTGACAAATAGCTTGGCGTTCGACTCAAGAAAATTAACGAAAAACGCTTAAAAATCATTAATATTGTTAGTTTTTATTTACTTCTTGCCAAAATTGCCATAAAACTTTATTTCTTATTTTTCTTTTGCGCAACGGGCGAATAGGGCATTTTGAGTGGCTGCTGCTCGCCCGGTTTGATTGGAGCCGGTTGACGGACAAAGAGAATGGTGAGCAGACTGAAAAAGGAGTTGATTTACACTTGGCCTAGGTCAATTTATTGATTCACTCACCCAACAACGACCAAATAAAAGCCGTTATCGAAAAAATCAATGAGAATCACTAGAAATTGACAGAAATCTTGATAATCGGTGTACCGCAACAGCACTCCAATTGTTTTTAAAATGAGATTGGTGATCAAGTACATCAGATCGATCGCCAACAACTGAAAGAGGTGGGACAATGATTTTGAGTCATCGAGCTATTGTAACAAACCCGTTTCGAGATACCCAAACAAATCACTCTCAATGGGGTGTGATGGGATTCCTAAATGAAACATTCTATTAGCACTACAGCCACTAACACCTTCAATTTCCTGTAAACGACAAAATTGCTGCCGGTTTGAATCGAGTACATTCCATAAAGAATCGTGTACCAGGGAAGATCTTGGAAAAACGATTGATTCTCCCAATCAGCACCGATATCAACGTCTAGAGTTGAACTTTTCAATGATCTAACCAAAAGATTTCAAAACCAACTATTTAGCAAAATTGATAAAGCAGCTCCAGCTGATGCAAAGATTAGCGCCTGGAAATACGAGTATTGTTGCCATTGTTTCTTGCGGAGATTGTCACATGTGAAGGCTGTGTAGAGATTCAGGGAGATGCCTGCAATGATAAGATTAGATTGCAAGCTTTACGGGATATAAGTTTTAAGTAGAATTTGGTCAACCTGTACTTGCATTCTACAGTTCTTAGTCGGAAAGCTCCAACCGGGTCCTAGGCCCTGCTACAGGTGAGCCTGGACCTGTATACAGGCTCAGGCTTGACATCTATCGGCCAGGACAACTGGTTATTCCAACCGTATGCCCTGTCCACTCCCCCCGTACAATAATCTGTACAATTTCCCGTGGAAAACTCGCTGGCAGAGTATTCCCGCGTAAGCGCATAGTATCCCGGAACGTTCTTTCCGGCTTGACTTCTGTCGATCAGGCCAGCCGCTGTTCCGGCGGGTATGTGCCAAGCTAAGTCCAGGTCAGGCCCAGGTCCGTCCAGGATCAGAACCAGTATCAAAGGTTGGTGCCAGTCTGATCCAGGTCTGTTTAAGGCCAGGGTCAGAGTCAGGCTTGGCTTCTGGTAGACTTCATTGGGCTGGGCTTGCAATAAAGGAAAAGGAAATGTTGCCATTGTTTCTTTTGAAGATTGTCACAAGTGAAGGCTGTGTAGAGATTTAAGCAGATTCCTAGAAGAGAGTGATTCTAATCAGATTCCAACTTTTGATTAGAATTTGGACACTTCATAAGTCAAGCTTGGGCCAGGCCAATCCCACACGAGGACCTCAGGGTCAGGCCTTGCTTCGGGCCGATTTCCTTCTGGAATCGGACCCGTTCCGCAAGGTCAGAAGTCCGGTCAGGATCTGACTCATCCCTCAGTTTCTAGTTAACTAACCAAATAGCGAAAAGATCATAACGGATCCAAGGTGATCCTTGTAGACACCATGAAGTGCGTCAAACAAGCTTGAAAGCATAGATGGAAACCAAGATAATCTGTACAATGAGTTAAAAACAAAAAATAAAAAGAATTTAAAAAGAAACAGGTTAAAAACAAATAAACAACAAACGTTTTTGCACTCCCACAGGCATAAATTAATTGTAAAGTTGATTGAAAAATCAGTCGATAGACTGTCGGCTGTGAGAAAAACATAAGTCGATTCTTCGAGATCGATGATCGACAATGCCCTCATCATGCCAATAATGTTCAAAATCAGAGCAATAAGACAGAAAATGCTTTTTATCTGTTTTGTGTTTGGGAATTACGAGAAATCTTCGACTCAACTCACCACATAAACCAAGTCAACAGTTCTTTGAGTAAAACGAGTACTCAACAACAGGAAAATCGGGTTACATTTCCGCTTGTACTCGACTTCATTCGAGAAGACGAAAATGCCTATGTAGGCAACTGAATTTAAAAAAGTACACTTTTTGTCCTTGCTTTGCATAAATCGCTATTAGTTTGGTATGTTAAAAATCTCAGGAAATATCGTTTCCAGAAATACTTTACTTAGTACTCCAAACAGAATCATTCCTCTTGACTAATGTAATTCTAATTTTGTCACTCCTACGTAAAGCGGAAGAGAGATAATAGAGGTAATAAAAAAAGGAATCAAAAAGTAATCAAAAAGTAATCAAAAAGTAATCAAAAAGTAATCAAAAAGTAATCCAAAGAGAAACTGAGACTTAGTGAGCAATATATCCATAAACCTCACGGTACTAAAAATACTCATATTCAAAGTCACAAAACTTACTAAAAAGCATTGCCGATATATTGAGTAATGTTCGATCGTCATGGTGAAGAGCCATTTAATGATTTAGGATAAGAAAGCTTTCAAAATTTTGAAGTTCTTGAAAAGAACGAATAATTACAGCTTATCTCACATTCAAATCGTTTTTCAAGCTTTTCAACCAGTCATTAGTTTTCCTTTTTGATTCTTTGATGAACTTTTCTAGCTATAGCAGATGAAAATTGAAAAATCTAAACGATAATTTGGTTAAAGTTGACCATTACTTAGCCTAGTATACAGTGTTCTTGTTGGAAAAGTTGTTTGAAGTGTCGTAAAGTTTTGAACTTACAAATTTGCCAAACACTTGTTTGAAGTTTTGAAAAGAGCAAGTAATTACCGCTTAACTATCATCAAAAACTTTTTCAAGCTTTCAACTGATAAAGCCTAAGCCAGGCTCTGAGCCTGGCTAATAACCGATCACTTGTTAACTAACCGAATAGCGAAAAGATTATGATGAATCCAAGGTGATTCTTGTAAACCATGAAGTGCATTAAACAAGTTTACAAGTATTGGTGGATACCAAGACAATCTATGATACACTTATTCCGGATTGAATTTATCTTGCAAGACTTTTCTCACTTTTACATGCATAAATGATTCGTGAATAGGTGCATAAATGCAGTGCTGATTGAAAAATTGTCGAAAGACTGGCAGCTATGGGAAAAACTGTGAAGAAAGTTGACTCTTCGAGATCGATGATGCGCTCATCATGCCAACGATGTTCAAAATCAAGGTAACAAGACAGAAAATGCTTTTTATCTGTTGTATGTTTGAGAATTACGAAAAATCTTCGACTCAACTCTTCGCAAGCCAAATCAACAGTTCTTTGAGTGCTCAATAAAAGAAAAACCTACTGTAAATACTGTAATAGTACCCCACCCCCATAAAGACGTGTTGCGGAGTGTTGCGTAGTCTAGCTTTGAACGAGTTTTTCTCGACACTGGTTTATGCTACAATGCGCGCGTAGGTATCAAAAAATAGCCCTGAATTTCAGCTATTTTTTTGATACCAAAGACGTATTTTTGAAAGTACGGGCGCTTTGAAAAAAATGAAATACTAAAAACTTTTGCGACTACGCGAGGAGGGTGCTATTACAGTATTTACGGTAGTTGTACTCCAGAAGATGAAAATGCACATCTAGGCTCATCAAAATCGAAAATGTTTCTTTGTAGTGCCGGGATTATCCAAAGGGTTCGTTTGGTTAAATATTACTTCTTGTGTCATGCACTTATTTTTACACCAATTCCTTGACTGTTACGGCCTTAGAGTTGGAGGATAGATGGATTGTTTGAATTCAAAAATTATTGAAAAGAAACGTCGATATATTGAATAGTGTACGATGATGATGGTAACGATAATCATCATGAAGAACCAGTGATTAACTTTCAAATTTAAAACCCGGAAAACTTTAGAAGTGTCAACAATTGTGAGAAAAACCATTTATTTAGCTCTTTCTTCACTTCAAACGAACCTTTCTAACCAGTTTTAGTTTAGCTTTCGTTTATTTATTAATTATTTGAAGGAAAATAACTTTTCAGAGCAGAAAAGGGGAATAGCAGATGCAAATGACGAATTGTATGCAATATTTGCTGATGGCAAGCAGACAAAAACATTTTGAGATCAAGATAAGATCAAGATTTTCTTGTGTCAGTTCTCACTGATTTTTTCGTTTATTCAATTAAAGAAGCCCAAATGTTAGCTATAAGTGGTAAATGTACGCAAATTCAGGGTCAACAATGATTCTTTTCATCATCTTGCATCTTGGAATTGGCGCTGAAGCAATTTTCTTCAAACAAGCTTCTACCAACGTTTCAGTAAGTTTTTGCGCTCAATATTCGAAACTGATCTGCTGTCTAAACTGTCATCAAACAGGAAGTCAAACTGTCAAAATCAAACTCAAAGAAACAAACTTTAACCGGAAGCACTTGTTAGCTTAAAAACAGTTTTACCTCAACGACAAGTTTTCAGAGTTGTGATGAAATACCTGGCTTCAAGAATCTCGGTGGATCTTGTTATGCGGTTGGTTTGGGGTTTGGTTCTAACCAGCTACTTTAGAATAGATCTGTATCCAAATTCATTACCTTTCTAGGCAATTGAAGTGAAGAACACATATGAAAAAGCCCGTGAAGCCTGCAAGGAACTCCATTCAAAAGCCGATCTCGCGTCAATTCGTTGTGAAAAGGAGAATGGTTTGGTGGCAGGTTGGTTTTGGAGACAAAGTTGAAAAAGATCAAGCACCAATTGTAAAATTTGACTAAACCGTTCAACTTTTAGCTGAAAAATGATGAATACAAAACATTTTGCTAATCCATGGGTTTCAGATATGGCGAAATATCCGCTCGGAAAGAAATGTAATGGCTATGGAATGGAATCTTTTCGTTTTACATCACTTGATGTAAGGATTTTAGCAAGTTCGAGAGCTTTGAGAGCTACTCAGTAACTAAATTCGATTGGAATACCATTGAACACTTTAATTTCAGTTGGAGAGCCAGTTTTTTCAGCTGAATCCGGCAGTGAGTACAATTTAGGGCGCCTGGATCGGTCTGAATAACATGCAGCCGAACTCAAGTGGGACATGGGTGAATGGAATCGAATCGGGCTATAGGTGAAAATAGATTAGAACTTGCCAAAAGATAGAATTTTAATTAAAAACCTTCAGAAAATGGGACTACGGAGAGCCAAATAATGGCCTTGGAGCTCGTCCTGAAACAGTCACTGCTGTGAGTTTTTGCTGTTTTATGGAAACAGTTTACAGTCACTAGGCATGGCTAACGATATTTTGGGGTTGCTCCCGTTCGGACAGGCATATCGGCGCACTGAAATTTGCTAGCAATCTAGAACTTTTTCATCAGAAAGCCAATATTATTAGCTTCATTTTGATACCAAAAATTCGGCAAAATTCTTTAAAATAGTACTTAAAAAATCCGAAAAAATAAAGGCTCTCGGTCTCGTTAAGTATCGATAACCTTTTAGAGTACTTTTTTGAAGATTTTTGTTGAATTTCTGGTATCAAAATGAAGCTGATAATCTAGGCTTTCTGATAAAAAAGTTTCAGATTGCTAGCAACTTTCAATGCGTTAATGTGACTGGGTAAACTTGAACCCTCGTTAAACCTCGTTAACAAGTCTAACAGTCACCATTTTACATTTCCAGATGCACATCAAAGCTACATATCGACGATACGGATCACTGGGTTTTTGGAATGATATGTATGCTGAAGATAGGATGTGTGGAGCGATTTGTGAAGTGATTGTGGTTAGTTTTTGTCCGATTTAAGAAACTGCTTCCAAGATCTTTTAAAGCAAGTTTTGAAATAAAAACTAGAGTTAAAACTTTGGAATTGCTTTGTACTAGGCTATGTAAATGTTTTATTTCAAAAACAGTTCCACAAATTTTCAGAAAACAAGCGGCAGCAGCTGTCCAGGATACAAGCCATACCCACAATCGGAAGTGGTGGTGATTTATTGAAAGAACATCTTCTTTCAATATTGTTAAAGTGTTTATTTGTTTATTAAATTAAATATAAAATGTTAAATTGATTGTTAAATTGATTTGTTAATTAATTCTTTGATCACAAACGATTTGAAAAAAAACATATTAAACTCAAAAGTTTTCAAAAAGGATTACTCAAATTCCCTTTTTAAGAATCGACTTTTGAGGTGTTTTTCCGGGAGTTGGAGGTGGAATCATTGAAATCGTCGTTTGCGGACCGCTTTTCTTTGATTTATACGGCAAATTGAAATAAGTGACAACAAAGCTAAAAATTGGGTATAAGTTTTCCAAACAATTCAATTCGTAAGATCTTCTTAGAGAACTAATTAATTAATTCGTAAACTTTACCCCATCAATAAATGCAGTAGAACAGGAATGCACTCAAGAAGAATGAAAAACGTGAATCCCGTCGCGAGTCTACGGAGAACTCGATTGGCGAGCACGACGAAACCAAGATGGAAAACGGTGATCAAATGGGTGATGATTAGCTGAAATTGGAATTTGATTTGGAAGAGTTTTGAAATAGAGATAGAATTTCCATTTTGACAAACAAACCATAATCGAAAGCCGACCCTCCGCTCGTTTCTTTGCTTCCGAGGATTTTCTCTGAAGATTGCTCATCGCTTTACCTATTCAAAAACCAACCAGCATTCGAACTTTCACCAATGTGATTACATCAAAAAATAATGTCACACCAAAAACTCCATACATAACTGTTTGAAAATAGGTGACAATCCAAATGGTCCAATAGTCTTTTGCAAACATTATCAGATCCACGAATTCGAGTGGGGAAAAAAAATATCCCGTGTAGCTTAGTGATTCATATGTATAGATGTATGCTAAATTTTTATTTGAAAGCTTATTTTATTGAGAAAAAACCACTTCCAACAAAAGAAAGATGAATTCCGACGGGAATCACCCAGAGAATAAAGGCATGAGGAAAAGAGATCAGTTCCATTATGTGATAGAATCGACCACGGAAGAAAACGGCAAACAATCTGAATTACCTCTGAATAATCTGAAATGAATTATTTATTCTATCAAAAGACGCATCCAAGGCTTGATCGAAAAGATCCTCAAGGGAGTCCTCTAATATCGCGTCTTTTATTAGAGGTTACCCTTAAATTCTATTTTTTTTGCTGTAACTACCGTCATTCTTGACTTGTTTCTTTTGTTCTTTCTATTTTTATTAATTTTACCTATTTTTACTTCTTGTAACTTTTGCTTTTTAGTTTTTTTATTTCCAATTGATGAATTAAATCTAGTAATTTTTTAAATTTAGGTGACGTCAATGAGTGAACGCCAAAGCAATTGGAGCAAACGGAAGCGGAGGTGCTACGACGCGTTCTGGAGATTGTTCTGAAGATGATTCTGAAGATGGTTTTGTAGATGGTTCTGAAGATGGTTCTGAAGATGGTTCTGAAGATGGTTCTGGAGATGGTTCTGAAGATGTTCTGAAGATGATTCGATTCACTGCTTTACTAAAATTCAAACAAGGACGTCAAATGTCACACAGGAAAGAATTGATCAATCATGAGCGAAATTGTTGGAATGTCGATTTGGGTGAGGATGTTAACAACTGGGATTACCACTCAGACGACGAAAACTCTGACATCTCGGATTCATCTTGAAGTTCTCCATTAGATTCTATTGATTTGGATCTAGAAAGTGAATGCATGGAGATGACGTCGACAAGGAAAATTAGGATGAAAGCATTTAGACTTTAATTGAACAATGTTATTTTTTTCTTCTTTTTGTTGTTGCACATTTACTGTTGCTTTTTACGTTGTTTTGTTGTTAACTGAATGAAGTTGTTACTTACATATTTTTCTTGAAATATTGGTTTCAAAACCTTACCACTTTACTACCTTACTACTTTCAAAATCTTACTACCTTAGTTACTACTTTGGTACCTAAGCACAAATTAATGAACTAATAAAAGACGACCTCTGATAAAGGGATGCATCTAGAACTCGATCGAAAAATAAAAGACGCGTCTTTTATTAGTATAATTACGGTAAATATTTTGAAGATTAAATCGCCTGTCCAAGACTTCAAAATTTTTCGAAAACCATTTACCTATTCATCGTCAGACCATGCCCAATCAGTTGCATCGAGAAAATCATCCCGAGATTTGTTGCAATGAGAATTTGATTGACAAAGAGCCCGCACCAAGGCCATCCATCAACAGCAACACAGTCCCATCTAATCTTTTCAATGAGTATGAGTTGAAAGGATTACTCACGTGAGAACACATTGTGCTTTGAAAAGAAAAACGATTCCCTCATAAAAGCGACAAAATGTATCCAAAAGGAGATAGAATTTGACAGCCCATCCACAAGCTCGATTTGTGAAGACCACTTTGAAGCAATAGCCTTGTCCAAGAAGGGCTATGATGCCCAACTAGAATGGTAAATAGAATGATATGGTTTTTTCTGATATGTTACCGTAATCAAAAGTGTCACTACATAGGGAATATAGTCATCATTAACATTCGAGTATTCCGGCATACCATTCATCAAGTAATTGACCCCATCTCGAATTGTGAGACTATATTTTGTCTGATTTTCATCAGAAGTCTCATTTTGACTTGATTGAGTCACATTATAGAATTGAGTTGTTGAAGAGAATGGATCTTCAGTGACCGTTTCGTTCATTGAAGATTATAAAATATTGAAACCAACTTTTATAGTTCAATGCACTCAAAAGCATTGTTCACTCTCAAGTTTAAAATCAGATTAACGGCTTTTCAAAATTTAATAATGGTTTTGCTATTGAAAGAAACGATTCAATTTGCGGGTGATGACAAAAAAAACCAAAAAAACTGTAGGCATTTCGTTTCATTTTTCCTTTCAGGGAAGTGGGTTAAATTTCAAAATCAAAAAAGTCATTGTCAAAGATCAGAGAAATCAATCTTTTAGTATCGAATTCAAACTCGATTTTTTAGTGAGCGATTAAGCTACAAAATACTGATGAAACCCAGCATATTTATCTAAAAATTTCAATCACATTTGAAACTGCACTGCAATGAAAGTTAAAGTCAACGATTCAAATCCTTATCCAGTGTTCAGTGAATTTGCAAAAGCGTTCATCGAACTCTACTTGTTTCTCTAAACACGAAGAAGCCTCTTCTCGAAAAGAAGATATCCAGAAATTGACTAGATCTTTTTTAACGACATTTCCATCTTCACTTTTTCTCATCTCTCCTCTTCTCCATATTAACTTTATCGTGACGTTTCCGACCTTTTCAATGATTAATCTTTATCAATAATTTATCGGGTATTAAAAGAGGAAATCAACTTTGCAGGTCATCGAGTATTTCAGCTGGTTTCGGTTTAGAAGAGAGTCGAATTTCTAACAAAAGTACAGCCAAATTCAAGGCCAAAATTCTTCCGAGAAATTTGGGCATAGTGATTTAAACTGCTATTGTTTCAATATGATCTATACTAATTGCTACAGTGCCTCTAGTCTTGGAGTTTGTACTTCCTGTCTTGTCCAGCTCTTAGCCATCCCCGGTTTCCCCAGAGATGTTCAATGCTCACCGCGCGGAGGTGGCTGCACGTCGAGCAGCGCCCTCCCTCTAGCCCTAATGGTCGGCATAACGGGAGCGGGGCCTATGGGGGACCTAACCTCGTGGGGGAATCCTTCCCCGGGGACTAAGGGCCAGGGGGAGGGAGTTCGGGGATGCCAAAGACCTCCCCGCACGCCCAGTTGGTCATTTCACGGGTCCTGTTCCGTGTGATTTTGCGCTAAAAGAGCGTCGACACCGTGAGGACCAGCACCACCACACGTACCGGACTTTCGCGAAATGAAATGCCCCTTCGGATACGGCCGGTGTTACGTGAGGACCAGGACCACCACACGTACCGGACTTTCGCGAAATGAAATGCCCCCTTCGGATACGGCCGGTGTTACCCGGACCAGAACAGTTTGCCGATGAGGAAGGGAAATGGCCCCGCTTACGGAAAGCCGTGCGCCAGAAGATGAGCTATTGTGCGGGCACCTCAAAGAACATCTCGCCAATCATTTACAAAAACAAGAATTCGAAATAGTTCGAGGGGGTTGGGGGTTGGGGGAAAAGCAAAATAGTTCGAGTAGCAAGAAACGAAAAACTGTAAACGTGAATTGTAAAATTTGTCGTTTTCCTTTAAAAAAGAAGTGGGTTTAATTTCCATGTCAACAACAGTCATTATAGTGGTGAATCGCTTGGTGAAGAGAGAAATCTTGCAAAAGCAATAGCAGGCCCTTCCGAATTTCTAAATTTGGACACATTTGCTTGAAAAATTCGTAATGCACTCAATAAAAGCTTACTGAGCTTTACTGATTTGTACTCAACAATGAAATTTTGTTCATTTTAGTCAATAACTTGCAAAAACGTTCATCGAACTTTACTCGTTTCTCCAAGAGGCCTTTTTTCAAGAAAAAAATATCCGGAAATTGGACAAGGATCTTTTTCAACAACCTTCCCATCTTCACTTTTTCTCATCTCTTCTCTTCTCCATTTCTTTATCTTGTGAAATTTTTGACCTCTTGAAGACGAATCTTTTAAATCCTAGTGACGAAGTAAGAGTTCATTCAGATTTTTGGGCTTTTGAATGAAATCTTATCAAGAAAAAGTGTTGTTCTGTTCTTTTAACGATTCCTGAAATATTCAGAATCACAAGCCATTCTTTCTGGTAACCTTAAACCTTAAAACTTTGGGAAAGAAAGGAGAAGCGAATGCTTTATTCATTCGACACAATTAGCATCAGATGTCCGTTGGGTTCTCTTTTCTTTTCTTTCCTTTCCCTTTTCTTTTTCGTTCTTTAGCCTCAATTGGGGGAAATTGAGCGGATTCTACAACAAAGAATCGACTTACTTTGTTCGTTTCTTTTTTCTTTTCAATTTTGTTTCCGGTTTTGAGTTTGTGTAGATAGTAAAATCATTACTTTACTCAAGAAATGAAAAGCCTATCACTTAAAACAAAAAAAACCGAATTTCTTTCAATGCCAATGATTTTTTTCTGAGCTGTAAAGTGTAAAAAACTATTGCCTCTATGCATATTTTTCATTTCATTGCATTTTTCACTGCAATTTCATAAATGTGTCTCTCAATAATCTCAAAGAACAAGCCTGGCATGTTACAGAGTGGCGCACAATTATGGAAACTCGGTTTTTCGACTGTAACTCAACGCCCAATTATTCAATTCCCCTAATTTCATATCTAGATGAAATTTCAAGTTAATTTCTGCGGTCAATTTCAATTTTTAGTTCAGAAATACAGTGTTACGCTTTTTATAGTACTTCGAAGTTCAGAGGTGCCAATCTCTCGGCAGAATAGTTGTTTGACGAGATTTACACGAATTTAGAAGAAATTCCCGCTTCCTATTTACTCATTTTTGCTTTTTATTAAGAAATAGAATGATCTGGTGTATTTCTCATCAGAAGATTTTCAATAATTTCAGAATCTTGAGAGCTAATAGTTGAATTCTCTGAAAGCTGAGCGTGCGTTGCCTGGTGAATCCCCAAATCATTCCGATTTGCTGTCTTGCAAAGTTAATTCATTTATTTTGTGATATTTGTTTAAATTCAGGAGTGAAACTAAAAGAATTGGTTGATTTCTAGGCAATTCTGGTAGTTGAGAGTTGAAAACTATTGAAAACGATGATTCTGCTGAGAGGTTGGCACCTCTGAACTTCGAGGAACTATAAAAAGCGTAACACTGTATTTCTGAACTAAAAATTGAAATTGACTGCAGAAATTAACTTGAAATTTCATATAAATATGAAATTAGGGGAACTGAATAATTGGGCGTTGAGTTACAGTCGAGAAACCGAGTTTCCATAATTGTGCGCCACTCTGTAGATTCACAAGTCTTCAATGCTTTAACTTGTAGCTTATGGTGATCGAATGCATTATCTGTTGAGTTGAGTTGCAGGTTCCAGTCGCGTTGAGTTACAGACGAAAAACAAGAGGTTCCACAATTGTGCGCCAATCTGTGGTATGCTCAAAAAGCTCTATCTCAAAACAAAAATGGTTTATGCAAATTTAAGAGATTATTGACCTAACAGTCTACAACACTGGATTGCTTTTTTCCTTTTCTAGAAATAACGAATTTTGACTTTCTTTGTTACCTATTTCAAAGCTGATGTACAAAGCTGATTCTAAAGCTGATGTAATAGGTTGATGCATAAGTCTTTTCGTTTTTTTCGTACTTCTGTTAAAAAGCAACAAATTCACCAATTAACCTATAGTTTGCTCTATAAAAAAAGTGTTTTTTTGTTCAATTTGCATCTTTTTAAATGAATTTCGGTTCACTTTCAAGCAAATTCGAGAGTGAAAAACGCCTTTTTCGTAAAAATCTATAAAAAACTCTACGGAAAAATTGGCTGAATGAATTTCTCTGAAATTTTGGCGAAATATCAAACTTTTTTTTCTCTATCTTTTATCTATTGACACGAAGATAGGTTTTCTTTAGCTAAGGTGTCTAAACCGCATCATCGAGTTAGCCCTTTTTGACTACCCGACTTCATACTCTCAAGAAAATCCAGGCATAAAATATTTTTAAACCCGTTTTAATGTTATTTTGCAGAAAAATTATTGGTTTTTCTAATGAAATCAACCGTAGTTTAATTGGTGCAGTTGTTGGCTTGAAACGGCAGACGTAAAGGAACAAAAAGACTTATGCATCAACCTAATACAAAAGCCTGCTTTACATCTAAACCAAATTTTGCATTTCCTCCGTTCCTTGAAGAAGAGATCAAAAGAAAAACTAAAGAGTTTTTCGAAAATGAGCAGGCAATTTAGTTTTTGCAAATGAAATCTTCAAAGATCCAATTAAAATCCACAGAGATATTTTCTCTTTTTGTTCTTTTTCCCTTTTTATCTTTTCATTTTCCTTGTTTTACGCCTCTAATGATATCTTGAATCAATGAAAAGAGATTTCTCTCTCATAGTCAGAGAACTTTCACATGTATAAACAATTTTTGGCTGTAATTATTGACCTTTATGGAATCTACAATGGATAATCAATTGCGGTAACAAGGAACAGCAATGGTTCAATTGAATGTGGTAAGTAGACAAGATAATTCTGATCAAAATGTGTTCCCTATTCTCTAAAAAGCATCTTCATTAGAAACTCTACAGGTCTACAACTACTTTAGAAATCCTACAAGCCATCAGTTCTATTTAATTTGCCCAAATTTGGTGTTGTTTGATGAGGAAAGAGCCAAAGATGCTTAAATTCAATTGATCGAATGTAAAATAACAGATTGATTGCTGGTGTTCTAAGACTGGCGTCTTTTAGAAAATACAATAGCTGAGAGAAACACACCTTAATCTAGGTCGCGACGGCTCACTCCGGTACAGCGGATAAACCCCTTCATCGACCGAAACTCGGGGTATTCGTGTATCTGCTCTCATTCACTGCTGTGATTGGTGAATGCTTTCTTTCCAATTTTTCAAATATCTGATTCCAGGCGGTTTTCTGTTTGGCTATGACACGGGTATCGTCTCATCGGCGATGTTGTACGTGCCATCCAATACTGGAATGAAACCATTGTCCTATGTTTGGCAAGAAATCATTGTCTCTGTTACGCCAGGTGAGTGAAGATCAGAAAGTTAACAAGTGAAAGCCACGGTAAGTGAAAGATCAAATGAAGTCGATGTACTTGTTATTATACTCAATTCTAAATTTTCCTAAAATGCAATGTAATGTAGTAATGTAATGTATAATGTAAAGTAACTCATTTTGTTTACAGGCTTTGCAGCAGTGGGTTCTCTCCTTTCTGGAGCCGGTTCAGATCGTTATGGAAGAAAAAAAGTGATCATCGGCTCGTCTCTCGTTTTCACAATTGGTGCACTGATTTGTGCGATTGCAGTGGAGAAGATAATGCTGACTGGTGGAAGAGTTTTACTTGGAATGGCTATTGGTTGGTTCTCAATCAATCGCTAAAGTTTTTAGGCTCTAGGCTTTGCCTCAATGGTTGTCCCAGTCTACGTGGGTGAAGCATCACCAGCCTACATCCGTGGAACTCTCATCACCGGTTTCCAATTGATGGTCACTTTTGGTCTCTTTGCAGCCAATGTCTTCGCTGGTGCCTTCTCCTATATTGATCCGACGAATATTGGATGGAGGTAGAGTTAGGCAATTGGACTGAATTACATGAGTAGTGTACCAGACAATGTGTGTTTCTGTTTTGAACACAAAGTACAGGGTGACTAATAAGTATCCGGAAATAGTATTTAGAAACAAGTCCAACAACTTTTTACATCGATCGAATAGTTCGTTTCCTATTTGTTTTGATCCGTCAAAAATAGTCCTTTCATCAAACGATAGCTTTTTAGTCCTAGCTCGTGTTTGACAATCATTTGGACGCGTTTACGAGAGATTTTAAGGCTTTTGGTCATCCTATTCAAGCTCAATCCATCATTGCGCCCAATTCCTTTTTGATCATGCTCTGATTTTGTCGTGTGTTCACAGTACGTCCGGATTTTGGCTTTTCCTTGATACTTCCAGTTCTTTTCCATTGATTAATCACTTCGTAAACCGTTGACTTGGGTATTTGAAGTCGTTTTGTGATCACCATTGGCTTCATTCCTGACTGTCGCCGACGCACAATGGCTTCACGGTGGAGCGAGGTCTTTATAGCACCTAAATATCAATATTATTATTACTGAAAAGCAAAAACGTTATAATAAAGAATACGTATCAACGAAAAAATGAACAATGACTGAATTAATAAAGCGAGCGCACATAAATAAAATTGTTCCGGATACTTTTCAGCCACCCTGTGCATAGTCTAGCAACGCTATCAAAGCTATCCAACTCAGATTGATGTTCGGTTTTGCGGCAATCCCAGCTGGAATCCAATTCGTTGCTTTCTTCTGTCTTCCCGAGAGTCCTCGATGGCTTTATGAACACAATATGATTGATGATGCAAGACTTGTTAGTTTATAAAGATCTAAAGCACGACTCTTACGCAGGTATTGGATAAAATCTACAATGGAGACAAGAGTTGGATCGAATACGAGCTCTCTGAACTGGCTGTAGCTACAGAGCTGGCTAAAGTTCAGAAATCGGAGGATGATGGTTGGTTTAAGTCAAAATTTATCGAAAATCAATTTCTCAGAGTCGATTCTCATTCGCGTTTTCTCCACTCCACATGTTAGAAAAGCTCTTCTGATCGGCTGTGTTTTACAAGGATTTCAACAACTTTCTGGCATTAATACGATCATGTAAGCGCTTAAAATCTTGCTGTTGTCAAAGAAATTTAGGTACTACACAGGAAAAATCATCCAAGCAGCCGGTGTCGGTGATAAACATGCGACAATTTGGATCTCAGCAGCTATATCAGGTAAATTTACGGTTATTCGTGTAAAACTCAATTGAAGCGGTGAATTTCGTCTGCACTTTCCTACCCCTTTACACGATTGACAAATTCGGGAGAAAGCCTTGTTAATTTGTTCAGTTATTGGAGTGGTTTGTACTTGGAATAGATTTTGTGATTATAACTGATCAGGGAATCACTCTCTTTGCAATGGGTGGCGCATTCTATGCGATCAATCGAGACTCTGACCCAGTCATCAACAATTACACAACTCGATCAGTCAACCATATTGAAGTGTGCAAAGCTTATAGGTAATAGCTTTATAAATGCCAAATCAAAATGAAATTCAGAAATTGTGACTACTGTGTGACTGACGAGCAATGTGGCTTCTGCAAAGGAAAAGCACATGATTCAGGTTAGACAAAGTGAATTGATAGACAAAGATCTATCTATCTGAAGTTGCATTTTAGCCTTGCTAACACTTATTAACCCTAGCAACACTATTTTAGGCTACTGTGTCCCCTATTCCATGGACACCGAAGATCGAGCTCTTGTCGGATTCTGTATGAATGGAACAGAACAGGGTGAAGGAGCTCAATATGAGTGGAGTGCCTCGTTCTGTCACTCTCGGTTCACCTACATTCCAATCATTCTCATGGTCATCTATTTATCATTTTTCTCGATAGGTTTGAGGCAGTTCGAGAGAATTCACTTCCATATTCTTCAGGCTATGCTCCTCTTCCATGGGTCTTGAATGCTGAGTTCTACCCGTTGTGGGCGAGATCGACTTGTGTGTCGATTGCCACCGCCTCGAATTGGGCCTTCAATCTCCTCATTTCCCTTACTTTTCTATCGCTTTCTGAAGCACTTACGAAATATGGTGAGTCAGATTTCCAAATTTGAAGGCGATTACAAAAATTGTAGCATTTTTCAAAAAATCTCCAATCATTCATTGGACATTTTATGTAGGACATTGGACAAACTTTTTGTAGCCTAAACTGTTGGGAATTAAAACTGCCGCAAGCGGGGTCGAACCCGCCACTGAGAGACAGACAGTAATCCACTATGGGGGCACATTGAACCCGCTGCTTTTCCGCGCCCTTTCCTCTCAAAGGGCTTTCTGTGCTACCTTTTATTGAGGATCCTAGGACTGTTGGGAACTAGTTGGGAACTAATTAACCAGTTGATTAACCTACATCTAATAGAGTTGAAACTAATCAACTTTGAAATCAAGTTATGTTCAGGAACATTCTGGCTTTACGGTGGGATCACTATTGTCGCTCTCGTCTTTGTCTGGTGGGCAATCCCAAAACAAAAGACTGTTCGATTGATGAAGTTGAATGGTTATTCATGTCAGAAGAAGAGAAAATGAGAAGATTGAAAGGAAAACAAGAAGATCTGTCACCGCCTGGTGTTGTTGGGTACCACACAAAGGATCACACTATTGATATTTCATTCTAGATTTTTGGTAGCAATAAAGATGAAGAAAAGCTGGGCTCAAAGTACAGTAGCGGACTTAAGACACATTTATTCAAAAACCCAACGACATTAACTTAGCAACTCAAAGAGAATCATTGCTTTTCTTTGTTCTTAATCTGTTGTTTTTAAATTTTTTATTTTTATTCTACTGTTATTTCTACTGTTATTACTGTTATCTAAAGTCTTTACTAAAGAAATAAGTTTTGTTTTTAGTTATGGGAAAGAAGAAACAAATCATTCCTGCAATTCATGACACAATCGTTGCGATGCAGGAGACACCCAAAGTCGGATTTTGATAATTTTAAGGGTGCACAAATCAACCATTTCTCGAATTTTAAAGCTTCATGCTACGAAAGGCTCTACTATTGCCACGAATTACTATTACTAACCCAGTAAAACCACTCTTCAAAACGATAATGACTCTTCTTTCAAAGCAGGATCCATCTTTTTCATTTCTTATCTCCTATTCATCATCTACAAGTCATTAATCACAATTTTGTATCCATTTGAAAAAGATAAATCTATAAAAGAACCTTTTTACACAACTAATTGAGTAACTCCAATCGCTGTTGACATTCATCAAGAATTACCGTTCATCAAGATTTAACGCTTTCCATTCAAATCATCATTCATCAAGAATTACTGTTTGCTATGAGAATTATCTTATGAGCAAATAGATTTCGAAACTAGTTTCTAGTTTAACTGATTTAAAAACAAACGGTTTCTTGTTCAAAAACGAAAAGTTGCTAAGTGAATGTCCGCTGCTGTACACAGAATAAACAGTTCAAAGTTTGAAACTTAAATGAAATGATAAATTTGCTTACCTTGTACCGTACAACTCAGAGATCACAACACAGATTCCTTCAATTTTTGTCTCAAGCAAAACTTCTCCCACCTCAAATCTTTGTGTTTTGCTCGAGTCTCAAGTTTTTATTTCTTATCTCCTGTTCTTCATCTACAAGCTATTAATCTCAATTTTGTATCTATTTCAAAAAGGATAAATCTATAAAGGAACCATTTTGCACAACTAATTGAGTTACTCTGACTTTGGAAACTTGAAAATTTATTGTGAAACCAGACTTTGAAAGTTCCATAAAGAATTTCGGCTCAATTCTTGCTCAATTCTCGCTCAATTCTTGCTTCAACAATGACACAAGAGAAGAAGAAGCCAAAATTGGAGACAATTCAGGTAAATCTTTGATTTAAACAAAATTTCTATATTTAACCGTTGAAATCTAAAATTTGCAGACCCTCCGAGCTCTCTCGATCATTTCTGTTCTCGTCTATCACACGAGCTATTGGGCATCAAAGGGAGATCTTGGAGTACATATGTAAAAATTCTTATCTATTCTTTCGAAATCAAAATCATTTTCAGCTTCTTTGTGATTTCTGGATATTTAATGGCAATGATTCTTTCGAAAACCGGTGTCACATTGGAGTCCACAAAAGATTTTTATCTTCGACGAGTCAAAAGGATTGTCCCATTGTACTTGTGCGTTTTTCTACTGAAATTTTTCAAAGTTTAGCCATTTTTCTCTAGTTTTTCTCTTAAAATTTTGAAATTCTCTGTTATTTTGTAAGTTTAACTTTAGAATTACCTTGCTGGGAATTCAAATCGGAAGCAGCTTACTGCTGACAAAAGACAAACATCGAAGAACCACTCAAGACACGATTTTGGCTCTGATTTTTGCGAGGAATATGCATTTTGAGGTAAACTTGAAGGCTTTATACAATTTTATGAAGTTTAGTGGGATAATATTTCTCCTAGTATTCATTTATGGACAGTGAGCACGGAAATGCAGGTGAATTATCAGGATTGGCGATTCAATGACAAACTTTAGTATTACTTGATTGTACCAATCATTTTCTACTTCTTGTTGCCGATGAGCTATTGGAAAAAAGTGGTGATGATGGGGATGATTGGAACTGGATCTTGTCTTCTTTATATGGTAGATATCTCTTTTTATATATTTCCTCTTCTTTCTGTCTTCTTCTTTATACTGTAGATAAAGTTGAACAAAATGAGATTTGGCTGGGTTTGGCTCAATTCAAAACTTCAGACTCTCCCATTGGTGACTGGAATCTATTTCATGCCAAGTCGCCTCTTCGAATTCCTTCTCGGATCACTCACCTTCTTCACGGAAATCGAGATTCGAAAGGTATTTCTTAATCCCAACTAACAATTAACAAATGCTCCTTCTCAGTTCTTCGATAAACGGTCTGCCAATTCAATCCCGGAAAAGAGTATCCCTGACATTGTGCTCAATTCAGCAAAACGAGAATCATTTCTTGGTGCTTCTAACAGCCTAAAGATCGTTTCTAACAGCTTTTCAGGTGCGATCAAAAGTCAATTCTCAAAAGAAAACCTTTGTTCATCGATTTCTCTTCTTTTCTTCTTGATTTCATGTGTATTCTGCTTTCTATTAACTGGAACGAGTGAAGAGGTACAACTTTAGCAAAACTTTCAAAAAGATTCTTCAGAACGATGTCTTTATTGTGTTATTATGTGCAGCTGGTACAATATTTTTTGCCAATATTGGTGGGTTTTGTTATTTTATGGCTTTAATCGAACAAAGCTTAAGGAAAGTACTCAAGGAAAACATTTCCTCTCAATTTTAACTCCATTTTACTTCAATTTTAAATTTAGCACATAGCTAAGAATCTCGCCAATCATATTAACTTTATACGTGATTTGTAGGCAACGAGCTACTCATCAATCATCAAGTTCTTTCCTATATTGGAGATATCTCTTATGTTCTTTATTTGGTACATTTCCCCAATCTATGTCTTTCTTTCTGAAGGTCAACTACACTTACATTTTCCAGAAGTGAAAGGTGAGACTTGTGCTTTTCTTGGTTAAGATAAGCTGACAGGAAATGATCAAGGGGATCCTTACGGTTAACGGCGGAGAGTAGCGATTATCAGCGGGGGCCAATTTTTTGGCCAACTTGTAACTCATTTTTAAGCACCTTAAACTTTTCAGATCAGGAAATTTTAATAAGATTTAGATAGCTTAGAACGTCAACTTTGAGGAACTATTTGTTTGATCAAAAGTTATTAACAAAAACTTATCTAAAACCGGGCTGCAAGTTGGTCAAAAACATGGCCCCCGCCGATAATCGCTAGCCCGTAAAGATCCGTAAAGATCCGATCAAGGAATGACAAACAGACACAAACTTGTTACAGACACAAGAATGAAAAGTTTAAACAGAGTGACAAGTTGTAAGTTAAAAGCTTGATAGCAAGTACGCTTCAATTAAAAGAGAATTCAAGTAGTCCTTTTTAGTCAGTTGTCAGTCGATCTGCCATAGAAATCTGCTCTTTCAGACTTCTTCTACGCCATCACACTCACCATTCTCATCTCTGCACTTCTGCATCACACATTAGAGGAATTTTTCATCAAAACGAGCACCAAGATAGCGTTTTGTTATATTGGTAAGTGAAAGTTAAAAATATCTAACCGTTTTTTGTTGATGTAACCGATCCATGCAAGTTCATTTGATTGTCTAACAAAGACTTCCAGGGAGCTCTCTACTTTCTCATCTCAATAATCATCCTGTGTGAGCAAATTTTGACCCAAATGCTTTAACGATCGATTTCAAATACGGGCATTTCATTTTCGATGAATAAAATATATGATCTCTTTTTTGGAAACACAAAAGCGAACTAACAGCAAAGATCTTGTAATTTTTTTCTCTTTTCTCTCACTAGTTGCTGTTTGAAATTGATCTGTTTTCAAACAGATGATCCTCCCCCAAAAAGGAGATATTTTATTGATGCACATGGGTTTCAAAAGAATTGAAAACGGGTTCCTTGTTTGGTTTTAACTAAAAGTCCAATCACAAATTAATCTGTTTTCATTAACATTCGGCTTTTCATTTTAAAATCAACTTTGGTATTTGAAAATGGTGACCGAGAAGAAGAAATCGAAGTTGGAAACGATTCAGGTGGGATAAATAAAGGAGAATACATTTGTTGAGAACTTTTACGTCAGATTAGCTACAGTACGGTACAATACTTGTCTACAGTACTGTCAGTACTTGTCTACAATAATCGTCTACAACTACAATAGCCTTTCTAGACCCTTCGCGCCTTATCAATCCTTGCCGTCCTTGCTTTCCATTCGGGATTTTGGGGATCAAAGGGGAATCTTGGAGTTAGAATGTAGGTTTTCAAGTAAACTCGATAGAGCTAAATCTACCGCTATCAAAATTTTAGCTTCTTCGTGATCTCTGGCTACTTGATGGCTCTAATCTTGTTGAAAACGGGTATCACAAAAGAGTCAGTCAAAGAATTTTACATCAGGCGAATCAAGAGGATTGTTCCTATGTATTTGTGAGTTGACAATATCTATATATGATTTAAAAATCAAATTCTCAGACTCATTTTGCTGGTGAATCAAGTTGCGAGCCTTTTCTTTCTATCAAAAGAGAGATATCGACGTACAACTCAAGACACAATTTATGGGATATTGTTAGTCAAGAATATTCATTATGATGTAAGTTGTAAAATAGGTAATTAGGTTGAATTCTTTGATTTAAGCTTCAAGAACTCAGTTTTTATAACAATTCATTGTTTTTCAGCCAGAAATGCTTCTCCCGATCAATCATTTGTGGACGGTGGCGGTTGAAATGCAGGTTAAATGGAACTTTCAGCTTCAATAAGGTTTCAGCTACGGTAAACTGAGTCTGAGCTTTAAAGCCAACTTATTGTTAAGTTCATTTAATCAAAAACTGGTCGTTTAGTATTACTTGATTGTCCCCGGCCTCTTCTATTTTCTGTTTCCGATGAAATTCTGGCAGAAAGCCGTAAGCATGGTGCTGATGGGAGTGGCTTCTTTTGTACTGTGTCAGGTGAAGGTTTTACGATTATTAAGACTTATTTGACTTCATAGCGCAGCTTTAAGTCTTGCAATAAGTTGAATCAATGAGAAAAGTAGTGTAGCAGTGCCCAAACAACTAAAAAAGTGCATCACTTTCCAGTATCTCCCAAACATGGCTCAAACCAATTTCACCCCAGCTCGCCTCTTCGAATTTCTCCTCGGCTCTCTCACGTTTTTCGTCGAAAAACAGTGCAGAGAAACATTTGTGAGTTAAAAACTAAAACCATCATCGAAAACCTAAACAAAAATGTAATCCAACTCCAACTCAAAGAACTTTTGATCTGTTGAAGTGACAAAAATCAGTGCAGTCAGCCTGAAAATCAGCTAACGGCAGTTAATTTGTACCAAAAATCCGGCTGAAAGTTTACAACTTGAACTATTATTATGTTTACTGTTGCTTGTTTACAAAATCAACAAGTTTAGTTTACCAACAAAATCCCCAAGTCTGTAACGATCAAAAACAATAAAGTCTCGGAAGAAAATAAAGACGGGAAGATAGTTGCACAGACACAAGTCTCAGGTAAATATTTTGGTCCGAAATAGCAAGTAATCCTTTTTAGATGCCCATGAAAGCAAAAGTACATTGAAAGTTTTCCTCTCATTGATTTCTTTCATCTTGTTTTTGATTACTTGCATCATTTGCTTTGCGTTACCCGGGAAAAAGACAAATGTGAGAAGAAAAAGTGGATTCAAGAGAAAAAACTGTTTAGGTTGATATACTGGTATCACTTTTCTGTTCAGCGGGCACGATAATTTGTGCGAATCTGGGTGAGTTGTGGATCTTTATCGTTTTGGAGTACTAGAGCCATTGTCTCTAACTTGATCACGTTCAACTTTGCACTTTTGTGGAGAGAAAATAGCTGCAATTGTGTTTAGTCTGATCTGATCAAAACAAGTAGTGCATTTCACTGTTTTTGAGTACATTTCGCTTGTTCAAACATCAAACATCAGCACCAGATTTTGTGAAAAGTAAGGTTGTAAGGCTTGCAAGGCTTTTAAGGTTTAATTGATTACAGAAGCATCAGACAAAAATCACAAATAACACATTTTCTTTTAGGCAAGGATCTCTGGGTGAACAATGTGATCCTTTCGTATATCGGAGACATTTCCTATGTCCTATATCTTGTTCATTATCCACTTTATGCGTACTTCCATATGAAAGGCTTCACGCACACATATTTCGATGATGTCAAAGGTAAATGCTTGACAAGGAAAACTCTTTAAATTGAAAATTTTGAGCACAAAATACCGTAAATACTGTATTGGAACGACAACCCATTCACATTTGAAATAGAATTTTTTAATTTGCATTCAAACTGGGCAGCTACGCATAAAATTCATTTTCAAAAACTCATTCTTTTCATTTTCGCGTCAAACTTTTATTACATTTATCTCTGTCACTTTTTGTTGCGATTGTATTTCAATTTCCAAACACGATTGTATTTTAGGAGTGGGATCAATCGACGAGAGATCCCTCAATGAATTTGAAGGATTTCGAGCTCAACGGGAAAACAATAAATGGGAAGAATTCTTCAAGAAAAGGGATGATGAACAACTTGAGGGCCTACGAGCTGAGAAGGACTTAACGGAGGCAATAGGTGAAAATGAGAATGAGGAAACACGCAAAGATGAGGGGGAAAACGCAGCGCACTCGATGCAATGACAAAGCTTGAAATTCTTGCCTATGCCAAACGGACTTCTAACGATGCGGCTGCAAACAAATTTGGTGTGTCACGTTCCTCTATCATTTATTGGAAAAAAAAGCAGGAAAGCTCGGTGATCTCAACAATAAGAGAAAACGACTTGATGGAGGTGACCGACATCTCTTGGCGGCAGAAGTTGATCAGCGATTGGACTCGATCTCAACGTGACGATAAGAAGCGAATCACTCGAAGAATTGTTCTGTACACGGCAGAAATGGAATTTACAAGAGCAAGGGTCAATTTCAACAATTATAAGTTCACTTTTGCGGCTGATGGGACAGGGGTTCGGATCGATGCATCCGGAAGCACTGACGCTGTTGAGTGTTGAGTACCAGATTGGATGGTAAAAAGCTCAAGCCATATGTCCTTCTTCTAAAGAAACTCGTGGATCCAAAGATCACCGCATCCTTTGCTTTAAGCCAGAAGAAGCAATTCCAACAGGCTGCTTAGGTAGTTTTGTTGCAGTTTATTTGGTGCTGTTTTCCGGACCTGCCAAATTAAATGATGCTTGTTTGAATCAAGAAATTGCGGAATTGTTGCAAGGATTCGATACTCGTGCTGAAGATAGTGATGACTTGAAGTGATTATTTGAAGTGATGACTTGAATCTTTTCAATTTTGATATTCCGCTAGATTTTATGGGCTAGATTATAACGTTTTGATTTGTTAAAATTGATGTTTTTAATGAATACTTATTGAATGAAATAGGCTTTTTTGAAATGGATATCATTCCTTGTGATCCGCAGTGGCGATTCGAATGAAAAATAGAATGATACCCTCTAGTAGAACGCTACCCCAGGCGGGGAATTGAAAAATAGAAAGACATGTCGTTCTAATACAACATCTACATGTCATGGCATGTCAGTTTTTCAGACTTTCTCTTTGCATTGGCGCTCAGCTTTTTGCTTGCCATACTTTTGCATCACACACTGGAGAACTATTTCATCAAAGCCGCAAATAAAATCACGTTTTTGTTTATTGGTGAGTGGATCCTATTAGGAAGCGATTCAATTCAAATTCCAGGAGCTCTCTTTCTACTCATTATCTCATTCATCATCGCCGTACAACTCATCGATTCCCAAGCCTTACCGCTTACTTTCCAATCTGGGAGAATACATTTTTTGAGAAGATTTCAAGTTGAAAATAAAATTTACTGATTCTGATTGCTGATTTACAAAGAATCTGCTGTAATGAATGTTGATTTACGAATTAATTTGCAAAATAAAGAATTTTAAGCTTAAAGTGACGTTCTGAATAAAACTTTTTTAACTTTCGAATGCGTTTCACAAACGGATCGCAGAGCAGAAATGTTTGTTTTCTTCAGTTGCAGTCCACCAAAAGTGACGTTGAGAATATCTTTCTATAAATTTCTCTTCAAGAAATGTAGTACTTGTTTTCAAAAATTATAAATTGTTAGAAGAGAGCGTATCTTCCATCCAATTTCCTTGAAACGAACTGAACAACATCGAAAAAGCCGATTTCTCGACTTTTCCTCTCAATAATTATACACGTAAATTGCATCTGTGAGCTTTTTGCTTTTTGCATGATCAACACTTTTTAGTGAATAAATTTGACCCAGGGCTCAATATATTATTAGGTGTGTGAAAAAGTAATCCACGTTTTTAACGTTTAAATATAAAAGATCATAAGTTTCGTTAAAATAATTTTTATTCAACGAAGTAATCACCATTCGAAAGAACAACATTTTGCCAACGTTCTACAAGTAAAGACATTCCACGATAATAAAAATCTTGGTCCTTAGAGGCGAAGAAAAGATCAACCTCGGTTTTGACATCTTCTTCGGAATTGAACCGTTTATTGGCCAAAAAGTTAGACAGAGACAAAAATAAATAATAATCAGATGGAGAAAGGTCTGGACTATAAGGTGGATGTGGTAAAACCTTCCATCCAACACTGGATTTTTTGTCGAGTCTGTAAAGAGACATGTGGTCGCGTGTTATCGTTCATGCGGTATCCATTTGTCCAACTTTTTAATAAAATTCATGGCATTCAAGCGTTTCCTTACGGTTGGCCCATCACAATTTAATGTAAGGCCTATTTCTGAAGAGGTTGAACGAGGGTTTTCGAGAAGACAGCGTCTTATTTGGTCATCAGATAAAAATAAAAACGTGGATTACTTTTTCACACACCTAATAGATACATGCAGAAGAAATGCGGATTTCAACATTTTCATAAATCTCCAATGATAGAAACCTGATATGGTTCGAATTTTATAAACTATTTGAAAGTTGTAAATCTCCTCTACAAAATAGGCTAAAACGTGTTTCAATTGATCGAACCATTGAAGAAATTTCGAGGGCGAAATGCGAGTGGCCAAAAAAGGAATCGAGTCACTTTAGGGACAAGTTTAGTGTGGTCAAAATAGAGTTAGCTTCCCAAAATTGAAGATTTAAAAAAAGAAAGATAACTATATATCAAATCATTAAAAAAGTCTAACGGAAATGCATTTACAGAAATTTAGATAGAGCGTAAGTTCAAAACCCTCGAAATTGTCAGAAAACCGGCTTTTTCACAAAAAGAAAATTTATTGTAAAAACAAAATTTTCCCATGAAATGATCCCAACTCTTAATTATTTTGAATGATATTTTTAGAATAATGATTTTAGGGCGCTCATTTTCCACTATTTAGTCAAAACCGAACTCTTGAAAGTGGGTTTTCAAAAAGTGCCCTTTTTTGGTCACTCGCATTTCGCCCTCGAAATTTCTTCAATGGTTCGATCAATTGAAACACGTTTTAGCCTATTTTGTAGAGGGGATTTACAACTTTCAAATAGTTTATAACATTCATCGATATCAGGTTTCTATCGTTGGAAAATTTATGAAAATGTTGAAATCCGCATTTCTGATGCGTGTACCTAATACAAAGAAATGGAAAGGATATGCTCACCGTTCCACGAAAATGACCAACCTAGGTGGTTGTGTGTTTTCCTGTTATCGGATAAGAGAAATTGCTGATTTTTAGAAATTTTGATACTTTAGCTTCTTTACTGGGCTCTTCGAAAGCGCAGAATTGTGCGGTTGGTTTAGATCAACTTGTAAATTAAACTATTTTCCACTTGAGTAAAGCTTTTCTAAGGGAATTCGAACAACAGTCAACAACTGAATTGGATAGAAAAAGAATCTTTTAGAAAAGGTTTTATTCAAAAGAAGATTCAAGAGATTCAAAAGCCCTATCAAATTTCAAATTAGCAAATTTCAGCTTAACACACTTATTATACTTCCAAACCGAGTTTCAGCCAAACACTGTTTCCTTCAAAGTGCTCGGAGATTCCCGGCTTCACTGATATTGGAAGATCGTGCTATGCTGTAAGTAAATCAGCTTTAAATTAATTTCAAATTCAATTCAATTAATAACGTTCAAATTCAACTCAAAATCCTTCAATTCACTTCCAAGTTCCAAGTGTCTAGGTTGGAAGAAACACTGACGCTGCCCGAGCTGGCTGCAAGAAACTCCATCCACAGGCAGATTTAGCCACAATTCGATATGATTCGGAAAATCAAGGAGCTTACAGTGATCAATTTTTAAAGTCTTAAAGAAAAGAATGTTTTCAGAGATTGTTAGGACAAATTTGAAGACGAAATGCTCGACAGTGAATGGAAATAACTACCAAAATGCAAGTACAAATGGCATTCGTTAAATCAACTTTTTCTGCAAATGTCCTTTGACTGAAGCTTAATTAATGGACGAGCGGATTGAAACACAACTTTACACTCGGGATTAGTTATAACCTGTGTGATGAACCAAAAGTTATTGAAACTGGAATACCGGTGAGTCGAATGGAGGAAACGGTTTTCTGCAAACCGATTGGAATGGTTGTGCTTTTTAGCAAACCTTCCCAATTTTTGTTCCAAATTCTTTTCATAGTAAAATTAAGAATTTGAACAATTGAAAAAAGCACTTTTTAGAATACAATTACTTGAGATTTACTTGACGCGTTACTTAAGTAAAATTGCCGATTGCCGATTGCCGACTGCCGATTGCCAATTGCTGACTGCCGATTGCCAATTCTTTCCAGACCCCAGTCGTTGCTCCAACTTGTTCTGGCATTTCCGGTTTCATTGATGTTGGTGGATCTTGCTATGCGGTAAGGTTATTGTATTTGGTTTCAATGTAATTGATTAGGCTGAATACGTTGGCGGAACAACAGATGAAGCTCGTGCTGCTTGCAAGAAACTCCATCCACGATTCGATGCGATTCAGAGAACCAAGGAGCCTGTAATCAAGGAGTCTGTTTTTAGTTTATTTTGTGCAAGTCCAAGCTAGAGCTTGTTTCAAATGCCTGAAAAACGAAATGCTCAACTTATTCAGACTTCTACGCTGAGTAAGCCGAGTTTGAATCACTTTAAAGCAATAACTTTCAGCAAATGTCTTTCGGTTTGAAAATGAGTCAATGGGAAAGCGGAGCAAACGTATAGGTATTTTCTGCAAACGTATAGGTATTTCCTTTAAAGTTTTTGTTTTCATTGAAAACTTTCAGGAACTGGAACAGCGGTGAGCCAAATGGAGGAGAGAAGGAGCCACGTGGAAGCCACGTGGGTAAAAATGACAATAGCAGTCACAGATTCTTCTTGATTTCCGTCTTTAAAAGCGTGCGTAAAGCGCCTAGGAAATGTACTTCAGTAATACCTTTATTACCACCCGGAAAATGGAACGATTCGCAAGATCGCCAAGGTGCTGTATTATGTGAAGTCATTGTGGTGAGTTGCAACTACAGGGCGTTGAATAATTATTGAACACCGTGTAGTTTCAAAAATCAAAAGCAAACAAGAGAATCATCTTAAATTCATTCTATAAAAATTCTGCAAACAAGCTCAACTTACACGACGAAAAATAAGCAAATTTTTCAGGGCACGAGTGGAAATGGTTGTGGTGTTCGCCCATGTTCATGAAACTGAGCCATTCAAAAATCGCTTTTTCTTTATAGCAGCTCATAATAAAGTTTTTTTGCTAAGTTAACAAATGACACACGGGTTGACAAAAGAAAATCAACTCTAATAAATCAACTTTGTTTACTTACATTGTTAAACTTTTTTGTTTAACCGTTTTTTGCTCTGTTCCACTTTCATTACCGCAGTGCAAGCAAAACTGTCAATAATATAAAGATATTAAAAAAGGTGAGCAGGGATTTTCGCTGAATACTGGGAGTATCAAAACTAATTTGCCCTGTATTACGAATTACTAGTGTTGCCTTGAATTCACTAGATGTGGCTAGACCTGTGGGCTTTTGCTTGAATGAATCACAAAACCAAGTTTGTTCAATACACGTGAGCGTGTGAAAACGTTTGAATGGAGCTCATAGAAACAATATGTTGAGTCAGAGAGAAAAAGGAATCACTTTTATGGAAATTGTGTCTCGAACCAAAGAAACCAACTTTCACGAGACAAAACGAGAGAAAATTCTGACTAAATGGGGAAAGAGAGCGTCCTTTTATACGGGCGTTAGCGCGACATTGCTTAGGGTACGGTATTTCTGATGCCTTACTAAACTACGGCAACTTTTTGGTGACTCGTCGTCACAGGGAGAGAAAAGTAAGCAAATTAAATCTTCAGAAACAAAAAGTAGAAACAATTGTCTTATCGCTTAGCTTAGACTCGACAAGTAAGACCGAGAAGTAGAGTAAGTTGATTAAATGTAGTTGAACCAATTCGAAGTCTGATTTTCATTTTCAGGATCATCAATGCCATTGAAGTTCAGTGAAATTACTCTGGGCACAATGCTCAGTTCTCCGAACAGGTAGACCTTGCATTTGATCTTTGTAAGGCTGGAAATTTTCAGCAAATCGTTGATTGTTCAACGTCAACCAATAGATGTAATGGAGGCCGCAAAATGTTAAAAAGCCATTCTAAAGAAACTGACCAATTTCTAGTTATTCCAAGAGTAACGGAAACGCTAGAAAGGATGGCAAAGAGCTGGCAAAGAACTTGCAAGAGCACGGCTAAATGAGGTTCTTGTCTTTGGCCTTTGCCAACTGGGTTTGACACAAGGTCAATGAACTATTCAAACTTTTAAAACCTTTTGAACATGAACATTTTGCTTATTAGTGCAAAAAAAATTAGCTATTTCAGAAATTGTGCAAGATTATTATAAGTTAACCACTCTTTATGACAGTACATCAACTGATACGGGCTGCTCACTTTCGGTAATTATTCAGTTTTTTTAGCCGGCAGCCATACAGGTGAGTTTTTGTGGAATCTGAGGATAGAATTTAAAAAATTGTATGGTTTGATCCAAAAATCCTTTATTGTTTCATTAAAATATTGCAGTATGTCGGCACATCAAAAGGTTGGCGTTTCACCGTTTTCATACACGCAATCAGAGATCAAAAACAGTATGAATCGTGCACAAAGAATAGGAAATGCTACTTTCTACTCCATGATTCACAATTCCAATTCACAACTTATTTGGGCATGTTTTCTCTCAAATCCTTAGAAAGAAAACCAACACATTTTGAACTTTTCCTAGAGATAGATTAAAAGAGAAAACGTTCAAGTTATGTGACGGAAACTGAGACGGAAAGTGGGAAAAATGGATTCTCTTCTTTGAAAAGTGAAAAATCAAAGTGATAGGATTACTACCAAAAATGGGCGCTCTTCACAGAAAGGAAAATGCGAAAATTGGATCGATTCAGGTGAGTTTTCAAATTTCAAAAGGGTTCAGCTTTGTTTTAGAAAGCTTTGTTTTGTTTTTTTACTGTAAAACTTATGCATTACCCAATTGTACTTGCTGCTTACACCTTTTTTCAGTGTCTTCGTGCCTTCTCGATCCTCGCCGTCCTGCAATCGCACAGCAATTATGGGAATCGACGGGGCGATCTCGGAGTTGACATGTATTTTGCAATTTTTGCTTTTAAAACTCCAATTTCCAGCTTCTTTGTCATCTCTGGATACTTGATGGCGAGAATTCTATCAAAAGCACCGATCACTTCCCATACGATCAAAGATTTCTACACGAAACGAATCAAAAGAATTGTACCGGCATATCTGTGAGTTGTGAAATCTGTGTGTATGATTATGATTTGAAAATGAACTTTCAGAGTCCTACTTTTATTGGTTTTACTGTTTTCTCGCTTCACTTTAGATGAAGAACAACGTGCGACTCTTTCAATGGATTCAATTTTGTGTCTAGGCTTTGTGGAGACCATTTATACTGATGTAAGGCTTTAAAGTAGCTCTTAACTCTGTCAACTCTTAAGGTTCTATAATTTTAGCTTTAGAATGACTACTTCTCTGCAGTTGCTCATCTTTGGACTGTCAGCATTGAGATGCAGGTGAGACATTACAAGCTGCTTGCTTACCTTGAAAGCCAGTCATCTAAATTTCTATGGTAGTATTGAATTCAGAATAGATTTCAGTAGTGGAATAGCACAATACCAATACATCCAACTCAAAACCAATGCTTTCAGTACTACCTCGTCGCTCCATTGATCTATTTTTTTCTCTCCCGATTTCGCTTTGCGAAACGAATCGTCTTTTTCTACTCACTCATCAAGATCTCGTTGATTTTACATTGGGTAAGTAATCTTTTTCAGTTGAAACAATTCTCATTCAGTTTCTACCATACATGACCAAGCAAATATTCCTATTCTCTAGAATGTTTGAGTTTTTAATTGGATCTCTCACTTTTTACATTGAGAAGCCTCTTTATGAGAAGTTTGTTGGTGAAAAGGAAAATTCTTGTAAACGAGAACATTTAGAATTCAGCAACTGAACCAATAATATTTGACAATCAAAGATCGCACCGGATTTTGAAGTTTCTTTCATATCTTCTCTTAGGTGTTTGCTCGATATTTTGCTTTTTCATTTCCAAAGACGATGAAACTGAAGTAAGGGGAAAAGGCTTGGAACTCTCTTGCCACAAAATCCAAATCCAAATTTTTCCATTGCAAGATCAATTTCAAGATCTATTGCATCTCATGCATCACTAGATCTGGTTAAAAGTATCCATTCGGAATAGACGTACTCTAAAAGAATAGACGAAATAAGAATAGATTTACTCTAGAATTAGAAGCCTAAAACTAGCCAAAGCCTAAGGCTTTTCAACAAAGAATAGTCTTTTAAAACAATCTAAGCATATCTTTCCTAATCAAAACATCACTTAAGTATTAAATTCAGCTCGACATATTGATAGTAAACTTCTCAGCTGCTGCAATCATCATTTTCTCACAAATTGGTCTACTCATTCACGGTATTTTGATGAAAGTTTAGCCTTTTAGGCAGTGATCTAAACCATCGCCTATTTCACTTCATCGGTGACATCTCTTATTCTCTATATCTAGTCCATTTCCCGATTTTCTCCTATTTTTACATTAGCGAGTTAACTTTTAAAGCATTTTCTGGTGAGTTCAAGAATTTACACTGAAACATATTCAATTCCAGATTTTATCCTTGCCACATTTCTCAGCTTTCTTGTTGCAATCGTCTTTCATTACTCTCTAGAGAAATATTTCATTCGAGCTCCGAACAGACGGACTTTTATTTTTATTGGTGAGTGAAGCAAGATGTGATTATTTTAATTAAAGTCCTAAATAGATAGGAAAGGGCAAATTAAGTTTTAGTTTTATAATTTGAACGATTACAATCACTCTTTTTTAACTGGCGCATTTGTTTAGGCTTGATGTATTTTGTGATCACTCTCGTTTTATTGTACGACTACAACGAAGGCATTTTATTAACGATAACAAGAGAAAATGGGAGTTTTATGTTTGAAGAATAATTGTACAAGAGTAAAAATGGTTTTAATTAAAAAGGATTTTAAATCAAAAAGGACATCATAAAACAGTTCAAGCAAAGCTCTTTTTTTAACTTAAGCAAAGTTTAAGCAAAGAAGAATAAATTTTGTGTGTTTTCACGAGATCATGGTTTTGCAATTCCGAAAGGAATTCCAGTTTCACCAAATCACCGTTTTGAATCTTGGACCCGTGAACGAAAGCCGTTTCTTCGACAAACCGTCCCGCAATTCTCGTTCATTGTATATTTTACTGGAAATTTTCGATTCAGAACTAATTACCGTAAATGCTGTATTAGAATGACATGTCATTCTATTTTTCAACCCCTCAAAATCGACCGATCCAAAAAGTAGGTAAGGGGGGACCACATGAATCAAAAATTTAGTATTCGTTAAAAACTACCTTAAACGATGGTCCTTTTATCCAAAACGTACAAAAACACGTTTAAAAGTGGAATTCTTTTGTTACCCGCAACCCCCGTTGAATCCCCAAAAAAATCCATATTGGGGACCATATAATTCTTTTTCAAAAATTATTTTTATATTTTTTCAAAAATGGGGTTTTAAATTTTATTTCCGATAAAATTTTAGTAGGGTTTAGGTCTAGCTCTATAAAACCCCCACAAGGGCGTCTAAAGCCAAGATTTCGAGGGGTCAGTGGGGTGTCATTCTACAGTGTGTTTCAAGTTCTTAAACGCACCCTCTACAATAGCGAATTTTGCATTTTGAACACCGCTCCAACTATTAATCTTTTCTATTGAAAGAGCATGTCTTAAAACCTAAAATAACACGAAAAATAAGCATACTGTAAAAAACAAAAATTTTCAAAATAGAAACTTTTTGCTAAATCAACCGTTTCAAATTCTTAAACGCACCCGCCCTTGCCTTGTTCATTTGAATTTTTCGTTTTGTTGTGCATATTTTTTTATTAAATTTATAATTTTTGTTAATTTCCAGGTGAATGGCACACGAAAAGCTGCTCACGGATTATGAGAAAGGCCAGATCGATGCCCGTTTGAGGATTGGCGACTCAATAAGGAAAATCGCAAAAATTTGGGCCGATCCGACTCTGCCGTGCGAAATTATATAAAGTCCGAGTTCGTTTCTGCACCAAAGAGGAAGCCAGGACCAAAACCAAAGCTTACACCGCGAGCTAGACGCCATATTGTGAACAACATCCACGGAAAAACGATCAATGAAGTGAAAACGGAACGGAAAATCGATGCTTCGAAGTCGACAATTTGGCGAGCCATCAAGGAAAACCCACATATCGATCGACGATTATTGAACATGCAACCGGTCGTGAAGCTTTCTTTTGCACAAGAAAACCCGATTGGCGTTCACCAAGGCTCATATAAATCAGGATTGGTCTATGGTTAGAAAGCCGCTTATGTTTTATTATTTTTTTTGCGTTTAGCTGATCTTTTCTGATGAGAAGAAATGGAATTGGGATGACCCCAATGGCGTTGACTACTATTGGAGGGATCTTCGACGTGATCCGATGGTGTTTGGAACTTGAAACTTTGGCGGTGGTTCTGTGATGGTTTGGGCCGCCTTTTGTGCTGATGGAACGGTCGCTCTGAAGATGGTTTCGAATCGGATGACTAGATAGATATCTTGAACAATTGCTTGTTGCCGTTTTTGCTCCTAAATCCAACCGTTCCCGACTTGTTTCAATACGAGAACGCGTCAATTCATCGAGCCGGAGACACCCGAGACTGGCTGAACAACAACAACATTGCAACTTTGGACTGACGCTCGATCTCTGACGTCAATCCGATAGGGAATTTATGCCGAATACTTGTCCAAGCTGCCTACAAAAATCATCGTCAGTTTCAAGACGCATATTTGTACCTAAAACAGCGATCCGTTTGTCCTGAAGCTATCTCGACGTCTTTGCTTTTCAAAACCTCATCAATTCTATGCCAGACCGCACTTTTCAAGTAATTAATCGTTCTGGTGCGTGTACAGATTATTCGTTTTGATTTTTCACCTTTGATTGTTAATTTGTGTCGGTAAATAAAAATATTATCAAAGTGCGTTTAAGAATTTGAAACGGTTGATTTACCAAAATGTATTTATTTTGAAAATTTTTACTTTTTGCAGTATGCTTATTATTCGTGTTTTTTAGGTTTTAAGACATGACTTTCTAATAGAAAAAGATTAATAGCTGTAGCGGTGTTCAAAATGCAAAATTCGCTATTTTAGAGGGTGCGTTTAAGAATTTGAAACGCACTGTATTAGAGGGTGTTATTCTAATCCAGCATTTACGGTAGATGTATTTGATTTTAATTTTTTGTGTTGTGTAAAATACTCACCTAAGGGTAGTGCTGATTCCCCGAATTTCTCCAGGTCAATTTGTGTCTCAAATTGCGAAGAACTTCTTTCGGACCATTTGCGAAGAGGTCGAAAACCGAAGTCACCGCCTTAGACAGAATGATAATATCTCATCCATATCTAAACGCAGGATACAGATTATTCGATTTTGAGTAAAGCTTTTTAAGTAATAAGTCAATTTCACTGCAAAACGAAGTTGGTCAAATGTGCATGCGTACGGATTAGACTTGCTTAACGAGATAGAACAAAAAAATTGGGGCCTGCCACTCTAGCCACTCTAGATCTAGCCTCCAGAGTATCGGATTTCAATAAACTTTTTTATTTAAGATTTTAAGCTATCTGATGGTATCTATAACTTATATTTTTCTTTTGAAAAAATGGGTCAGAAACCTTCTCGAACTTAACGAGACAATTCCTTCCTCGTTATCTCGTTAAGGATTGTCTCGTTAAGTCTCGATAAGGTTTATGACCCATTTTTTCAAAAGAAAAATATAAGTTATAGATATCATTAGATAGCTTAGAGTCTTGGCTTTTAAAAAAGTTCATTGGAATCCAATACTCTGGAGGCTAGATCAAGCGCCTGGAGATGTGCGATTCATTTGTCTCGTTAACACTCGTTAGCCAAGTCTAGTGCGGATAGTACAGTTTCAGATCGAATTCGAAGACGGATTATCCGAAGGAAGTTTTGAGCTTCGATTCAGATCGGATTACCATATTTATCAATCAAGAACCATAACAACTATGCTACCTTGGGCATAGCTTTATATCTAGCTTTGGCTAAGCACTTGTCCATTAGTTTAAAGGTAAAAATTCTAAATATTTACCCATTTTGCACAATGAACAGCATGATGAAAAGCTAAAAACAAGTCCGAATAATAAAAGAGGGATTTTATCGAACCCCATCAATTTTCTCCACTTCATTTGTGTGAGTTCAAACTTGTGCAGCTTGCTTTTGTGATTACTTCAACCAGCCTTCAAAGCATTATCGAAACAAAGCAGTTTCTAAATCAAAAAATAGAAAAGTTGTTCGTTTTCATAGTGAGAAAATCTGTCGAGTAGGATGAATAATTCATCTTTTGATCTCTTTTGAACTTTCTCTTTTGAATGATCTCTTTTAAACTTTGCTACTGTGAAAAAGAAATCGAATTGTGCTTAGAGCAAGCTATAGTGATTTTAGAAATCATTTGCGAGTTAAACAAAATAGATTTTGATTTGTAGAAATTGTTAAACAAAAACTCTTAAAAATTCCAAATCGATTGTTGCTTAACGAAGGTTGGTCTTCGTTAAGCATCTATTTTTCAGTCGAAATGTTGGTTTAAAGTATTACTTACCATTTCTGTTGTTCAGAAATGTGCAAAAGACTCGGAGCATTGCAGAGGGATCGAACGAAGAACCCCTCTTTGGCGCCGGACTGACAAACAGCGCCTTAAACCACTTTCGACCACGCTCAAGGGGAAATCGAGAAACCGCGTTTTTTACAAAGAATGGCCCGTCTAACCCACAAAACTAATTACGATTTTTAGAAACTGCATAAAATTTTGCATATAATAGTCAAACTGACTATAGGTACGCCCCGTACTCTATTACTAAAACGTCGCAAGCTTCCAACACTTTAACGGCGTGGAATTCACGTTGCTTAGATGATTCGAATATGGCATGTGAGGCTGGAATCGAGTCTCGAGTGGTCGATCAATCTCATTGCTAAACCCTCGATGTATCCATTATGGATAGATGAAAGCTTGTTATTACTTGGGGAGAACGCCCTGTATCTTCCTTCAAAAATATGCCAAGCTTGAACATTTAATGGCGGGGAATTAATGTTGCTTAGTTGATACGAGCTTGGTGCTGCTGCAGTCTGGACGGGTCTGATAAATCTCATTGCTTAACCCTGAATATCCACTACGAATAAGTAAACTTGTTGTTAGGTAGAAGCACGGCTAGTATTCTATTTCAAAACATAAAAAGCTCAAAGAATTAACGGCAGGGGAAATTAGTGTTGCCTAGATGATATGAGCTTGGTATGTGAGGCTCGTGTCAAGGTTGTCCCTGTTACACAAATCAAGTTATAACTTTGAAAAACTGAAGTCTTTATAGCTAATAGCTTTATAGCTTTATAGCTTCCTTAATTGCCGGACTTATAGTCCGGCAATTTCCGTCAATTGGCTGATACATCGACAGAGATAATTCTTTGGTTGTAGAACTTTTCCACCGATGGATTCATCTTTCATACTTGTGTCACGGCTGTTGGACAAGGGATCTTGAATGTAAGCTTATAAATTCTATCAAACCACAATGAGTTTCCCGTTTAATGGTGGTCAAAACACGGGTCTTCCCTTTGTAATGTTTGTCATTTATCTGAGCTTATTTCTCTATTTGAGAACCTATTTTGAAAATTGTTGACAAAAAAGTTCGGATATGTTTCGAGAGAAGAGAAATGTTGGAGTTCAGTCTTCTCATTCAGGTGGATGAGCAAATTGATCACCCTGTTTTGAGAACTGGGGACTACTACTAGGACTACTCTAGGACAACTTCTAGGATCTTACTCTAAGGAAGTTTTGACATAAACAAAAGACAATGACATAAACAAAACAATAAACAAAAAAAAAAAGCGGTATTTGATATCATTTGGAACCCTGGAATTTTCTCTG